TCCTCAGGCTATCTATCAGAGGAGTAGTTTAAGTAACGTGACTGTCCAAAAAAGGCTAGACTCCTCTGAGAGATAGCCTGAGCTAGCTGAGGTAACACCAGGACGGCAGGACAGCTGAGCCGTGTCAGGTTTAGACCTGAACCCATAATGTGTACTCTCCGGACGAAGTATGACAAACTTCTGTTTCCCCGGCCCGAACCAGCTAGGGGACATCAGACATAACGGCGAAAAGGCCCGCACCGGGTGATCCAGGATGAATATCGGGCGAAATGGAGGGAGAGATGGCAAGCCGAAGCGGCCAAACCAGGAAGGAGAGCAAGGACATGGAAGGACCCGTAGGAAACCCAGTGCCTTAACCGATTTGATGGCCTTCAGAAACACGAGGCCTCGGCGTTTATGGCACTACGGACTAAGGTAGTTGGAGTTAAAGGATGGCTCGCGAAAATTGGTGTCCCTGGAATCCACCCTGCGTGTGAATGCGACGCCCCCCGACAGTCTCTCTACCATCTCCTTGCATTTTGCCCGCAGCGGCCCGACCAGAGAATCGCGCTCCTCCAACGAGCTGGAACAACGGACTTCAAGAGGATATTGCATGACAGGGACAAGGTGCGTCACGCAGCAAGGTGGCTGATCGATGCGGGAGGTCTAGAGCAATACCGGGTGGCCAAGGAAGTTGAGAAGGAGGTAATAGAGGACTGGAAACCGTTCCAGCTCCTCCACGATGTGCCAGAATAAGCTCTCCGCCTACGGCGGAAACACCGACTTGTATGGAAAGATGATAAACGTTTGAGATAGTCTACTAAAGGGAGGAGGCGGGATTTTATGTACCCGCAGCCTCAGGGCTAGGGGGAAACTTTTGCCCGCGACAGACCAGATAGAATACCGTGCTCATAGACCCGAAAGGTATCTAGATAGTACGTTAAATTGATTCTTATTATTATTAATATGCAAGGTCTCGGATTATTTTTTTCAAATGCGTGCCCCCCAAGGGTCGTTTGATCCATATCAATTGTCAGGATAGATATCGTCAAGAGGATGCCGTGTAAAATTTCCGCAGGGTTGTATTTGATCACGAGCGTAGCGAGTTACTAAATTTGTACATTTTCAGATCATATATTTGCTTTTGTAGGTCCTTTATCACTAGGACTCCCAGGCACCAACCACGTGACCCTCATCGTTGTCGGAATTGAAATCGCAAAGACCACAAAAGATATGATCAAGTTGGTCATTGGCGTGATTCTCGCGGAGCCAACAGCGAACGACAGCGTTGACCCCAGACTCTCGAAGGTCCTCATGAGACCAACGGCCAGAGTGATATTTTCGAAATCCATCTCAAATGTGCCCAGAAGCCAGTACACGAAAATGTTATGGCTCTCGTTCATCAAACTGAATAGCAGGTTAACAGTATAGGCGCGGCCGAATCCAGGTGAATTCCAGTCGAAGGTAGCTGCAAGGCTGGCTCGCTCATACAGATATTCGTTCGATATTTGCCATCCAAAGAGGCCGACCATGATGACCGAAAACAGCATCCACGTAAATTTTGCGGTATTGCGACGGCCAAATAGACTCAAGTCGAGCCACTTGCCCCATAGCAAGTCACCAATTATCATGCCAATAGCAGACGTCAAGGACGAAAGAGTTCGGGCACGGACCGAGAAGTATTTTGTCAGATAAATGCCCTGATAAGAGCTATTCCACATAAAAGTCACCAGAACCGGAATCAGAAAGTAGATCTGTGGCTGCTTAAGCAGATGCCAGAGCCTTTTGAACTCCAAACGAACGTTACTCTTCTGGATCGAAGCGAGTACCAAAGTTCCATCGGACCGGATTGCCTTGTTGGGAGGCGAGATCAGCAAGGCCAGCGGTAGACCGACGCACTGAATAGCAATCAGAGCGACATAGGTGCTGATATTTACTGCTCCTTTGCTGCTCTCATTTCGATTGATGGAAAGCTGAATTGCAGCACCGATAAGCTGGCCGAATTGACGCAGGCCAAGCCAAATGCCGGTATACAACCCACGTTCCTTGACGGTGGGGTAGCCAACTGCAATAGCACCTTCAGCCGCCCACAAGGCAGACGCAGCGATACCGCAAGTGGTAGCTCCCAGGAATATGGCCCACTGAGTTCCGTATTTGGTATTGCAATAGAGAGCCGCCGAATACGGTGCGTATCCTAGCGTGCCCATGATGAGGATGGGTTTCAGCCCAATTTTGTTGGTGAGAGCACCGAAGATCGAGCAACCGAAAACCATGAGTCCGAAAGTAAGAGCGCTAGCGCCATTCACAACGTATGGCTCCTGTTGCCCGCCAGCACCAACACCTGAGCTTGAATTAGCTAGATCTCCTCAACAACGCGGTAAGCGGTTTGACACCCACTGTATAATGCATTCCAAATCCCAGGTTGAGTGAATGAGATCAGACCGACAATAATGACGTTGAACAAAGTGCTCCTGTACCACCGCGCAAATCTAGACTTAGGTAAGACGCTGGTCGGCGCGCTGTTCGTAGCGTATTCCGCGTCATCATTGCTCGTAGAGACTGTTGTGGTGACCTTGTCGTCGACAGGAGTGAGAGAACCACGGTTTGCATTTGTCGAACTCATGATGTTCGTATTCTTCAACAATCAGGAACACGACGAGTAGTTGGTTGCAAGAATGGCCATCCAACGTCAAACAGCAATACTTCTTTATATACGCACCTTCAGGGCAGTGATGCCGTACCTCCAGGAAAACTTCGGTGTGCCCTCATAGTTGGTGTCATTTGCTCTAAGATGGCGAATATCGAAAGCACAACCTGAGAATGAACGTAGCGTGCAAAGTCTTTCGCTAGTCAGACGCTTGTTTCTACTAACAATTATAGATACTTGATTGTTCATCCACAGAGATACAGCTATTCAATCATCTAGTTAGCTAAGCTATCAATTAAGTTAGCGTTGTTAAGTCAACGGTAGGAAGGTACATAATTACTAGAGTTAGGACAAGGGTCTTTCTGTCATAGGGTGGGTGTAAGAAATAAATGAATGTTTATTTCATAAGTTTTACCCACCCTACTGTCACATAATAAACACGTCTATTTTGTAGGGAATAGGTGCCTATAGCAAAACAGTGTGAGACCTTATCTCTGAGTGTGAAAAGGGTAGAATTTGAGTACAGTTGATATGGATCAAATGACCCTTGGGGGAGATCCTCGTTGACAGTGAGTCACGTGGTCTCCGAGGTCCATCATGTACTATGTAGTAGCACCCCGGCCCTTCTGGCATTATAGAGGGCATTCTACATTCTCATAACATCACCGTATACTTATCTCAGCAAGCTCAGACGGTATCTTCAGATGCTGCACGTGACTACGGTGTGGCGGTGCAGCCAAGGTATCTTCAGATACCGTCTGAGGTCCTTTTGTAAGGTTTGTGTGGTGGTGTAGTTGAAGTTTTCAGAGTTCCCAGTCGTTTCAGTCAACCATTTAACTTTCAGTACTCGAAATTAGCTTAAAGTTTATGTAAGGACATAAGCCTCCTGTAGTCATGTGACGGGGTCATATGACTAGAACATAGAGAATTAGTATATATGGTTTCCAACCCCAATGACCCCTGTTTGGGATCATTGTGATCTTTTATGGTCCAATGGTATTAGCGCGGAGGGTTGGTCACGTGTCATTACAGTTTACGCGGGGCTAGGTAAAGGGCAAAAGAACCCGCTCTTTTATAGTATATTAAAAAATATATCAAAATAATTCTATAATAAAGGATTAGCATCAGCGGTTTCGAAGGGCTGGTGTAGTTGGACTTTTGGGGCGACCCCGGTCGCTAATTTTGGTGGAGTTTAGTACGCCGTAGGGGCCAAATCCGCTCTTTTTACCTACGCGCCCACCAAAATGCTGCAGATGGTCCTCAGACGGCATCTGAAGATGCCTGCACCGCCACAACCATCTTCCAGATCCCGTCTGAGTCCCAACTGAGATAACCGTATACTCGTGAATCGTGGGGTTGAAGCTTATCAAAGCCGCAAGGGGATGGGAGATTGGACCACCTAAAACACTGGTATTTTCGGTGACACTTTCGATCACGTTTTTCAGCACAACTTGACACGGTCTGGATGCGCAAGGTCTGCGATTACCAAGTTCCATTAATCTAAACTGAAGAGAGAGAGAGAGAGAAGAAATCCCCCGGCACCTTTGTGCGCGAGATAGCGACTCTCCTCTCCAATGCCCTACTGCTGTGTTACCATGTTTGTTTGCTTCTCTGATATAGCTCTAATCCACCAGCCACGTCTTCAGCCACAACCAAGGGAACAGGCCGCAGGCCTGGGACCATAACACAACTCCACCAATGAGCGGGACATATCGGCACAACCCCACTAATGAGCGGGGTATATCGGTACAACTGGGTTGGTTTTCCTGCCACGGAACCACTAGCGAGTAGCGAGACTTGCTTCGGCCGAAGAACAATGGCCCAAACGGTTTCCTGTGCCCACATCAATACAGTTAATGAGCCGAGAGTGACTCTCGGCCCTTTCATACACATTGAGCTGTAAGTGGCTTTTGTTTTGGTTATGCGGGATGTGAGCAGTTCACAGAGGATCCATATCTCGCATTCACTCTGTTAAATTGGAGTAAGACGTACTGCCCATGCCAGAGCAAGGGGACCAAGGCGTGAATTTTGTGTGGAGTAGCCATGCGGAGCATTTGGATGCCATACTGACGCTTCGGCCGAAGTCAGACACGCGATCATAGCAAAAGCTGCCAAACTTCTTGAAGTGGTTAAGCCTTAATTCTGTGACAAATGACGTGATAGTATCAGAGCTCGCAATTCAGCCGTTGACCCTTTAAATATTGAGATCCTGCCTTGCAGTAGTCGATGCCACGGGAGACATCGTCTTCAACTGATCTGCGCAAAATGAGTTCTCAATCGTCCTCTGCAGTAGAAGTTACACCTCTGCCACGCGAAGCAGGGTCGAAGGTCAACGTGAGGAGCCCAACACCAATACAAATTTGCTACACGTATTCTTACTAAGCGACAGTCACTAGTTCGGAGCCAGTATCACGGGCGTTAATTTAAATGATTTGGATGATGGCTCTTTCGAGAAGATTCGAGAAGCCATCTACGTCCACAACGTTGTGGTGGTGAAGGGGCAACATGATTTACTTCCAACCAAGCAGTTTGAGCTTGTGCATCGACTAGACCCTGACGCTCCTGCTGAACACGGTTTTCGGACCACCGAGCAAGGCAAAAAGTCAACGGGCATTCTGGCCGTAAGCACGGAATCAAATTCCCCCATGTGTAGTTACCGCTGACACCGGCGACAGAAACTGAAATGGTATACGATTCCCGGCACTGCTGGCGTTCAATTAATTGGCCAAGGATACCAAGGGGATGACCATTTCGGGCTCAAAGGTATCACGATGAACGGTGTCGGACACGCTAGCTTCCATGCGGACCTCTTGAGCGAAGAGGACCTGGCAAAGGGCGATACACGTTTCGGTATCTTCCACTTTGATGGGATCATCTATGGCAGCTATCCTTCTCGAGTCACCACGCTACGGTCGATTAGGGTACCAAAAGGTCCCCTGCTCACGGTCAGGTGGGATGATGGAAGTGGCCGGACAATGAAGGCTCAACCAGGAGCCACTGCCTTCATCAGCAACTCTCAATTATATGGTTTGCTTACTGACGAAGAAAAGAAGTTGGTCGAGAACAGCTACTGGGAGCCGGCGCCACATCCTTTCTCGTGGACCGAAGGTCGAAAGGCCCGGTCGACCGGATTGGGCATCGCACCAGGAGGTCAGGTCCTCGATCTCGACAAGCTACCTCCGTGGACACCAGAAAAAGTCTTTTGCTTTCCTATGGTCTGGATGAATCCGGTGACCGGGGAGCGAGGATTTCAAGTCCGTTCCGAGGTCGTGCGCAAAATTTATTTGAGGCATTCGCCGTTTGAAGAGCCACATGTGATTGACGACCTGGAATACATTCGAAATTGGTTGAACAACATCCTGGATCGCATCATGGCCCCTGAGTATGTCAGCATTCCCGCTGTCGAGGAGGGTGATGTCGTTATGTTCAACAACTGGGTACGAGTGTAATGCCCTTCGATTCCGTGATATTTGCTGAGAAGTCCTCAGGGCGTCATACACAGTGCGATTGAATGTCCTGCCAGCTATGGAGTGAGGACTGGTGAGTATGGGCGTCTGTTTGGAGAGTACAGCGCTGACAACAGCTAGTGCACCAATGCCACATCGCTTCAAGCACACCACCACTCGGTCCGTACAACACCACTATAGTTCCGTCATAGCTTGAGTTTGACAACATCATGCAAAACGTGTTATGTGCAAACGGGGTGCGGTCGAGATGTCAGCAGTAAGTGCTGGGGCGGGGTTAGACGGTTCAAGGTCGTCGCATGCTCAACCTCAGCCGCTGAAAGGCACGTGACAAAGAAGATCCGAAGATTTGGCGCCACTACCAACAGCGTTTGAGCGAAAATATCGGGGGCTCAGGGTTTGGTGAGGCTTTCCCGACCAAAATCACGATAGCGAACATTTTGAAGGCCATTCTACTGCTTTCAACAACCAATTGGCCTTTGAAAACATATAGATACTATACTTTTGATTATTCTCTTTCAGAATATCTACTTTTAAACGGTCCCTACATCCTAGGGACTGAGATCAATCGCTGTCTAGTTGCACTATTCCATGTTAAGGATTCTCAACACATTTCCATCCATCTCGACTCCAGGTGCACAATATACACCATTAAGATCCATATATCCATCCAAAACATATAGAAAGTATACTTTCAATCATTCTCTGTAAGGATATCTACGTATAAAACAATTCCCCTTTTTGGATATTGAGGTTAATTCGGGTTTAGTTGAACTATCCCTATTCTATTTCTTCAAACGCTGGGAAACTTGCTCAAATATTCCTTAAATTATAATACTTATTCCATCAAAGTCAATCCTCCTATCATCCAGAGTCCTTATACAGTATACATATGACAATCCGTTACTTTGGTTCGGGTTTCTCTCCTATCTAAGCTAATTAAGTTTAACTAGCGCTTCTCCACCGCGTTTCAATTATCGTACTAACTATATGTTGCGGTAGACATCGCCATGAATGCGAGAGCAGCCATTTTCCTGGAATCTAGATCGCTGGGACCAACTTTCACATCCAAACAGAATCAAACAAGATTCACAGAGGGTCCACCATCACTGAGGGCTTACCCCGCTTTAGTTTGATTCGTATCGGCTTCCCTCCCGACCTACTCCTCATTGAACAGTACTTATCTGATATTAGGAGCAGAACCTTGATCAATACTGTTTGACGACGTGCGTGTTGTGATCTTTCCTCGATTACACATCAATTGACCCAATTGTATACCAGATTTGGTGCAAATGCAAGCTGTTGAGAACCTGTCTTTGGGCCTTCCTTCTTCTTGCCCCCCAAATCGGTGCACGATGGCCTTCCTCTTTGGACCACTTGTCGTATCCTCTGGCTGCCTCCCGATCCTACTGGATTCAGTGTTTCACTTCGAACCATTTGGCGTCTCGGTATTATGTATGTGTATGTACATTGGATAATGGGTTATGAAGCATTTCGCACCCAGAACAAAATACGAATACCAATAGGATCTTACTAATTGCCTTAAACCTTCCCTTCCTGCACTTTTAGACGACACGAATGTCCGTCACGGCCATATCTTCCCACCAGTCCGCGCGGTATAGCTTCGCCACCCCCAGGCGCTGGAACGTCACATACTCATGACCGACGTCAGCCTCCATGATCTTCCTCAGCACAAGCACCCAATCCTGCCTCTTCGGCCCCTTCCCGCTGGACCCCCGAGTGCGAGCATGTTGCTCCTCCCGCGACCGGCAATTCGACATGAGCGATAGAAAGTGGATGTTCTCGTGTTCGTTATAGTCTAGTAACGCCCATCCATATACGGTGTTGTCCGCTCGTGCAAGATAATATCCGAGCTTGGGGCTAAGCGGACTTGCCTCAATTCGACGCAGGTCCTCGTGAATCTCCTCATCGATGATCCGTGGGTGATCTCCAGAGGGCAGCAACACAGTGCCTTGCAACGGAGCACAGCGCGATTTGATCAGCAAAGACCCGTCCCCGGCAAGGCGGACATATTCGCATGTAGATTTTGCTTTAACAAGGGGGCCATAGCGGACAGCGTACGGGAACGACACCCAGCTCCACGTTGGGGCGCCAAGGGGATTATACCTTACTCGGGGCTGAGCAGGCGTGGTGGATGGTTTCGCATACCAGAAGAGCTGGTCGGGGCATCCGTTTTCCCAAATTCCCCATCGATATACGCCGCGGATGAGAGGTTGTAATTCTGCTGCCAGTCCTTCGAGGGCTACCATTCGGTCAGTCCAATGGCTTAGCTTTCTAATGCTGTAGTGCTCAATAATATGTTTCCATTTAGGGTTTCGTGCCGTGTTGTGGCACTTCTCGCCAGTCTCCCGCTGCGTATACGTCTTACATGACCAGGTCAGTGACCCTTCGGTAAAGAAGACCATGCGTCTGGAGAGCAGCCATTCTTGAGTTGCCCAGGCGCGAACAGCCAGGGGCGAGGATTCCGGAGAAAGGCTGCGATATGACTGGTGAGGCAAAGCAAGGAAGACGGATGCCTCATTCTCCTCTCCGGAGCACCTTAAAGTACCAGCATTACATGATGATTCCATGAAGTTGGGAAGTCCTGCTGAAGGAGGCATAGGAGGACGTGGAAGGTAACATCCAGTATGTGCATCGGGAGAGTGGCATGAAGCCAGTGTTAGCACCGCATTCTGATACACAGAATTCATTCTCTTGGACTCGCGCAGCCACTCATCGCTATCATCTTGGACGATGCATAAACTGTCAATCCAGATATACCGCAAACCGAGGCCGCGTACGGTAGATATGGCATCCTGGAACGTCTTTGGGATGGCCACCCACGGGATTTCCGACTGATGAGAGTGTAGGTTCGACCATGTTGTCTTCAGCGGATGACTTTCAGGCGGACCCCAACAATGAGATAGAGCGACATATTCGGCGCGAAGTTCACGAGTCTCAAGCAGCTTGGGATTTTCCGATCCATCGCCCGCGCCGACATCCACAATGCGGGTCGGTAGCCTCGACTCGGCCTCCGGGGCGAGGATAGAGCCAGAAAGCGTTCTGCGGCACTTCGGGTGTTCGGTCTTGCACGACGCAAGCCATCTTTTCAGTAGGGCGTGAGCGCCATGGTCGTCGGTGGCAGTCAGAGCCGGTCTCCCAACGATATCTCCACGAACAGATGCCAAACTCCCTCGTAACTGTCAGCAATCGTACCAGTAGGAAACCGGACCAACCTGCAGCCGAAAATTACCAGGTAGTGCGTACAGACGCAACTCCGCGACGACTACAGTGTCGCTCCCGTTGCTTCCTTTACCGATAGGAACGACAAATGCCAACCCCGTAAGCGACTCGGCGTCAGGCGCACTCGAATCAGGAAATGTTCGCCGTTGCGTGTCTAGCTTGGGTAGAATGTAGGTCGCGCTCGAGCCGATGCTCCCGTCAAGATCGCCTGTACGATTCCAGAGTGGGATGCGGTGGCCATGGTAATTGATGGTCTCCTTGAATGGGGTTTTGTAGACCAGGCGTTCCAATTCGCGCCATATCAGTTCACAAGATGTGCAGCAGCGCCGCGAATGGAGAATCTCTCGTGCATTCTCATGAAGGATCATCCCCCGGACCGGACCGTTCCCAAGTGTCGGCCACCAAGCTGGTAGTTCAAGTAGATCGTTGGATACATTTCGGAGGGATATTTTTTGGCAATTCTCACACAGCGTCATGGGTGGGAGTGATAGGATAGATTGGGCTTCATAGCATTCCGTTTTCGAACGATCCAGGGACAAATGCGGGGACTTTCCTGACGCGCTCCGGATGGTAAGTTTCAACTTGAACGATGAAGAAAGTCGGAGGAGAGGAGCGTCCACCAGCAACCTTCAGTGGCAGTATTGTCCCTTAGTAAGATCGTCACACGTGAAGCAGTGCAGGGGATCCTGTCCTAAAATCCATTCTCATGCCCTCACACTGAAATATGCATCTTCCGATTTTAGACCTGTAGCCACCATATATTCTCTAGCAATTACAAGCCGACAGAGCAATGAGGATGGTCTTCTTTGCGCAGTGGCACCAATCGACATTCGCGTAGGTGCTCGCAGGGCGCGATCTCAGATCTCCATCGCCGACCTGGCCATCAGGCAGCAGGCAACAACCGGAGCCCCAAACTTCCAGAACTTCTAGCGTACCCGTACAAGTGGGAATAGGGAATATGGCCGGGTATACGGGAAATTTGCCCTAGCCATGGAATCCAGGGTGACGGACGGTCGAATGCGCGCGGCGTCACGGAGTGGTGGCGACTGGAGACAAGAGGATTGACGGTTTCGCTGGGCCGGATTGGCATGACGGCATGAACTGAGGGGAACATTCCAGGCCGATGTGAATTTAGATTTTAAGAGGACACTTGGGATGTTCCTGTTTAGACTCTGCAGGTGGAAGATTTGATGAAGCGACGGATGATTGATGAGGGTGTGACAGTGCGGCGTATTCGGAATTGAGGCTACATACCGACGCTATAATATCCGAGATATCGCCACATTTTGACATCGGATCCAGACTTTCAAAACCTGAATTCCCCTCCACAGCATCGTGTCCTTTTTACATTCGATTGGAAGATCGGTTTTGACGGGCGTCGGCGCGTCGCCTGCAAGCCGCCGCGTTTTCTTTTCTTTTCCTCCCTTTATCTCCCTGCGCACGTCTGCAAGTCTACCCGATCTCAACAATCCTGACCGGACTCCCGCGACGTGTGTGTAATATGTATAAGTATGACCCCGAGTGATGACCTCAATAGAGCCCGGCGATCAGATCTTCTCCGTCTAGGTACCTGCTAGTGTCGATACCCGCTGAACAAAGCGACCAATTGCGCACGCTGGTATCTGCAAATTGGGTCCGATTCTCAGCGGCGGCCCGTCATTAAATCTCGCCCCCCTTGCGGCTTTAAGACCAGCGCTCGCCCTCATTGTGTGGCGGTTCAGCATTAATCCCGTTGTCTTCATCATCACTTACCACATCTAGCAGTTAACACCATTCTTTCCTTCCTTTGCTCTTTTGGGGCTCGATCGACGCGCATCCTTCGCATGTCTGTCCAGTCTAGACTTACCCCTCACTGATATCATCGACCCTCCACCTTTTCTATACTTCGCAACTATAGACATCGTCAACAAAATGTTCGACAACTACTCCCTCCGAACCGCCTCTCGACACCCTTCGCAACCTACCGGCCCTTACCCATCCGTTTCTCCCACCTCGACACCAGAGTCATACGGCGCCCAGCACCGTGCAATAAATGACCTCACCCACCAACTGGACACCTCTCACCTCGCCGACCAATCCCCCACCACGAGCTACTTCGACTTCGACACCCCTCCCCCCTACAACTACCCCACCAACCCGTCCCCAACATCCTCCCACGCACCCGACGATCCCGCCCCCTCCCAGCTAGCAAACTACTTCGAGACCGACTACCGCGCCCTCCGCGCCCAGCGCCAGGCCGCGTCGCGCCTCCAATGCAGTACGCGCCACCTCCGCGAAATATCCGCGCTCGTCACCCGCATGGTTGAGTCCGGCGAGCAATGCTGCCTGTTCTCGCCGTCGTCCTCATGCGCGGCGGCTGATCCAGCGGAGCCGATCGACGAGGGCTCGGAAGTCCTCTCCGGCCGGGATGATGGCGTGGGGGCGCCGACGAGGGGCGGGAGCCGGAAGTTGAGAGATCGGAAGAGTTGCGATCTGGGGAGTGCGGATGGGGGCGTGGCACGGAGTATCCGAGGAAAGAAAAGAAGACCAAAAAGCGGAAGTGGGGTTAGCAAGCCGTAGAGTGAGAAGGTTTAGGTTGTGTCCTTGCGTGGCGAAACGGGACGAAGAACATTGTCGATTATAGCGAGGCGTCTGGTTCGGTGGGTACGGTATGGCATATATCATGAGGCCTCCATGAGGAGCATTTCATGGATTGGGAGTATTGTATGATAGGATGGAGAAATGATCCGGTTCAAGAGCTAAACAGCTTCCTTAAGAATTTGTGTCGCGATCGATTTCTCAAATGTATCAGATTGTGTGTTGAAAAGCGCATGAGAGAGGGGATAATAAATCAGAGGAACATTACCAACATCCAGAGACAAATGTACCCGGAACCCTGATTTTACCATCTCATATCGGACAATGAAGAAACCAATCACAATGCTCAATTCTCATAACGCTATCTATGCTATTGTACCGAGATGATCGTGCTCAAACCCCAACGCGCCATCCCAAAGCCGTAATCCATAGCACTACACATCCATCTCTCTCAACGGTACATATGTCCCTTGACTCTCATCCAGACGTTTCCTCTCCTTGGTCTCCACCAGCCTCATCATCCACCGTTTCACATTGCCCAAAACCTTGCTCACCATCCATCGCCCCTTTCGCACCTCCCCGCCGTCCAACCCTGCGAACCCCGCCCCTTCCGGATCCAACACCTCCACACACATCCAGCGCGGCCGCCTCCACCATCGCAACGCCAACGAACTCGCCACCACGCTCACCGAACTCGCCGCCATCGCTGCCCCCGCTGCCATGGGATGCACATGCAGGCCCCACGGCAGGAAGAGCCCCATCGCGAACGGCAGGCCGACCGCGTTGTACATCGTCGCCCAGAGGAGGTTCAGCTTAATGCGCCGGAAGATGGCGCGCGACAGGTGGAGCGACGCCGGGATGGCCAGCAGGTCCACCGTGCGGCTGGCCGAGGTGTCGCCTTCGAGGTCCAGGCCGTAGAGCGATGATTCGCCGAGGGACGACGAGGAGGCCATGAGGACGATGGATGCTGCCTCCATGGCGATGTCCGCGCCCTCCGCGAGGGCGATGCCGATGTCGGCGGTCGCGAGGGCGGGCGAGTCGTTGATCCCGTCGCCGACCATGGCGATGACCTGGCGCCGCCCCCGCGCGTCGCGCTGCTTCTTCATCTCTTGGAGCAGGGCCTGTTTCTTGCTGGGGCTGGCGCTCGCGTGGACGTTGCTGTCGGGGATGCCGACGGCGCGGGCGACGACGAGGGCGGGGGCTAGGGTGTCGCCCGTCACGATGGAGCAGGTGACGCCCAATCGCCGGAGTGCGGCAATGGCGGCGCGCGCGGTAGGCTTGAGGGTGTCGGCGAGGGAAAGGCTGCCGGTGTAGGTGACGTCGAGGGCGGTGTGGATGGTCGAGGTGCCGGCAGATAGGGAACGGGAAAATGCTGGGGTGGTTGGGGTATTCGGGACGGTAGAAGTTAGGTCGGCCACGTCCGAGTAGGGGGAATTGGGGCGGGGCGGGAGCGGTTTGTCAGGGAGCGGTTTGTCTCTAGAGGACGCCCATACCGGGATGACGACCCCTTGACTTCGGAGGTATGATGCATTGCCGAGATGAACCCGGTGAGAGACCCGACGCCCGTCAATGACCGCTTCGCAGGTTGCGGAAAGGCCTTTGCCGACGGCGGCTTTGAAGTCGGTGATAGAGCCATCAAAGGCGCTCTCCGGGGACATCCTCAGTCGCTGACGTGCGGCATTCACGATCGCGCGGGCGATGGGATGCTCGGACCCCGTTTCCGCCAGCCCGACCAAAGTCCACCATTTCTTGGCCGCCGCTTCATCGTGCAGATACTCGTGGATCAAGTCGTCAGAGCTGACGCTCATCTTGCCGATCGTGAGAGTGCCGGTTTTGTCGAGGACCACATGGGTGATCGCGGTGGCCTTTTCAAGCGCCGCACCACCTTTGACCAGAATGCCCTGACTTGCGCCAACTCCGGTCCCAACCATCACGGCGGTCGGCGTTGAAAGGCCAAGGGCACAAGGGCAGGCGATCACAATGACGGAAATACAAAGCTTGGCGCACACCATCGTGCGTCCTCCGCTTTGTTCGCTTAAGAAGATATCTGGGGGACTCGATAGGAGGTGGGATAGGACCATCCAAGCCACAAAGGTGGCCAGACCCAGGGTTATGATAATCGGTACGAAGTATCCTGCAACCTTGTCCGCGAGCCTTTGAATGGGTGCTCTCGTCGTCTGTGCATCTTGTACCAAGCGAACGATCTGGGAGAGCTGGGTATCGCGTCCGGCCCTCGTGACCACAAGGTCCAATCGTCCGGCTCCATTGACGGTACCCGCCATAAGAGCGTGTCTTCGCCTTTTAAGGATTGGCATCGCTTCGCCGGTGACCATACTCTCATCCACATATGATTCGCCGCGCAGAACAATGCCATCCGCAGGGATTTTATCCCCCGGACGTAGCACGACGACATCGCCCGACTCTAGAAGCTCGGTCGGGACCATTTGTTCTTCCGCGGAGGATACCGTGGTGGAATTGTCGGTCGCGGCATTCATCAGCTTTTCAACGGGAGACATCTTTTCCAGTCCTGAATCGTCTTCCGCGGTTTTGATGGCTGCAATGGGATCGACGTAGATAGTGGCCATACTCGGAGCCAGGCTCATCAGTCTGCTCAAGGCCTTGCTCGTTTGCCCCTTGGCGCTATTCTCCATGTATCGTCCAAGGGTGATGAAAGTGATGAGCATCGTGCTCGTGTCGAACACGGTGCTCGGTTTCGTATGGGGAGGGGTGAGGAAACTGACAAGCATCGCTGCAACGCTGAAGAAGAATGCTGCACTGGTCCCAAGGACCACCAGAACGTCCATAGTCGGTGCCCGGTGGATCAGGCTCTTATATGCACTCCGGTAAAACCGCCGGCCGATACCAAACTGAACTGGGATCGTAAGAATGAGGCATACAATATCCCCAAGGTAAATTCCAGGGACAATGCGCACGGAACCAATGTCTAAGAAGGGTATCCACATGGGGAAAATCATCGAGATGAGGAAAACAGGAACAGCGAAGCAAAGGGATATACGGAACGCTCTTCGCCATCCTTGGATTTCTTTCGTTTTCGCCAATGACTCCAACTGGGCATTATTGTCTTCACTGTCGGCCAGTAAAGCATTGAATCCGGTCTTTTCGATCGCCTCAACGATAGCCCTCAAGCCCGTGATGTTGGGAGTATGGTTCACCGTCGCTCGATTCGTGGCGTAGCTAACGGAGACTGAGTCAACTCCTTTCAGGTCGCCGACGGCCTTTTCTACAACGGAAGCATCATCTTCGCCACTCAATCCAAAGATCTTCAGGCTAACTGCGGATGATCCGGACCCTGCTGGCCGAGACCATGCCACGGAAGAGACGATCTTGGCATCAAAGCCACAGTCCTCGATGATCGTGGCTATCCGCTCCGGTGAAAGTTTTGTATTGTCGTGGACGATGACGGCACGCTCTGCGAGGAGAGAAATGTTGAACTGAAGCATTCCATCCACAGTTTTGAAGCCGCCTTCTACAGCCGACGTACAAGCTCCGCAAGTCATGCCTTCGATTGCCACAGTAGTCGATAGAATGCTGTCGCTTTGCTCAGTCCTTCGTGTCCCTTCGACATTGTTTGTGGGGATAATCGGTTTCGTTCCGATGACTTTCGCTTCGAAGCCCGCATCTTCAATGATCTCGGCGATCTTTTCCGGTGCGAGGAGTTTGGGGTCGTGTTCCAGCACTGCCCTCTCTGATAATAAGGATATACTGAAGTTCTTCACACCCTCCACGTCCTTGAAAGCACCCTCGATCGCGCTTGTGCATGCACCACAGGTCATTCCGCCAACTTGAACCGTCGTAATCGCTTCGGGAGGCCCCTGGCTTTCTGTTTTGGATGCCATGGTCGAAATGACCGCAGCGCCAAATCCGCGATCTTCAATCATGTCCTTTATTGTCTCTGGAGCGATGCGAGCGACGTCATGGACGAGGACAGCTCGCTCCATGACCAAGGAGATGTCGACACTTTGGACGGCGGGCTCGTTTGCAAAAGCGGACTCCACGGCGGATGTACAGGCACCGCAGGTCATGCCTTGTACTTGCAATGTCGTGGTGGCCATGCGTCTCGAGGGGGAGGGTGTAGCTGAGGACGCCATGGCTTATCGCAAAGGGAGTGGGAGAACGGGGATGGCGGCGAGCCCGCGCTGGTTATTGAAGGTGGGCCGCCACAGTGAGCTCGATCGCAAGATCCTAGATATGTACAGGTTCGGAAGGTCTAACAATCGGCGAGACGGGCATTGCTTGCACCAGTTTCTAGGCTTCTAGCAGATAGCCAGAAGGGATTCAGAGGTACGGAATAGGGTGCGTGGGGTACGGTAGTAAAGTCCGACAGGCTGCCGTTTGATGATTTCGAAGCGGATAGGCTGGAGAAGGGTGGAAAGGACAAAGAAAGGAGTGATACGGAGGAGACGGAATATGAAAGCACCAAAGAATTCAAGGCCAGCTGGTCAAAGGAAGCAGGCGGGTAAATGTATGTATGTACAGGTTTATTAATTGACAGGGACAGGCAATGCTCTGACGATGTAGATACAGGCACTCTATCTCACACCCTACTGAGTCTAACCCGATAGAAGTGAAGGGCAGCTTTAATTAGGGCGGACAGCGAGCACGTCAGCTGCGACATTTGTGATGGGGAAGTCCTGGTGTTTTTCTTTAATTAGCTCCGATACAGTAATACTGGAGTCAGGTGATTTGTCTAGTGAGATTCCTTGACGGATACGGAGGAAACATTGCCAATAACTACCCTGGCTTACGAGTAACTAGAGGGAGAGCCCGGTATTAAACTACTATCTTGGTAGTTATACCTAACACACTAAGGATTATGTAATCCTGCTCTCCCTCTTCCTGTCAATTGGCAATGGTGTTCACTGCAGCAAACAAATTACAAAATTGCAGAAATCAAGATCCGTTCACCTTATCCTTCTTGCGAAAAACAGGAAGTTGGTTGACGGGTTCCACAAAGCGAAAATTGCTTCCTGCATGCGCCGGACAGCATTCCGCATTTCCGCCGAAGGTCGCTTCGCCGGCCGACCCTCCCGAAACGCCCGCAACACATCTGCAACACGTATCATCGGACGCAATGTTATATTACCATGCATACGTAGAACGTTTCTCGCCCTGATGGTATCCTGGGCCTTGGGCCGTCGCTCCGGCCGTCACTGTGCTGACGAGCTGCGTATTCACCTCCAAGGAGCATTTCCCACCTATCAGTCACCTTGGTCCATGTCCTACTGGCTTAGGAACCAAATAAGCGTTAGACGGACAGCGATGGAAGGTCTTCTTCCCTATGAAACCTCCCCACCCGAGATGGACACGGGGTGAGGAGTACACTCAGTACACGAGGCTTGGATGCTTAAGGAACCCCGTGCTCTCGACGTCCGTTCTAGCCTCCACCGCGCTCGTATTACGTTTCAGGGACGTTTCGAGAGCAAACCCGTCTCAAAGCGAAGAGTTTTTTGTGTGCTTCGGTTTGACATCATGCCCGTCTCGAAATGCTCGAAATGCTGGAAATGCAGTTTATACAAAAGTTAGACATATCCCCACATCAGATTCGTTAGATGTTGCCCGAATAATTGTGGAGGTAGAGCATATCGGACATGTATTGATGATCTTGTTGAATTGCGTCAGAGGATGTATAATCAACATTCAATCTATTAAATAGGCTATATGCAAAGCAAGAGCAAGGCAAGCACAATTCAAGAACAAGAATAAGCACTTCGATTAGATTCGACGATGTTGGTATGATATAGAGGCGACGCTCCTGTAGTATCTTGCACAAATATAAGGGGTATATGCCGCGACCACTCAGGGCTACCGAATATGCAACACTTCACCAAACGCTTCGGGCCATGGCGCGAAATCGAGCAACATGGTACCGTTCCCCTAGATCACCGTGTGGTCATGCATGAACAATTCAGCGCGAGAATGAATCACATCACCGTCTGTTTGGCTAATGTTAGCGCAGAAACTTCACTGAACGACAAAAAGATGCAAACGAAAGGCTTCAATGGGAAACTTACGCAGTCACCGTCCTTTTTTCCTTGTGGGATTTTCATCTCTTCAAAGGTCTTCGGCCCTTTCCCAGGTCTCTTTGGCGGGTTCATAGCACCGCTTGGTGGTTGCGGCCCCGATGGCTTCTCCTTGGACGGAGTATTTTTCCGCGGCGGAACATGCTGTGACGGGCCATGTTGTGACGGAGCATTCTGGGATAGCGATGCGGTGCGGGGTGGTCGAGCTCCGGCTCCCTGGCCTTGCATTCCTTGGGGCGGGTGAGGGCTCTGCTGGGGGTGATGCTGGTTCCCATGCTGGTATGACTGGTACTGCGGCTGGGCCCCTGGGCCGGTTGGATGGGGGCGGTGGTCCTTCGGTGGGACGTTCGGGTTATGGGAGGGTTGATGGGGCGATGGGGTGGGCTTTTTGCGGACCTCGAGAGGCGCGACGAATCCAAGATTGTCAGGACGTCGCTGTGGCATCGAATTATCGGCGGCGGGTCGACCTCGTCCGTCGCCCGGCGGTGCAGCATAGCCAATGTCGGGATGAGGGGCCAAATTAGGATTGTGTACGGGCCTACCATGTTCAGGGGGTGGCCGGTCATCGTACGGGCGTTGATGGGGCGAAGCCTGTCTACCATCGTATGGACGCTCATGGGGAGACGGTTGCCTGCCATAATTGCCAGGTCCGGGAGGGCCGGAGCTAATTCGTGACCCGGGTGGTGGTCGTGGTCGTCCCCCTGAACCGCCACTGTAATCTGCAACACTGGAATAAGGACGGGACGGGGCCCCAGCACCAGCGCCAGTATTCGGGCGGCCATTGCCGTACACATTCGGGTTGATGCCGAATGCTCCACCAGATAGCGGTCGTAGATCGGGTGGTGCGGCGGATTGAGCGCGAATCTCAGGAACAAAATAGGCGCCACCCAATTGACCGCCCTGGTGAGGAGGCGCGTCGTCGACTGGATACGGCGCAGCTGTTGCTGGCCGCTCGGGAATATTGAGTTTCGGAGGGCCATCGTTGTCGGGGTATGGCATATAGGAGGACGTTCGAGGAGGGCGGACAACATTAGGTTGGGTCTGGGATTGGGATGGAGGCTGTGGAGGCTGATCGGCTTCCGGGCCATCGTCATCTAGAACCGTGGGTAGAGGAGGTGCTTGTGCCTTAAATCGGTCCGGTCGCGCACCACGTTTCGAGCCGTATTGGGACTTGATACGTGAGATTGCGACTTGTTCGTGATCCTTTTTGGACAAGGTTTGCGACTTCTTGATGCTTTCAATACGACTAACGGCATCTTGATTGTCATTTTGAGCGGCTTTCTCGTACCACTCGAGGGCTTTGTCGATGCTGACTGGGGTCTGCATGCCGATTTCGTGGAAGTAGCCCATGGCAAATTCGGCCGTGGAAAGCTGAGCCTGGGCAGCTCGTTGAGCATATTGAAATGCAAGCTCTTCATTTTTCGCAAACACCCCTTCGTAGCCGCAGAGGAACCATTTGCTGATCGCCATCTCCGCCTCCGGTTCGCCTTGACGAGCAGCCAGGGCGTTATAATGCAACGACAGGGCGGGACTGAATTCGCAACCGAGCAGGCACAGCTCGTATGCAGCTCCCATCTTCACCTGTGCCTTGGCAAATCCGAGGTATGCTGCCTTTTCGATATTCTGCCTAGCCAACCGGTCGTCATGAGGAAGATAGATTTCTGGCACAGCGATCTGGGGCAGCTCTCTCGCTTGCAGCATTCCCAAGACAAATGCGCCCTGAGGTGCATTCTCATCCGCAGTCGACGCGGCTTGTCTTAACAAGTTGATGCCTTTAGCAAAGTCTTGATGTTGTCCCGCTTGACCAAGGAGCGTCATCATGCCCAGTCGGTAGTTGGACGCGGAATCCCCGGCTTCAGCACCACGTTTGTAATGGATTAGTGCTTTCACCGGATCGTTCGATGATTCGTACTGCATTCCGATCCTATACTCTGCTCTCGAATATCCCTTTTCCGCGGCCCGGGAGTAGCTTCGGAAGGCTTCTCGTTTGTCGACCCGTTGCTCGAATTTACCGAATTCCAACCACATCCCTCGCATGAATTCCGCCTTCGGATGATGTTGATTAGCCAAAAACTGCACTATTTCCATGGCGTCGACACGGAGCTGATGCTCCACCTGAGGAGTTGCAGGCCGCGCCGGCTGATTCATTGACAAGCGTTCTTCATGCGACTGCGCCGCATCAACGAAGATAAGACAATCTTGCGCCCATACTAACTGCATTTCGGGGTCATTCGAGTTCAACACGGGTATTCGGGCGTTTTCCAGTATGGCTTCCTTTTGATCATCCGAAGGAGGAACGTTAGCAGCCGGATTAACCAGCTTTGGGAAAGGAGAGAAGTTTGGAAGGTCTGGAGGCAGGGTGAGGGTATGGTAATCATGATTCTGTGGCCAGATTAGGAGCTATTCTATTGGAACTGAAGGGTATTGACTTGGGCATACATTCTGCTGCTCGTGCGGCGGACCGTTATCCATAGGATGGCTCACGGTCGGCGCTTGATGGTAAGCCCGCGAAACATAGTCCATATCCTGGCCTTGGGGATTATTTGCAGGAGATGCCTGGCTGTAGTTCGAACTCGGACTATCGACTTGATTTCCGGCGTTGCGGGGTGGTATCGCTTCGAGTTCCAGATGCGCCAAATTCTCCTGGATGTTTTCGGGGACTTCAGGCATGATTCTAAGGGGTGGATTTTCTCGTCAGCGTCGCCTTGTGATCAGCAGGGGGTGGCCCAACCTCTGCGGTGCCGGTGAGACCAATTCCGGCATATAATAGTCGTCATCGGTGCCCGGGACAAAAGTTGCACCCAGTACGGGTCGGGGCGGCTGGTAGTAACTCATAGTGAACGGAAAGATGCGCTGCTCGCGAGCCGCAGGATACAATATATGATAAAGCGGAACTCAGGGTTTCATCCACAAGGACGACGGGTAATATACCGCCGCAGAAGCTGGGGATATCCAGCGACGGTGCGGTGTTAGGATTAGGGAACCATAAGCAGGGAACAATGAATTGGTCATAAGGTGAGGAGACAAAAGTGGGATTCAGGCATGGAATAAACACGTCCTCTTGGAGGATTCGGCAGAGACAAGCGATGCAAGCGATCCTTCCATGTCGTGGTTCTCCAAGTTTAAGTTTGCTGTCTGCGGGTGTCTGCGGTTCGTTGTCTGTAGATGTCTCCGCTTGTTGTCTGTGTCGTGAGTCGTGAGTGGGATAATACAGAGAACAGGGAAGACAGACGTTCACGGTACGTCTAAGCCTCAAGCCATAATGGCCCTAAACCTCGTGCTGTCACACTGATCCGCCGCCAGAGGCCCCAATCCCTGATGGAGCTCGTGTCCGTTACCATTTGCGGCCTTGTGGACGTGCAGCACCTATTAGGTATTAAATGTGGCGCTCAGGCGCTGTGCAGACCTGTGTGTCGTGCTCTTTGTTGTGCAGTGCTGGACTGACTCCAGTTTGCCAGATGGCTGCAGTCTGCGGTGTTGGTTGCACCTGAGGTTGCGCATCTGAAACCATAGCCTCATACGGAGTGCAGAACATAAGTGCAGACTGCGGACGCCCTATGTTAGCTTGGATGGTTGTCTGTGGCTTGGTTCTCTCCAAGACTCATCATGTCCCAAATATAGCCCGCTCGGTAAGATGAAATTGATGGTAATACGATGCCATCAGCTTGAGCTCTTTCGGGTCGCCACTACTGCCCGACAGCTCAAGTCTCCGAGATCGCGGTTAAAGTCCGAGAGAAAGAGAGACACGGGCGTTGAATCGATCAAGAAAGGTTTCTAAGTCGATTTCTTGGAATCCGATCGAGGTAAGCAGCCAAGTGCTACATACTCTGTAAGTTGCTACTAAGACGAACTATCATGTCATCAGAGATGCTGAACCAGACCTATCCATCCATACACCAATTCCCAGCATTTCTATTCTCTAACCTAGCTTCGGAGGAGGTGGCTTCTTCTCTTTCGATCAACCTCGCATTTCCTTCATTCTCAACCTGACCCCGTCCCCAGGGGCATCCGACAGTGCCAGTCCATGCCTAACCAACCCCATCCCTTCTATCCTCCCTACATCCTCCTGAGCATCGCCCACTTGATCCGCCATCCAGGCGCCGTGTCCCTCGAGCTCACCGAACCGCTGCAGCAGCCGGACGACGACATATCCGGCCTCAGTCAAGGCGAACTGCTGCCCGAGACATGTCCTCGGGCCGCCGTTGAACGGAAGATAATTCCAGCCCATCTTTCTGGCCTCCCACCGTTCCGGTCGGAACTCGTTCGCATCTGGTCCCCAGAAATCCTTCCTCCGATGCATCGTGGTGAGGGAGAACTCTACCACCTCGCCTTTGCCGACGAACACCGGCCTGGTGCCATCCGGTCCGCCCCCGACAGGCAATGTGGTATCCCTCTGTGCCTCGCGGTTGTTGACCGGAACCAGGGGGAACAATCGGAGAGTTTCGTTCATCGTCCACTGCAAGTACCGGCAGTTCTTGAGGCTGGCGAAATCGAGGTTGCGGGGCGCGTCATACGTGCCGAATTCCTTCAGAATCCTCGACCGCAGCTGTTGGAAGACCCGAGGATGCGCTGCGAGGAGTAGGAAGATCCAGGAGAGCAGCTGAGCCGTAGTATCGCGTCCGGCGATCAGAATGTTCAATGCAGCGGACCGTAAGGCGCTCGGATCCCGTGTCTGCGCTGCGATGGCATACAGGAAGATGTATTTTCCGTTCTTTGGCTCGGATCCCTTTTCAATCTCCTCTTGTGGCAGGCTGAGGGCACGCTGCACGAAGTGGTCCACGAAGGCATGGATTTTCCGCCTGTCCTCACGAAAGGCCGTGTTATGTGCCCATTTCCACTGAGTCCCCAGCCGCGTTCCACGAGAGAGCGCTCGCAGTGCGCTCTCCCAATGATGTGCGAAAGCTACCTCGCCGCGACCATATGAGGTTGCCTTGTGGTTTCTGCCTGGCAAAGCGGAAAGTTGAGCTTCGAGACTCTCACCGAATAAAAACTCCGTCGATGTATCAAGCGTCAGACGGTGAAAGAGCGGGAGGAGGTCGGTTTCAGCAGTCCACGCGCTGTGGTCGACGGGGAGAGCCTTCATAAGGTTCTGTACATGATTTTCCTCCAGGTCTAGATCGGATATCTGCGAACGTATGAATTGAGGTCGCAGCATGGCCCTGTTGTGCTCCCATTCTTTGCCATCGGTGGTGATCTGGGACGCGACATGTCAGTCTACCATTCTGCGGCTGGGGTACCAGTAATCGAACTTACAATGCCTTTGCCTAACAGTTCTTTGAGGTTACCACAGCGATCAGGGCCGTGGTAGAAATCCTTGAACTGGATGGCGAGGATCGCCTGTATATTCGCCGGTTCGGATGTAACGATGTGATCCGTGCCAGCCAATTTATAGACGATGGTCGACACATAACGACCTTCTTTTTGGGACACCACTTGGAACCTGTCCTCATAATGAGTCGGGAACCGCTTCTTCTTGTCCGCTCGGAGCAAGTCGCGGATAGCCTCGATCCCTAGGTAATCAAGGACATGGCCAACTCTTGGAGCCTTCTCTGCGCCTAGTTCTTGCGCTCTTCGTCTTCTGTCGAATGCCAATCGAACGAAATTAAGGAATTTGAAGACTACATATGCTGCAATAGCATATGCAAGAAAGCCAAGCTTGCTGGACATCTTGAATCTTGACAGGTGGAGCGATGAGGTAGAAAAGAGAAGTGCGTGTGTAGTAGGGCTATGCCGTAGTAAGAGAATTGATCAGTGCAATATGTCTATAGGAAGTCATAGAAACACCTTGATATCAATAATCTCAAGCAGTACTATGAAGCCATGAAAACCAATCTGATAACTTTTGGCGCCATTCAAGTCGCCTTACGCGGACCGCAGATTCCTTATATCTGTTCTGGTTCCGACTTACCTTTCTCCCAGGCATTCATGTTGGATAAGTATAGGAAACCCCACATAAGCACCTACACGCCAATGCCGATATGGGTGCGCCGAGCGTCATATTTTAGCACATCAGCTTACGGTAGGGTCTCTGAACGATCTCACCGCACCTGTTTGGGTAAAAGGTAAGTACTTAAGTACTTACCTAAGTAGGTAATAGGTACTTGCGTATCTGTAGTCAACACTCAACAGTGAGAAGTGCAACGGTGGATGGATGAGTTAAGGAGAAGTTCGCCACCCAGTCCAGAGCCCGGACCCTGCTCAGCATGCCTCCGTAAGTAGACAGTCCCTTTATTTAACCTCATGTAGCAATAGGAGGCCGGTGACTAGTGAGGAAGCTAAAGACTTTTCGTAGACCAAACTGAGGCGCTACTAGGATGTTTAGGAAAATCCAATGGTGCGGAAGGGATATTAATATTTATCAATTCATTCGCGTGTTGCATGGTGATGTTTTTGCAAAAAGACAACACTGGACTCTTGGCCTCACTTGTTGTTGTACATATTCTATGCGCGATTGATTCCCTGGTAGATATCATGGTGCCGCTTTTTGGACGATTTAGGCGAGTAGACTTAGTAGAGGGTCTTTGTGGTTGGAGCTCGCGGTTCAGGGTGAACACGAGGGCAAACAGGTGCAGGAATTGATCGTTAGTCCCTTCGATCTACATTTCTAGCGAGGGAGTACAGACGCATAGACTATATAGTATTCGCTGGAAAAGAGGCATTCAACTGTCTTAAGTTACCCGCTAAATTCAAGGATTCCACGGTGGCTCTGAAGCTCTGAAGGTTCGTATCAGGGCTGTCATTGAGGCTACCCCAGATAGGACTGAACAGAAGCCATGCATCTCAATAATGGTCTTCAGCGAGTCCATGACGATTCGTATTGCTCCAGGCTGTTTCTCCAAGTGGTTCAGCATGGTGAGATCTTCCAATTCCGTCCATCGTGGCCAACTCAATCGGTCTGTTCTCAATTATATATACGATTGTTACCATTGGAACCTGACCATTCCGGTACCGCCTTCAACCATGTCACCCCTCTTCATTAGCATCTTCAACCGAAGCCGCTTTGCCTTTGCCTTTCCTCTGCCGTTCATCAGGTTCAATGGGCTCTGGAGCGTCATTCGTACGGTCTCCCTGGGAGCCGCTGCTCTCCGGAGCTGCTGCTTGTGCAGTAGGACGAACCCTATAGCCCGGCGGCGTTCCAACGCGCCTCATCGCGCTGTCGAAATTCCACCGCGAATTACTCTGCGGTCTTGTGGGAATGGCGAATGGATTCATGTTGGATTCCGGTTGCAGGGGCGCCGCGATTGATGTAGGCTCGGGTTGCACAGTCTCGCTGGTTGATTCGGGTGGATGTGTTAAAGTCGGAGTCGGCGTGGGGTTCAAGTGCTGGTGGCGAGACTGTTCTTCCGCCTGACTCGTCAATTGGGTCCGTCTTGCTCCTTGATGAGAGAGAGAGGGATCGGGGATTTCGGGATTCGAATGCGTGGGGTTGCCATCGCCAGTGCTCTCGCTCGGTCCAACTACCGAAGGAATGGTGGCTGTCGGAGAAGGATTGGGAGGCAGTGCTGACTGGGGCGTCTGTGTTTGAGGCGCTGAAGAAGAATGGGACGAATGTAGACTTTGCTGCGGTGCTTGAAACGCTGCAAGAGTGGAAGGGTTATCATGGTGAGAACGGGCCGGACTTGGTCCGCGGAGAGAACCCGGAGGGGTATGTCCTGTATGGTTCAGGTGTGATGGGGTTCGAAACGAATTTGATGCCGCTAAATGGTGCGTGACGGGGTTGATGGGTGTAAATGCAGGCGCTGGAGATGGGGAGCGGAAACCAGTGGGTAAGTTAGGATGGGATGTTGTAGATGGTTGCGGAAGCCGATGAAGTGGAATGATCGACCATCCTTCAGGGATAGCAACGCCAGGGATCGCGGCACTAGCATTCGCATGGGTATACTCTTGTGCATTCGGGAGGCCAGTAAAGGGATGTTGAACTGGGGAAATACCAGGTGGCGGAGGTGTCGGGACCGTGTTTGGTACTGGGTGTGTCGGAGGAGGTGGTAGCCCAAGACCTTGTTGCATCCCGGTTTGCCCTGGTTGGTTTGTCTGCCTTAGTCTTTCGAGTTCATCTTGCAGATGACGAACAGTTGTCAACTGCTGTCGAGTAAGGTTCAGCGCCGCAATTTCCTGATTGATACGATGCTCGAGGTGCCAGAGCTGGGCTCGAATTAACGTTCGGTTCACCGTCGGAACCGCTCCAGTTGGATTCTGAGTTGCAGGTTGCCCCCCAGCAGCATTGTTGGCTGCGGCGTCCTGGTTGTCTGGATTCCCTAATTGTTGCATCAAATTTCCCACACCGTTCGCCGGTGCAGTCCCAAGCACAAGCCGGAGAGGTCCGAAACGGTAGGTCCGTACTCGAGGTCGATTTTGCTCCTGATTTCCCGCTTGGTTGTTGTGCGCGTTATCTTGTCTCTGGTTCGGAGCGACACCACCGCCAGTGCCTGGAGTTTGTGATGTGCTGGTTAGCACCGGTCGGCGACAAATGGGACATGCTTGTTGCCGCTCAAGCCAGCTTCGCAAACATCCAAAGTGAAGGATATGCCCACACGGCAGCTTCTTCGCCCTGAAACGCTGGTCTCGGGGTGGTTGTTCAGCCCGATTTTGCTCTCCGGCAGCTCCCGCTCCTTGGCCTTCGCCTGTCCATGGGCGCATGTCCTCCCGGCAGATAATGCAAGTATCGGCGCCCGCTAGCTCCTCTGCCGTCGCATCGGGATACCGTGAATTCATGTCCCGGGTCGCTTGGCGGTATTTGATGAAATCGCTGATCTTCTTGGCGAAGTTGTTCGCTGTCACTGCCACGTCTCGGATGATGTGAATCGGAATGCCGTGGAAGGCGATAAGGATGATGAAGAAGGCCAGGTAAATGATTAACTTGAAAAATTCTGCGCGTGTTAGAGAGTCCGAAAGGCAAAAATAGGGGGTCAAGCTCACCAGTTGCAAGGTCCAGGGCGAAAACCCATCGTCCCTTTTCTTCCCAAACTGGCTCAAACTCGTCCTCATCCACATCCGCATTAGTAGCATGCGCTTGTGCACTACCATCTGGCTGGCTTGCTCGATCGGTCCTTTGTTGTGCCTCCCTTAGACGTGCTTCTTGCCGAGCCGTGATTTGTTGTCGAATAACCTGCTGCTCTTTCAACGAGATCATATATCGGAGCATCGTCGATGTCGAGCCGATCGTCAAGACGGCGAACTCAAACCCGAACATAACCATCATACCGGGCCTCGCTTCGTCTAGCACGGTATCGATACAATATCGAAGCATCGCAGCGTCATACAATATCGAGATGGTAAGGGACGTCGCCAGTCGAGCATGGTATAGGCGCGGGTTTGCAGGGGGCTGCTGTTCTAGATATTCGACGCGAGCCTCGCCCAGCCAGCACCAGATCCGCCCAATGAGGAGCGCTACACACATGAACAGGAACCATCCGCCAATGTCGTCTCGGAATGTTGCCATGGCGAGGCACGTCTCGGTGAGAGCCATCCATCCTCGTTCGTACAGCTGCTCGCGTTCGATATGGCGGAGGGGACCAAAGAGGAGCTTCTGCAGGGAGCTCATCACCCCATATATGCAGAGCAGGAGCACATTGGTCAAGATCTGATCCCGAGTTAGGGCGAGGGATCTCCACGACCACGTAGAATACGCACCATTAAACAAGCATTGCTCTGTGCCAGATACACGGATGCCGAATAGAAGTTCGGTCTTTCATGGAATGCCTTGACAACCACACCCGCCGCCAAAACCGTGGAGACCTGGGCTCACGTCAGTACCATGGTCGGGACGATAGACAGCGATCCAGAAAGCTTACGGCGGCATAGGTCTTAAGGCTGATGATCGCCATTTTCATACAGTGACAGTTCCTCGAATTAAAGTGCCTGTAGGAACAAGACCGGATGGAGCTCAGCCTGAAGTTGTTTCTCTTGCGCCATTGGAGAAGCTGTGGGCTCGCACGCGGCGAAGGTTGGAAGAAGCAGGAAGCGACGTGTTTGTAAGAAGTAGAGAAGCCAAATGTGAGCAAACAATAGGAAGCAAGTATCTGTACAGTTCTTTGTACAGTACCGCCGTAGAGACGTAACAGGGAGAAGGTACGAGGTGGGAGTGTGGGAGCGTACTGAACCGTAGGTACTTGGAATAATAACACGATGTCATTTCCGGCAGAGGGACTGGAATTGCGCGGAGAAGAACCATTCAGATTCAGGCATCCAGGCACTCAGGCCAACATCCCTGTTCCCGGATTCTTGCACATGATGCACACATCAACATGGATCTGATGAATTCGGTATTGCCGTGGCTAACCATTGTTTTATTCTATTACTCCGTTGTAAACCAGGGAGCAAACTTAGCACAATCATTGCAGCAATTGGTTTCCCCAAAATCAACATGGCAAGCCTATTCAGTTCCAAAGCCGCCCTTCCAAGGCTGGTATCATATTCCACTCGAGTCTCTGTCCCCATCTCCCGCTGCAGATGCACCGGCAGAGCCTACTCGACCGCCGAACCGCCATTATTGACAACCAGCATTCCGGCTCCGCACAACGGCCGCATCCTCGTCCTCTCCCTCAATCGTCCCTCCGTTCGAAACGCCCTCTCCGTCGCCCTCGTCTCCTCCCTCAACTCCACCCTCGCCGAAATCCACTCCGAGGGCGCCTCCGGTCCCACACGCGCGGTCATCGTCGCCTCGAACGTCGATAGCGCCTTCTGCGCCGGCGCAGATCTCAAGGAACGGCAATCGATGAACACCGACCAAGTGCAGGAGTTCCTGGCGAACCTCCGCGGCAGTCTGAAGGCGTTGGAGGCGCTGCCCATCCCGACCATTGCGGCGGTGTCGGGAACCGCGCTGGGCGGCGGGTTGGAGGTGGCGCTGTCGACGACGATGAGGATATTCGCGTCCACGGCGACGGTGGGGCTTCCGGAGACGCGGCTGGCGATCGTACCCGGCGCGGGCGGAACGTATCGGTTGCCGAATCTCGTCGGCATGAGCCGCGCGCGAGAGTTGATCTTAACCGGGCGGAGGATCTCTGCTCCGGAAGCGTATTTCCTTGGCCTCTGTAATCGGCTCGTGGAAGTGCTTCCCGAAGAGGGTGAGAGCATGGAGGATTTGTCACGACGGGCGAGGGAGACGGTGCTCCAGGAAGCCGTCGGGATGGCAAATGAGATCTGCGAAGGGGCCCCAACGGCGGTACGCTCTGCACTCAAGGCCATTGGCCGAGGCGAGGACGCCGAGAACGCCGCATATAATGAAATCCTGACGACGGAGGATCGAATTGAGGCGCTGAAAGCGTTCGCGGAGAAAAGAAAACCGGTATATAGAGGCAAATAGGGTATGTTTTGCCGAATTCATAGCGACGCGGTCTTTCGCCGATCAATCCGTTCCATGCTTGGTCTAATCGCGATCGACTCGCATGATTCTTGCCTTTTGCTCCGGCGAAAAGATGATGTGACCTTCCTGTAGAGCTTGGATGAGTATAGGAAGCGACTTGGCTGAAAAGTCGGTTGCGTTCCGCAACTTGTCGAGGTCGTCCGAAAGTTCGGTCGTTACTTGACGCAGGTAGAATGGAACAAATTCCTCATCAATCTTCTTCAGTGTGTCCTTTTTTTATAGTCAGAAGATGTAAGACGAGTTCTAGGTTAATGGAAGTCAAACCTTGGAATAGCCACTTTCTAACAAGACATCCACGGCAGGTTCTGAGACAGCCTCAGGTCTCTTTGTAGTTGTCACCACTGCGTTCGCCCCGTCATGTTCCTTGGACCCTTTCTTGGCTATCTTTTCCTGGCTCTTGGAAGATTTACCCATTATGACTTATATAGCCCAGCTGGTTTGTTCAAATCAGCGAGGTTAACAGAAAATCTCTTGTTGTGGGGTGAAAGGAAGGAAGGAGAAACGATCGTGGAGAAAAATATTGGAAAACCATTCTTAAGGCATGGAGACCCTCAGGCACACCCCACTAGCATCCTAGCGGCATCAAAGATATTGGAAAACGTTGTTCATTGATTTTATAGAGGTCATGAACGCATGTTTACAAGTGGGCTAAAACAACCTTTCCCATATTGAGAGCCCAGTAGCATGAAGCAGTTCCCCCTCAACGCCTCTCTGAATGAGCCGATGCATAATCGCCACACATGCAATGCTTGAAGCTAACCTGTTCATCAATCCTCCGACCTCTTGGATAATCTTCTCTCCCCGCTGAAGGCATACATCACGCCTGAGGTGAAAGATAGACCTCAGCTTGGCGAATACTGCAGCTCCAAGCCTTTAAGTAGGCATGCCCACGAAACAACGGTCACGAACCATGCAGCGTCCGTAAGCACCACGGATTATTTCTTTGAGTCTATCAACCATCGACAATGGCTCTAGTACCTCACTTCGCCACAGCAGCGGTCAGGACCTGGGTCCGGAAGAAACCGCCCTTGGTTCGCTCAATGACCTGTTGATAGACCGATTGAGGCGGGTGGTTCATGACAACAGTACCCTCCCGGAAGTCGATTTTGGCGTCTACCCGGGTGTCCCGAATGAGATTCACAATCCACTTCTCTCCCTCATCTTGTGAGAGACCAAGTCTCGTCGATAGATCCCTAGTAGAACGGTCAGAATTTGCGAAACATCGGATATGCTCCATACTCACTTGATATCAATCCGCTGGTGGATCTTGCAATATGACTCGGAAATGAGATGTCTCGCCGCGTCAACGAATTCGTTTGATGAAGCACCGAGGAAAAAGTCGTCGCTCAAGATTTCTTCGGCTTCCGCCAGTTTCTTTTGAGCCTCCTCGAAGTCGAAGTCGACGTAGAGGGCTTTGATGAAGTCCGTGACCGGATCGGTATACTCGTAGCCTTCCTGCTTGACAATGCGCACGAGATCCTTCAACTGCCTCTGGTACGCGTTCGAGTTTCGACTCCGGCTCCGGTTGGTAACGACGGCGGCGGTCAGGTATCGAAGGATCCACGGGCAAATGGTCTGCACGGTGTTGATGTAGGGTTGGGAGAAGAAAAGTTCCGTCAGGGTCTCTCGCGCCGGTTCGAAGTTGAAGAACGGGAAGAGGGACCAGTGGATCAGCCATGTCCGTTGCTGAAGTTGGGCCAGAGGGTTGTTGAATAGCCGCGTGTCTATGCTCTCTTTGACCTTCTGGATCTCCTCCATCGCTGACTCCCATTCTTGGCTGAGAATCTCGGATGCCAGCTTTCCCCAGCTGGCTGCCGAAACCTTGTCATTGTCGGTCGACTGACGAATCTGTTAGTCTATAACGGTAGCATCGGTAGATATCGTCTTACCAAGATACGGAACTGGTACAGCAACTCCGCTGCACTCGGATAGGAGCCACAGTTATACTGGAACTGTCCAAACTCGTAAAGCGCGTTGACCATCTCAATGGTGACTCCGTGTTGTTCCTGGAGATAGTTCAAGTTGGCAACTTTATCGCTTCGGAGATTCGCAACCACATCTGCATCTCCCAGAAGTTCGGTGATCTTGTTGCACTGCTCCTGGAGTTGTGATCGTCGCTGCAGGACCTCGTCCCTCTTCGTGTCATATTCGCTGGGTCGCTCGCTCAGTCCCTTGAGTTCCGCCTCCAGGTCTCCCACGAAGTCGGTCATATTGGTCTGTTTGAGGAGCTCGAACTTCAAGCGCGTCACCTCGGGGGACGGCTCGAGATCGTTCAGGAGCGGAAATGCCAAATGTCGGTCGAGATAGGGGATCATTTTCGTCATGAGGTCGTGCTGCGAGGCCGAAACCCCGCCTTCTGATTCCGCCATGATTGGGTTCGTGTGGTGGTGGTTCGTCCTAAACAGGATCCCTGGATGGATGATGAGATTAAATCGCTGAGGTTCTGTTCTCGGAAAGGCGATGTTGGAGTTGGAAGGGGCGTCGAAAAGGTGCAGACGAATGTGGTTGTGGTGGAAGGTGCGGTGGAAGGTTTGGCGGAAAATCACGTTGTGGGGCTTGCCGAAATTGTTTCTCACCACTCACGCTCATCAAACCAACTTTATCACTTCACTCACTACACGAGTACTACTACGTATTAACACATCGCCCAATTCCTCCAACCATCCAGCTTCCAGCTCCCTATTTAAAAACTCTCGTCATCTACTTCTCTATCTCCACCATTTGTCTGCCGAATTGAATCATTTCATCACCGATCCTACCCCAGATTCCAACCATGGCATCAAAAAGCGCTCTGCTCCCTTTCCTTCTTCCCCGACCCCTTCCGCGATCATCGACGGTTCGATCCTTCCTTTCCGCACGCCGCGTACCTGTGGCATGTAGGACAATAAGTAAATACCAGGACCGCAGTGCTGTTCTCTTTCAAACGTTCTAATCGAGCATAGCCACCGTCACAACCTCTGCTACCACCGAGTCCTTTACACCACCACCTCAACCATCCACTGACGCGTCGCTGCTGCCTTATCACGTATCCAAGTCGCGCATGAGGCAATTCGCTGTCTACGAGTTGCGAAAAAATGGAGGCAATCTTCTGAAGACCCGAATCAAACACATTTATGGCGATGTCCATAAGCTTCGAGATGAGATTCAAGCGCTGCTAGAGCTTGAAGCAAAAAACATCAAGGTCAACCCTGTGAACGGCCATATCGAAATCAAGGTACGTGACGAAGCACAGCAATCGCTCGTTTGATGCAGCAGCTAACTAGAGTCGCAGGGCTGGTACAAAGACAAGATCTGTGAATTTCTCCAATCTAAGAAGTTTGAGCAATATTTACCTCAAAAACCATCAACGACGACTGCCACTTAATGCGGTATGGGGTGATTGCGAGTGGACGGCCTCTGACTGAGCCCAATGCGCAAATCCCATGCAAGGAAGTCAATCCGTCGTTTGATGGTGAGTAGATGGCGGGCGTCTCATGCGGAGTTTAACTTCTGCGAGGGTGGAAGTATTTCTTACAATGTTCCTTCCAAGGATACAGGCCTTCAAATGAAGCCAATACTTCAACCTGGAAGGGTATTGTCGTGTTGGCCCGGAGGGTTTCTTGTCGACCACTCCACCTGCCCGGGCTGACTCTCCGCGAGTCCTCCGTGTTTCGAAGAAAGGGAAGTCGAAGTTTTGGGTGTTGGCTGGCGAGAGGATGATCTCTAACTATGCATCCTCTGCCGTGGATTGAATAACTTTTTACGGGGTCGAGGATCTGGGGAGGGCTACTGTGGTATCATTTCAGACACCTCTCCCCGTGTTTTATAGCACACACTACAGCATGCAATGCAGTCATCTTTGTTAGCGATGGGTGGTCGGAGATGCCCTTTTCAACGAAGGGGTTGTTGGTAATGTACAGGGGCGATATATGCTGTACCTGCGTTGCCTATTGGAGTAGATAGAATTGGATTCGTGCCAACTGGTACCGATATTGTTGATATTATTGATATTATTGAATATTGATACCTTACGGAGTACCTATGCTGGTATTGTTGGAACAGTGCTAGGGCCACAGTAGCTGCACCAACGGCTGATCGACAGGCTAATTTGCTTGCCCAATAATAATAAAGATCCTAACCGCGAGTGGTACAGCGTAAGGAATATTACCAGGCACTTAATGATATGTACTCCGTGCCATATGTCCGTAACCTCCAAAGTTCCAATCGAAGGCCCTAGCCTTGAACGGTTGATTCCTTTAGTGTCGAAATAGGGTCTCTCTACAGACGAACTGGATTGTGGTTTGGTTATCGGCTCATTGAAGTGAATCTTCAATCTTCTTGCCGCTCGGCGGAACTCGTTTGCCCCCCTCCAGCCTTCACCCTGGCTTGAGCCTCCCTTAGGCTCTTAGCTGCTCATACCGGTACCAAAGAAGCCCAAGAACTGCTAACATTTCAGTTCCACCCACTCCTACTACTGCCGCGGGTGTCATACACCCTATCCTGCCCTCATAGGACTTGGGTGGATATGTAATTGTGGAGAATAGCAGCAGCCGTCAAGCGTTTGTCAAGTCGTCAAATCGTGAAAGATGGATATAACTTCCAAAACGGGCGCGTTGGCATCGCCGAAACTCACCAAGCCAAAGCCCGCACCCGCTCCAAGTATGGTGGCGTACGCTGCCTTTGGGTGTGGTAAGAATCCGAGCGTCGAGCAAGACGAAGATCGCTGGTTGCTAACCTCTTGCCACAGAACACATTCATGACCTATTCATGGAGAACCGGAAATTCACCGTCCATCACTACTCCCTCCTGGTCCAGACCATCAACGAAAAGAACGCCCTGATCCTGCAAACCCACAAGTCTCTCAAAGCCCCCGAACCGAGACCGGCCGTCTGCTTCACGCCGACCTATCTGTGCCTGCAATGCCCCAGCGTCCACAGTCCGGAGTTGAGAGATAAGCACTGGGACACTAAGGGCCATGCGTTCTGTAATGCACCATGGAATCGGCTTTGCCTTTGTCACGACTGACACCACACAGCAATCGAGTCACGGTCAGGCTATGTATACTGCCAGGAATGCCAGGACTTCATATATGACCCCACGCTCGAGGAAGTGCGTCTACAACGAGGTGAGACAACCATGAACCGCATGCGAAATAAGAACTGACGGGAGATATGCTGGGACTAGGCCGGAAGAGACGGAAGCTCCAGGACTACACTCATACCCCCGAAGATGCCCGTTTAATCGCGCAGAACTCAACATTCGCCCCGTGCCGTGCGATTGGATTGCGTGGATTCTACAACATGGGCCAGACGTGCTTCATGAGCGTTATCATCCAAAGCCTGCTGCACAACCCGTTCATCAAGATGTTCTATCTCGGCGAAGGACATAAGACGGCGGATTGCGAGAAGTCCCATTGCACGAGTTGCGCGCTGGACGAGATCTTCACGGAGTTTTATTCGGTGGAGAAGACGGAGGGGTTCGGCGCGGTGAACATGCTCATTGGGAGCTGGATGGGCACGCATGTAAGCAGCGGGAAGTCATTTCATGCCTGAGAAAGTCAACTGACGCGTCCACAGTCACTGGCCGGCGATAAGCAGCAGGATGCCCACGAGTATCTCCAATTCATATTTAATTCTCTCCACTTGGAAAACGGTGGAACCACCGATCACAAGGGAGACGATTGCTCGTGCATCATGCATCGCTCCTTTTCCGGCCGGCTGCAGAGCACCGTCACCTGCGATAAATGCAAGAACATCACCACGGCGTTCGATCCGTTCATGGACCTGAGTCTGGATCTGAAGAGCCAGGCCAGAAAACGGAAAGCCGACGTGGATAAATTCGCAGATATCGTGCCGGTGGATGTGAGGGAATGCCTAGAGCGGTTTACTGGAAAGGAGAAGCTCCCAAGCGGAGAATACACCTGCCATAAATGTGGCGGTTCGCAACAAAATGCGACGAAGCAGCTCAGCGTCCAACGTCTTACCCCGGTGTTGACGATCCATCTAAAGGTAAGGAACTACACCCGCCATACCGCTTGAAACCTATTTGCTTAACCGTTCCCAGCGATTCGAGCATAATAAGACGTCTTCCAAGATCGAGACCAAAGTGAAGTTCCCCCTGGAACTGGATATGTACCCGTATACGACCCGGGCCAAATCCCATCCCATCAAGCCCGGTTCAATCCAGAACCCGCCACCCAGCTGCGTCTACGAGCTGTCGTCCGTGGTCGTGCATAAAGGCAAGATCGATTCCGGCCACTACGTCTCGTACTCGCGCGAGGGGCCCGACTGGTTCCAGTTCGACGACGTGAAGGTCACTCTGGCTTCGGAAGCGGAGGTGCTGGATGCGAACGCGTATCTGCTCTTCTATGTTCTCCGTGGGCTCGAGGCTATGGGCGACGACCTCACCCAGAAGGATGCCCTCAATGTGCCCTTTGGTCAGTGACGTTGCATTCTTCTCTGCTCTCACTTAGCGGGAATGCATTGGGTGGCGTTTGGAAATGGGAAGGATATATTGTAGTTAGACTGCTGCCGTGGTGGCTCGATCCAGGATGGCGTTTCGTGTCTAGATTGCAGGCTATTCAAGCATATTACGTTGCGGCCAGTGCTCTGCAAAGTGCCTCTATCATCATGATTTTATCTCTCTATCTAGGCACCGCGTAGGCTAATCATGCGTAGGCTAATCATTAACGAAGAGATTCCAATCTTTAACGTCAAACGTCGCCATGACTTGTTCCATAACGTCCAACCCATCTTTAACAAATTCATCGAACTGCTCGTTGCCGATGTCGATATTCTCCGGGTGGAAACTCGGAACATGAGGAACATTGACCGTGATCACAATATCCGTTCCTTTCTCTGGGAGTCGCACCAGAGCCAGCAAAATTGCCGTCCAATCCGCCTCATTTGCACGACGAGGTCGAGCGCCCTCTTTTGACCGCAGACTTCCGAGCAAACTTAGGACTTTGGTGTTCCTGGATAGCCCATGAGTGTTAGCCCTTCGGTAGGAGGGGCTCGGACATACGGCATTTTATCAAGTTTGGGTTCCGTGGATGAAACTTTATGGACCATTGTCTCGTCTCCAGTGTCATCGGTAATGCCACGGAAATGGAAATCCAGGGCTTCTAAATCATCCTTCGCCTCGGATGGGCCAATGTGCTCGAGAATGTCGAAGATGACACTTGCGAAGCCATCCTTATCCAAGTAGACTTCCTGGCTATCTGGCACTTCTCGGATGGAGCTTCGACCTTCAGTCAAGGCGGCAGAGATATGGGACAGGATTGATACCTACCTCACGTCCTTGAAGCGCTCTGGCAGATCAACTTCTATTGCCCCTCCATAAAGTTTGATTTGATTAGAGGACATGGCGCATGGAACAACGTATATAAATCAATACGAGTGAAAAGTCGGTAGGATGTACTTTTAACGGTGCCCGATAGAGAACCTAGAGTTGAAGGAAGAAAGTGTTGGCATGGAGTCCTCTACATCTGATGGAGCCATCAATCAGTGATCATATAGATCATGAGGCAACTACGAATCCAGGCAGCCAGTCGATGTACAAATCCACAGTATTATGACAGCATATGAACTGAAAGGTGTTGATACGTACCTCTGTTAGTGTTCCTTGCCCCCTTCAGACAATTTTGATAGTCTCCCGGAATTGCCAATAGCGAATTGCTAATAGCAGAGCAGTGTGCGAAGTAAATAATGTGAAATCCATGTGAATCGGACGTCACTATCCATTGGAAAATACCGTGAATGAGCTCCTTGAAGTCTAGTTGCCCCTCCAATTGGTGGAAGGGACGCGGTATCAGGTGACTTCGTGTTCCCTGCCTTTGCTGTTGTCCCAATCTAGTGATTTAAAATAGGACTGGACCTCTTCAGTTCTCACCTTTGAATATTGATTATGTAATGTGTAACACATGTGACGTGGGACCGGTGGGAGGAACCAGAGTTAAACCGAAGTTCTGCCGGACCACCTTCCCTGTCAACGGTCCCCATTCACTGCACCTCACCATTCAGGACTTGCGCTTCGAGGGTCTGTCGCCTGTTGGCTTGTTCAGGTTCACTACCTACCATCATCGCATGGTGTTTCTTCTAAGTACTCTACCTTCCTCCTCCGTCGCATGAAGAGTGCTCTGTGGAATCTCCATATCTCATCGGAATTCTCAACTATCCCACATTGAAATCAACCAGGGAGGAGCCCGAGACACCCTATCTATCGATTATCGATTAACCACCTTACCTTTGCTTGCGCTCTATCTTCCTCTCTAGCATGGGGGATACCCAGCATCATCGCATCGTTCCCGGTCTATTAGGCGGCCGTGTGCCTAGACGATAAGGCTCCTGGATACTCTAGATCAGCTGGAACCCTACAAATCCACGATGGATGCCAACGAACGAGAGCCCGATCGCGGTGCCGCGGACAACGACCAAGACTTTGAGCGCGTGCTTGCTGACCTGAACAATCCCGATGGAGGCGCCTACGAGTTCATGTCTCGGGATCTCGAGGCAGGCGAAAAGGCCGACGATGCGGTCGACTTCGAGGACATCAGCGACGGCAGTTTAGCTGATGAGGAGGAGCAACCCCGACAGGCCGATCTCGACAACGACTTGGATGACCTATTCAACGACGCCCCAACCTCTCCTGCGGACGAAAACATAACAACTGGTGCAACTGGGACCGTCCAGCTTGGGTCCGATAGCGTCGAGGGTGCCCCCGATGGCGGTGTTCCGTCGTTCATCTCCGATGCTGATCTCTTCGGCGAGGAGCCGATCGAACCCGAGGAGCATGAAACTCCCATCGTCGAAACCACCGAATCTACCGAAACCCTCGATGCACCGCAATTCCGACCCATCGACTTTAGCGGGGCCAGGGCCGCCTCGGTGGATGATCTGGACGATGTTGATGACGCAGTTCGTGAGCAGTATGAACTGTTCAGAGATGCACAGGATCGAATGAAACGAGCCACGAGCGGTACTCGACTGATTGACCGAGTTGGCGAGACTTTGACCGACAATGAAGCCTTAGAGCTTCTTTGGCCAAACTTTGATCCTGATGAAGTTCCTCGGTTTGCTACACTCATCCCGCAAAAGCGCGCTTTCTACCCGCAAAAAGTGCCACCGAAGCCGCCAAAAGCGGTTCATCCATCGAAGCTCAGTCTCGAACTGGCTGCGGACTCGGAGCGGCTTTTTAAGCTGCCAGGACCTGCGAAGGAGACCAATCCGGAGAGACGCCGTGAATATGCGGAAATCATGGGCCTCCACTTGGTGGAGGACGAGATCATAGAAGAAGAAAGCGAGGATGGCTTGGACTACGAGGACATTGATTGGAATGAGGACGTTGGCGGCGTGAAGATGCGGGACCTGGCAGTCGTATGTCAAGATTGGGACCTGCCCTCACTTGCAGGTTCGGATCAGGAGACACCCCCAGAGGCGCCATTTGAGGAGAGCTTCGAGGATGAGCTGTGGGGTGACGCGACGGAGCAACCGCCTGCCAAGAAACGCCGTCTGGATGATATTGCTATCGGCGGGTCGATGGCGGCCTTTGTCGACGAGTACTTGCCCTTCGATGATCCCGAGGAGCTTACTGCTCAGCTCGCGCAGAAGGTGTTCCTCGCTGGAGACGACCCGAATCTGTTACTGGACCAGCGGAAACCCGACGCCGCAAAGAAAGGCACCGCATCCACGTCATTCCGGATGTCGCAACGACCCCCGCACCAGAGTAGGAGAGAATGGATCACCAGCCGCTACTTCATATCCAACGATGCTGCCTATGTGCGGCTGAAAGAAAACCGATCTCACAAAGTCCGGAGCAACCTGGGAAACTTGTCCGTGGAACACGGTTTGCCAGCCTTGAAGCTTCAATATCCGTTCTACAAGGTGAAACTCACCGCGCGAGAGTCTCGGTCTTTTCATCGCCATCCCATGCATTTTATTCCGAACTCGATCATCCGGTTCAGCAAGCTGGCGTCGGTCAAGCGAAAGAACATGCGAAACAAACCAGCTTCTACCGTCTTCGAAAAAGCAAAGGATTTAACGTTTGGCGACAACTCGAACATGGTTCTCCTGGAGTATAGCGAAGAGTATCCGACCATGCTATCAAATCTCGGAATGGGCAACCGCATTCTGAACTACTACCGAAAGAAAGATAACGACGACACCAATCGGCCGAAGCTGGACATTGGAGAGACGATCGTGCTCCTACCCGAGGACAAGTCACCTTTCTCGATATTTGGCGGCGTCAACCCAGGCGAGCAGGTGCCCACGATCCACAATCAGATGTTCCGGGCTCCCGTCTTCCGACATGAAGCCAAAGGAACGGATTTTCTTGTGGGTGTCTCGAGGACCGGGGTTGGAGGCGATGAATGGTTTATGCGCCCCGTCGAGAACCTCTACGTGGTGGGACAGCAATTCCCATCGGTCGAAGTACCTGGCACGCATTCTCGGAAAGTGACCGATGCGGCGAAGAGGCGATTGCGGATGATCAGCTACCGTATTTTCGGGAAGACGGCGAAGGACGATCTTCGGAATAACCAGTTGAATAATGAGGTCGTTCGACAACATCTCCCCGGATCGGATATCACGCAAAACAGGGGGAAGATGCGAGAGTTTATGCACTACAACAAGGAACTGCAGACATGGGAGCCGAAAGGCGACACAGCCCTCCCTGACGAGCAAACCATGCGAGGTTGGATCAAGCCCGAAGATGTGTGCTTACTGGATAGCATGCAAGTCGGCCATCGCCATCTGTTGGATTCCGGTTATAACAAGGAGGGTAATGATGAGTACGAAGAAGACGATGAGAAAGAAGGGCAAAGCCTGGAAGAACGACTGGCTCCGTGGAACACGACGAAGAATTTCCTGAACGCCTGCCAAGGCAAGGCGATGCTTGCGCTGTATGGGGAAGGGGATCCATCGGGACGTGGCGAAGCATTCAGCTTTGTCCGCACTAGCATGAAAGGCGGTTTCAAAGCGATCGGAGAGAGCGTCGAGGACAAACTGAATGCGAAACGCATGAAAGACTTGGGTGGTCATAGCTACAATGTGGCGCAGCAGCAAAAGGCGTACGAGGAGGCAATTCGGGGCATTTGGGCGAAGCAGAATTCGAGCCTCTCTTCCACGGTTGAGCATGACGAGGTGGAAATGGACATTGACGAGGAACCCGACACGGCTATCCCTGGTCGAACCCCACGGTCGGAGGTCGCCACGCCACGGCACAGCAGCTTTTTCCGGCGGGATGACGACTCCGTGAGTCAGTTCAGCAAGTTCAGTACCGGCAGTCAAAGCGGGAAGGTCCTTCGCATTGTGAGAGACACGCGTGATCGCCATGGGAACAAACAGACGGAAGAAGAAGTGATCACGGACGAGAAGGTTATTCGGGAGTATATGAAGCGGCGCAAGGCCGAAGAACTGAGTCAGTTGAAGTATGTGCCTTCTATCCTTTGGACCGTGACCCGAGAAGCTAACTGTTTGGCAGACTGGGCGATCTCCGGCCCACGGGGGATGCGGACTTCGACGCGAAGCAGAAGAAAATGTTTGCCAAACCTCACACATGCTCCTTCCGGATTCGGTTGGTGTATACTGACATTCTCCAGGCTTCAACTCGAGCTCGAGCGATTACAAAAGAATATCGAGCGGCGTCATGTGCGGGAGAAGGCCAAAGGGGTGCGGGTTACGGATGGATCAACACCAGGAACGCCGGGGTCTCCCCTCGCGGCGCCAGCGAAGAACGTTGGCACCCAGCGGAAATGCGCGAACTGCGGGCAAATTGGCCACATCAAGACCAACAAAAAGTCAGTGAGATGCACATTCTGTCCCGTCATGAGCGAGCGGGGGGATGAGGCCGTCTCCATTCCCGCGGCTTTCTTGTCCACCGCGTTCTCTTCGGCATTTCCTTGAGTACATCTCCTTGATTACACTCGGATTTACATTTCTTATTCACTCGGACTGAGAAGCAGGGTCGATGGGTGGCATTCGTTATTTCTTATTTCCTTTCACGTCAGAGTCTTCTCGCGCGTTGCGCCACCGCCTTCCCTTTTCTATGTTCAGCACAGCCATACCATTTCGCATGCTATGACATGGGCCGTCCAGCGCTGACCGCTTTCTTCGACAGACTCTGCCCGCTCCTGAACGGCAAGCAGAAGCAGGAGGATGGATTTGACAACGCGGCGTTCGCACAGGCGCAGTCCGGATTTGGGATGGGGATGTCAGGGAGTCCGAGTTAAGGGAGAGGAATCAATGTTGTCTGGGTGACAGACAGAGCAGACAGTCATTAGCGGAAAGCTACACGCGTGGGACTATGGTGCATGATGGATGCAATTGTTCACGCTACCTATGGTTCGCATCACCGATGTAGAGTCTCTTCCTTTGCTTCACCGTGCGAATCGACATTTCGCAGGTCAAGTCAAGTCGAGAGAGAGATGGGTCACATCGCAATGGTTCCTTGTCTAGGTATGGCCTAGTTAAAAACAACCAACAAAACAGAATAATATATAATAGCAAGACTACAGATATTGAATGTGGATGAACGACTCACTTGACTTCATTAGGTACACATCATACTACCGACTGAAGCAGAGGTATCAAGTACGATCTGGTATCAACAAACAGAGTCCACGGTACAGATGCGCCCACATGCCAGCATCGTAATATCGGCGTCCTCATGTCTATCCCTTGATGATTGCAGTACTGCAAGGCGAAGTCCGGGCAATAATACCGGCAATTATCAGCTAGTGTAAGAATGTTGATGGAATCATGGAAACGAGGAAGTCGCACCCATCCCGAAAGGGAATCCGGTTGATGGAAAGTGTGGTGGCACTTGCTGGTTGAATGCCGTGTTGATGGAGTTTCGGACTGATGCTCCTTCCCCGAATTGATGATGCTGTGAGGAAAGTTGGGAAAGCTAACGGCGCTAAACCCTACAGGGCATGCAAGTGTTGCAGCGTGTGGGAAGCAGCGATGGGGCCACCCAGCGGGCGGGGGGAGCAACTCAGCAACCACCACGACAGACGGCGCCTGGGCGATTGATGCGCTGATGCGCGTTCCTTCCCCGTCCGACCATTCGCGCACTTCTTCCCCCTCCCCCCCTTCGCGTGCACGCCGCCCGCTCAGCTGTCCCCCTCCTTCTCTCATCATCTATCAACATCTCCAGCTTCTTCCTTTCGACCATTCCAATACCATCCCAATTCTTAGCTACGATCTCTTGTCGCTTGATCGCATCGACTTCTCTTCCACGTATTCCATCCATCCAGAACCCCCTAATTCTTTTCCAAATGGCTCCCAAGAAAGCTACGGCCGCCGCGCCCAAGAAGTCGAGCGCTGCCGCTTCGTCGCATGCCTCCTACCAAGGTGAGTCGCATTCTGCGTATCTCTCCGCCAACGCGTCGAGAGCTCTGCTATTTGATTTCGCTGTGATCGCCTATTGAAACTGACCGTCTCGTGCAGATATGATTAAGGATGCGATCCTGAATGTGAGTCTACTGCCCATGGCGCACAGCGACTGCCCGCCCACTGCCACGAGCTGCCCGACCGACCGTGCCAGTGCATGCATCCCGACTTGCCTGTTCGGGCAGCCTCCGTCGCAACGATTATGTTTTGGAATGATGTACTGACGCGCTTTATCTCGCCCCGTAGCTTAAGGAACGGAATGGTAGCAGGTGAGTAAATTCGCGCTTCTCCTCGTCTCCCTGCTTCGTAGGCGCCACGTCACAAACGGGCGCTTCGCATCTCCAAACCCAACCCCGCTCATGAGCCTCTTCGAAACCATGGCGAATGCTGACCATCGATTCTTCGTGCTATTACAGTCGCCAGGCCATCAAGAAGTATATCCAGGCCAACAATGACCTCGGTGGAACCACCGACGCGGCTTTCAACAGCCACATCAACCGTGCTCTGACCGCTGGGAACGAGAAGGTTTTCACCCGACCGAAGGGTACGTGTCTTAGCTTCCGTCTCAAACCGCACCGCGCAATCCGCGGTGTTATTACTGCAGCTATGCGGTGTTCAAGCTCGTCTCTACCCCATCCACGCATTTGTTTCCTGGATTCTCGATCAACATCGCTGTCCCTGAGCCATAGCTAACGTTTTTCCGACCAGGCCCTTCCGGACCTGTGAAGCTTGCGAAGCCAACCACCAAGGCCCCAGCAAAGAAGGAGTCCGCCGCCGCCACGAAGACTGCCAAGAAGCCTGCTGCGAAGCCCGCCGCCGAGAAGAAGGCGGCTACCACGAAGGCCACCACCAAGAAGCCTGCTGCGAAGAAGGCCGCTGCTCCTAAGAAGACTACCACCAAGAAGGCTAAGGCTACCCCAGCATCGGTACGTTTTCAATCCAAACATACCCCGTCCTAATCCCGTCGTATCCGCTGACCATCTTCTAGGCCCCTGCGGTTGAGGAAAAGCCAGTCGTCCTCGGCAAAACTAAGTCCGGACGTGTCACCAAGTCTAAAGCCCCTGCTGCCACCGTAACGAAGAAGGCGAAGACGACAACCAAGAAAGCCCCAGCGAAGAAGGCCACTCCCAAGAAGAAAGAAGAGAATGCATAGGCGTTTCTTCTTCTCGATGTTTCTCTCTCCATATTTCTGTCGGCGCCTATGATTCTGCCGAGAGCGCACGGCCATGACTCTGTATCTCGTCTTATTACATACCTCGAGCTGTGTATGCGGTTCCGGCGTCGTTGGCGCACTGATCCATGGACGGAAAACCGACGGGGTGTGCTGGATGGGACTTCCGTCATCCGTGACGTGGGAGTCTCTTATGTTATGACATGGTCTTTGCTCGCGGTCTGTTTTTTTTATGTCTTTTGGGGTTCGGGTTCATGTGCGGTCGGGTCAAATGCGGGTGGGGCTGTATTACATAGGGACTCGATATTGATGGTTTCCTTTTTTCCGGTGCAGTGGGCATGGTTATGGCTGACTATGGGGATAATTCATTACCCGTTCAACATACTCAGGAATGACATGCTGCACTCTTTTCATGACTCCTTCCTCTCGATGCTCAAATCGCGGTGATGTGAATGCCTCGCCAAGTATCCGGCGTCGACTTAGAGTACCGAGATCGGCTGTTTGTGCTTTGCGTCCGTCCATCCCATGCTCCATGCTCCATGCTTCCGAGATGCAGGTATAAATGAGTACATGTTCACCTGCCTCAACGCCTGGCAGTACAATGAGTGACCAGACATCCCTGTCTGGAGCGGAATTCCATACTCAAGTAAGAATATCCCCCCTCCATCTCCCGTTACAGATTCTCCCCAAACCCTCCATACACGCCTATCCACCCTTCCTCCTCCCCGTCCTTTTCCTCCGCTGACTCCGATATCGATGCCCTTTGGTTATCATCGACGCCAGACCCACCCGGTCCGCACTCCATAAATCGCCGTGCCACGCCCCACCCGGCCTCCGTCAGCGGACTGAACGCGACCCTCTCCCTCGGCACTGCCATGCCGTACAGGAAGTTCTCGCGCGCCGTCCGTAGCAGCGTCGCGGCGACGGCGCGGTGCCGGAACTGGGGGGAGGTGTAGAGCAGGAGGACGCCGAGATGGGCGCTGTGGCGTGGTCGGCGGGGATTATGTGCGGGTGACGGCGGCGCGGTTTCGTGGGGGGTTGGGAGGGCGGCGCGCCGTCGAGGGGGGGGGAGGGACGAGGGGAGGGTCTTGGTCACTGGGAGGTGGATGCAGGAGGTGATGCGTTCGGCGAGGAGGAAGCCGACGATGCGGCTGGAGGGTAAGTGAAGATACAGGTAGGCTTTGTAGCGGTCTACTTTACTAGGGCCGGCGATTTTCCGCGCGGAATCGCCGTTCAAGTCGAGCTTTTCTGATCGGTGCGCCACCGGCCGCGGTTCCTTGGGTTGCGTCTTGAGAGGTGGCATACAGGGCCGTTCGAACGTTCCCCACAACCGCTCGTCGTCGATGTGGACGGTGCCTAGTTCTCGAGACACGACGTCGAGGACGCGACGGACCGTCCGTCGCATCGTCAGCGTGTCGTTCCTTCGCACGGCGACAATGACGGTCTCTCCGCCATCCTTGGTCTTGCCATGTGATGTGGCTCCCGGGACAACCCTCCCTCGCCATAAGACCTTTCCATCCGGGTGAGAAGCAATCTCGTCGACGAACGCCTTGCTGGCTTCCACCCCCACCGTCTCCTCTTGCTGGCCATGTTTTCGGCAGTAACGCTTGTGCAGCGCACTGTCTTCATTCGACGTGTGCACATATTCCATCCCACAGAGTTTGCAGAGTCGCGTCACATCTTCTGTGCTCAGCGACAGGGTAAGTTGGGTGAGTTTGTTTCCGGACGTCCTAGACTTCGTCCTTCCTCGGGCGGGGATTGGATCGTTGGACGACGTTGCCTCATTGGAAACGAACGCGGTGGGAGAAGGTATCGCATTTCGTATTGCGGCCAGCTCGCCCATTTCTTGCGGGGCGTTTGCGGGCGCGAGGGTCGCAGCTCGGGGCGGAGGACTTGATGGGGGGGACGAGGCGAACTTTCTCCCTGGTGATGACGAGCGACCTAATCCAGACAATCGAGCTGGCGAGGAACTTCGCGCACCGCTCTCCAAGGTCACCGTTTGGCTGGACACCGACTGTGTGCTGGTTTTCGCAAAGAAGTCATCGATGCGGCGCCGTTTCGGGGGTGGTACGGGTGGTGAAGGAGACGGGGGTTCGGCAGGGCGAAGAGAGCGGCGATCCTGCCGGCTGTAGGTTCGCAGCGGAGGTTTGCGTGATTGACTGAACATTGACGATGTGGTTAAGATGAGAGCCGTGGTGCATGTCTGGTATAGAATCACAGCATCAATGTCCGCGTTGGTGGGGGCCAAGTACTGTGACGAAGACAGGATGTGCCAACATTGACGTCCAAGGAGCAGGAAGACGCGTTTAGACCGACGCGTTGGAGCAGTTCGGCAGGTCAGGGGTTTATTGGCACGTGACTATGCGTCAATAATTATTTGAATACCACGTGATCAGGACTCTGAACCATCATCGACTCATAGTCATTATCTCGTTATACCAGACGTGCCAAGCCCTCGATGATTACTAAGGAATAAATTCGCAGTAAGGTTTCAGGGCTTCAGCCCGTCTGGCTACTTTTTGTACAAAAGGTGCAACGATTTGTATGCAACAATAAATAAGTAAAAGAGACGACGGCAGGTGGACCGCCAGCATGGCAGGCTTGCCCTTGTGCTATGTCCTCACGATATTTACTTGTCCTATCACTCTCACACCTTCGTGGACTCTATGTACACTCAGTCCAATTCCGCACCCACGCTCGAGCCTCTTCACTCTTAAGGTGGCACGCGCCCAGTCCCGTAGAGTCGGGTACCTGCCACTCCAAGCACCTGTCGTGCGTCGGCGGCATCGATAATGTCTTTGTATGCTCCGAGGGGTGATGCGCCCTTTTCGGGATTCAGAACCGCGTTGTAGGCTTTGATGGCCTCTTCCAAATCCACATCCTTCTTATCGAGCACGGGTTGAGCACTGGCGCTGGCGCGCAGAGAAGCCAAAAGAGTGAGGATAAGGAAACACTTCATGACTGTCTGGTCCTTGGGGCAGGTACCGGGGAGTTGACTAGCAAAGCTTATAGGATAGAACTAGAGATCATCGTCAGTATCACCGTCACTTCCAAAGCATTCATCACTCACGGTTCTGCAACCATTCGACCAGCGCTGCGAGCCACGGAGTCGACCTTCCTATCGTACTATTTCTCTTGAGGCTGTAAAAAACCTAAATGATTTATAGTCTTCTAATATAATGGACGGCTCAGGCACGTGATTCTAGTTTCAGCTTTATTAGGGACTCACTTAAACTACTGAAAGACGCTCTTAAAACAGGAACGCTCCCGAATACGGACCTGAAACTCGAGGATTTAATTGGTCCCCTTTGTCTTGTGCGCAATAGTACGTAAAGTATGGCCATCTACTCTGCGCACGAACCACTGGTGAAAGTCTCTTATAGATTGAGGAACTTCCAGAAGCTTCAAGGCTGTCTTTGGCTTCACTCTAAGGTCACACAGAGAGAAACTCACGCTGAATGATTTAACGGATGCCTTCCTACAGGCCGCTCCCCTCTACTGAAGAGGAGAGCAACCATGAAGTGGAGAGCAACCATGAAGTGGAGAAAGAGGTGGTATTATCGCCGTCTCTGCGAGGGGCGCGATGGAGCGTTCCCTGCAATACCATTCCTCTTGTCGTCTCAGCGTTTATGCTCCTTCTCTCCGTCATCAACGTCTTCGTAGCCAAACAACACCACAGAACTGGCAAAGAATGCGCCACAGAGACATCCATCTGGTGTATGCCACTGCCTTCCCTATACCTGAATGCCCTGGGCGCGCTGACAGTTTCAGCCCCTGTATTGGAAGCAGTCAAATATGAAGATTTTGATTTCCAGAATGACTTTGGACAACCGAGCATTTACCGCGGGCCGCCAACGAAGGAGCTAGAAGATGAATGGCACAACCTGACATTCAGTGAGTGTTACTGCACGCTGCTCTCCACGTCTCTAGCTTGTCCTAACGAGCCACGCGCTCAGAACACGCGGTCAAAATCCCCGACTCAAAAGTCCACCTTACAAACCGTCATCCAGTCCGCGACCAGCTCGTCCGCGTGACGCCGGATAATGGGGGTCCCGGAGCAAAAGGAGAGCTGGGGTATTCGGCGCTGATTGACGTTTTCCACCAGCTGCACTGCCTCGTCTGTCCTCCTCTGCCCTCCGGCATGCACGCGCTTACCTGAGTCACAGAACCGGATCCGTCAGTACACCTGGCTGCTCACGGGCAACTACCGCAACACCTCTGATCCACTCGACGTGGTCCCTCATGGAAATGTCCCCGGGTCGCCGAACTCGCCGGGAGAGGACCCTCGCCCGCCTATTCCGAACGATTTTATGACCACGCCCTTGGCTAACAGGATTCACATAGATCACTGCATCGAGACGGTTCGGAAGACGCTCATGTGCCATGCAGATGTGACGCCAATCATGATTATGAAGGATAAAAAGGCGCCACTAAAGAAGCGTGCGGACTTCAGTGCGAGGCATAGGTGTAGGAACTGGAACAAGATATCGGAGTGGATGGATGAGCAGTGGGCTGTAAGATGACAGTGGTGAAAGTTTTAGAATGAAACAAGAGAAAACTGTGAGCTAAGAGAGCAATTTTCTTTTTCAATTTTAGATTCCTTCTACTGCCGTAGTGTGTGGTGCAGGTTGGCGTGAGAAGTCGCCGCATGATTACAGCAACGTCCACTGTTACTCGTCGATGGAGGTAGTGTCTCAAGAACGTCCGCGCATCACCGTACTGTATCATCAAGTTCTACAGCGCCTCGTTGACGTTGCCTACACCACTCGGATTAGTTCCTTTCCTAAAGATCGGTATCATCTGAGAGTAGACCATGTACCGTTTTCATTGAAAGCCTTTCCAGCGCGGTATCGGAGCGCATATAAACGTAGAGGTAGCTTAAACCTAGTAAGCTCGCCAACCTTTTTCATTGCATACCGAACGGTCGAGTACTCCACGGCTTATCCGGGGATATCTCCCATCCCTTTAATATTTTAATAGCTTTGCGAAAAACAGGAACATCGTCTAGGTCAGGTTGTAGCGGTAGTAGGAGTTAGTTCACAACAGAGCGAACAGAGAGGCCGCTACTACTCACTGGTACCACCGAGCGTATCTCCACCAAATACTATTCGTACGGTACGCCGGAAACAACAGAAGATCATAAATACGCCTGAGGCCCAACTTTCTAGCCGGAAATACCAACGTCGCGTTCGCCAAGCTACAAACTCATTAATCAAGGCGGTCGAAGAGATCGAGGCGTATAAGGGGTCCGTTTCAGCCACACAACGCCAGCAAACCAAAAAGAGTCGCTGCCAGGTTAAAACAGGACTTAGCCAGACCGGTGCTTCGTACGTTAGTGAGGCGAACCGCCATATCGAGGCGCGTGGTCAGAAGGAGCGGGAGGCGGTAATTAGGAAGGCACAGCGGGACTGGCAGCGGGAAAATCAACAGGAAAAACAGCAGAAACCATCTCCTATACTCGATCAACCTACTAGTACGGAGGATCTCGGTTTTTATATCGATTTACATCCCGAGTTCTGATATATAGATGATGGTAGTCAAATTGAGGTTTTGGTGTGGGTTGAGCGTTTGGTGTGGGAGCACCCACAACCGGGGGTTGTGGGGCGGTCATGGGGCACGGATAAGTTATCGTTTAGACGACATTATCGTTTAGAGTGTAGATTAAGGATCTAGCGTCCACAGTGTGGATGAGGTAAGCTTCAGCTGACGAACCAGGGGCGCGGATAACTGGGCTTAAGCAGTGAACGTGCTTAATCATCACCCCCGCGAAATGCGACATGTCTTTATATCCCAGCTATTTACTGATATACCGTATCTTGAGGGACGCCGATAGACACAAATCACACGTGGAATCCGGGTAAAGGGCTGATGCCGTGATAGAGACACGACGCCATCACCACGGTCCCAGCCGCTCCCGCAATTCCAAAAAGAACACTCTTCGACATCGTCCTGCCCTGCAACTGTTTCTTCTCGTCCATTGTCAGTTCATCTTCCCACTTCATCGTTCCCCTTCTGCGGACGCGTTCATCCAAAAAGTCCAGCTTCCTCCCCGGGCGAACCAGTTCGACAAATAAATTGATCATGTACTCTTTTCCGGTAATCCTCGGCATCAACCACTGCAAAGTCGGGTACATGAAGCCGTCATATGCGTCGAATCGGGTGATATATCCGGTGAGGTCGTGGTGTTTTTTGGCTCGAGGGTAGCGGATTTCCTTGTATTCGTCAAACACCGCTGAAAGTTCTTCCGTGCTCGGTCTTCTGCCGACCGTTTCGCATCGTTTGATCAACCGATTCAGTCCGTTAGCCAAGACGACGACCGATTCGATTCCCTGGTTCCCACCGTACCCTAGGTTGGGTGTCATTTTGTGTGCTGAATCCCCTGCAAGAACAATACGACCGAAGTGCCACTGATTGAGAACCCCCTCTTCTATCGGGCCAAGATGGTACTGGATGCGATTCTCCCAGATATCCCTCCACATAACGGTGCCATTGATGGGATGACTCAGGTACTTCTCTCCGACGGCCACTGCGTCGGACTCGCTGTATCGATGGCAATTCTGACAGTTGAAAGACTTCCCCAGCTTTTCGAAGAACAACCAGAAGATACGGTCTTCGCAAGAGAACAATAACCAGTTGCAATGCTTGTCGTTGCAGTCGATTAGCGATGATTTTTGGAGGCCGGGAACCATTTTGCTGACGCCATACAGACATCGATATTCGCTCGTGAACGCTAGGGGTTGTCAGACAATTAAGGAGAAGTTAGATGAACGAGATGCCAACGTACACATCTTCTCTTGGGCTGGAATCGCCCCAGGCCGTACCCCGTTGGCATGCTTCCACATAAATTCCCTCACCTGGCTATGGACTCCATCGGTCCCAATAACGATATCTCCTGCTTCCATACTTCCATCCTTAAGAAATACCTTCACACCCTTGTCGTCTTGTTCTATCCGTTCAAGTGCCATTCCTGTCACAAACTTCGATTTATTTGGGAGCTTGTCATAGACACCCCGCAAGAATTCCGATCGCCTAAATATCGTGAACCCGTACCCAGCTCTAACGGCAATCAGCAGTGTCCAAGTAAAGCAGACCGTACACTAACCGCTGAGTCAATTTCTCAAAATTATTCGATGCATTAGCCACGGGAGAGCCATCGGGATTGAAATTGTAAGTCCATTTGAACTCAGACCCGAGCTTCTCGATGTCTTCGAGCATCCCAAGTTGGTCCACGACGCGAAAGTTCTGTGGCCAGAGCCCGAAACCCGCTCCTCGTTCCTCAACTGGCTCCAGCGCCCTTTCAAGCAGGACATAGTCAATACCAGCGGCTTCCAACGCGTGCGCCATGAACAGGCCTGCGATACCCCCGCCAACGATGATCGCACGGAATGGTCTGCTATCTTTCTCTGAAGCAGCCATGACTGGAACCACGCGCGCGGATATCAACACTCTAAAGCAAAGAGGTAAAACCAGGGGAAATGCCCTCCACCGTTCCGTGATACAAAAGCCTTCGAACCCTCCTGCAACAGTCGCCGTTTGCTCATATCTGTTTTTGCGGACAAGGTGCCACAGTGGCATCGAATAGCCTCGCTGTGGTAATGGGAGGGGCCTTAATACAGATAATGGTAATGGTACGAATAATAGTGTCTAGAATCGCCTCTTCTGCCGGTGAGAATCCCTTTAGCCCTTCTTGCTGCAACTGAAACCTTTCGAATTTATGGACTTCCTGTTGAATATGAAGGTTTCTTAGTATGCCTTGCACTACATCGGCTATTCTTCGTTCACCGACATCGTGTCTCCATTTGGCTGGTAGCTGGATCCCGGAGGCGCAGGTTTGGGGACGATCTGCATTAATCTAACAGGGTAAGAATCCATCAGAGATGGTATTTATTGGGCGACAAGCATCCCCTGGGTCCTTTTAATATTTGCTAGAAAGCAACGAGAGCAATATCGTGGAGAAGGCGACACTGGTAGCGACCTATATTCCTCTCACACGAAAGCCTGTATCAATCATCGATTAGATAGCTACATCGCGTCGCGTTCCCCTAACTACGTACTATTCTTTCTGTGCAACCTGGTACAGCTGTTCTGGATACACGCATTATGCATGTAAAATTATCAAATCGAAGCTGGACAGTCTTCAGAGCAACAGTGCGAGTGCAGCTTGGGGGGCCCGGCCAGTATCCGCTCTCGTGATCAGCTGCATATATGCCAACTTAGGAAACACTGAGGGGGTAAGGATTGCGCACTTGACTTTGTGAGAGACTCCTGCATACAGCATAATGTTGGGTACCTAGGTTGAATGGAGGAATTGGTGGACCGGGCGTCAGGCGTCAACGGTCAAGAAGAGGAGTGAAAATTGTCTTTCATTCTTTTCGACGTCTTGGCTCCTGAGCTCGCCGCGCTTCGTGCTTCGTATTGATGTCCTGTCCTAAAAGTAATTGAATCCGTTCAATGAGGCAGATCTTAGGCATTGACATCTACGGGCTTAAGAACGAAGCAGCAGTCGTGTGCACAATCGGCTTGCCAGTGCGCAATATAGCCGTATTCCGTATTGCTGCTTATACTTTCACGACCAGCAGCTTCGGCTTCACACCTTATCCATCCTTGTCGGCGATGTTACTGTCCCAGCCGTCACCGCCAGCCAGAAGATAGTCGAGGGAGATCCGCTCGTTGGCTATATCTGAGCTCTGTGGCGACGGGATTCATTCCGCACCGTGCTCGTTTCCATCGTTCAACTCCAATATTGGAGTAGAATCACGCGACTCTGCCCTGTTGGTAAGGGCCTCGGACGGTCATCGCCTTTGCCTGGCATTCGGTCAATCCGCGGATGAGTCTCTTCTTATTGTATTGAAAGCGCTAGTACTTCGGACTCGGGCACTGCCAACAGCTAGAAAATCGCCTTCTATTTCACGCAACCGGAAAGCCCAGCATTTGACGGAAGCACAACAACAAAACCAAGTAGTATCTCCGTGTCAGCTATATGCAGTGGAGAACCTTCTAAAATCGGGTTGTTGCAAGGTGGGTGTGACGGCGAGTACGCATTGGATATTCCGTATAGGCAGTATTGCATCTATTCGTACAACCGTAACAGATGGACATAGAAATGTAAATGTACTTGGTCTAGTCCTTCAAAAGCTATCGAGTATGGAAGCTGGACTCAGTATTTGATCGTTGGAGACTTGTATGGTTGGTTGGCTTGCGATCTTCTCATGAAATGACAGTTCCCTCCAGGGAGCTGTTGTACAAGCGAGGCACCTGCTGACTCCGAAAGGACGATTTAATGCATGAAAGTAATCCATAAGATACATCATACACTTTCTAGTCAAGCGAAGAAGTATATATGTCGACCAGCGCTCCAGATCAGTGATGGGATTTTATTACCGAGAGCCGGAATTCGGCCTTGCTGCATATCCATATGGCCCGCCGAAATACGGTAGATGTCAGCGTCGATTGTCCAATTCAAAGCAAGAGAAAACACTCCGTAAGTTAACCATTAATTAATTACCGGCTTATATAAGTTAGTGTCTCTTCCGATAACGGAACCAATACTGGATGATGCTGTTGGCTAAGTTGGAGACATTTGGGTAATACCACAAGTCATATCTTATTTTACCATGTTTCACGTGTACGCCTCCCCGGCCTCTCTCCTTAGATAGGCCCAATACGGTATTGGTGCGTCATAAGCTAGCAGACGATTGTCCTTTTGTCCAAGGCTCCCACCATGGTGAAATACAGGTTATTACCGTGAACAATTGGACTCATACCGACGGGCTCTCCTGCACAGCCTCTTTCTTGTGCTCTTGGACAATGGGGAATGAACGACATTTGCGCGTCTACACCTGCATGAAACTCCATCATGGCATGAAGCAGTGTTGATAGAGTCCTGCCTGGTACTTCAAGTTACCTGCATCGTAAGTACCAACATGACGTCTCAGCAGCCCCATGAAGACCCTCCGCAAGAGGGAGGCCAGGGCACAAATCACGCAAGGGAAACATTAGCTTCCTCTGGACCGGAGTCTACACAAGATCATCCTAGGACCACAATCGATTCGCTATCACAGCCTCAACCAGAGCACGAGGACAATCAACAACAAGCTCGAGAAGGCGCGCAACCATGGGCCGGCAGAAGAAGCATCTCCTCGATAGACCGCGTATCGACTGTAGACAGCTTCTATCGGTCCTCAACCAGAGAATCCCAAAGCACACTCGACGCGGATGTTCCACCCTCCACTTATAGCGACACCTACGGACAGATCCGAAACGAAAATGAAGGATTACGGACCGACGCGACCGTCGGTGCTGATGGGCGAGTCGACATTCACATCGATCAGCGCCCCAGCAGACTCTCTGCGCTCGTTGTCCCAGCACTTCGAAAGCAACTCGATCTCGTTGCCCAAGGACCGACTCCGCCTGCGCCATTTGTCCCTCCCGAGCTTGGAGGGGCGCCTGGCCAAGTTCCTCCACCTTCGTTGAATGTGGTCATACACGTCGTTGGATCTCGGGGAGATGTTCAGCCTTTTGTGGCCCTAGGGAAGGTCTTGAAAGAGACCTACGGTCATCGAGTCCGGCTCGCTACACATCCGGTGTTCCAGGAGTTCGTGACCGAAAATGGTCTCGAATTTTTCAGCATCGGAGGGGACCCAGCGGAGCTCATGGCGTTCATGGTCAAGAATCCGGGTCTCATGCCTGGGTTTGACACTCTTCGAAGCGGGGACATCGGGAAGCGAAGGAAAGGCATCGTCGAAATGCTCAATGGCTGCTGGCGTTCATGCTATGAGGTCGGAGACGGCCTCGGCCCAGAAGCGACAGATGAATCTTTCGAAGAGTGGATGAGCGAAGATGCACACACGAATCCGGGTGTTGATCCGGTTCAAGTGCCATTCGTGGCGGATGCAATCATTGCGAACCCACCGAGTTTTGCTCATGTCCACTGTGCCGAGAGATTAGGGGTACCTTTGCATATGATGTTCACGTAGGTACTCCCGAAAACCCGATGTGCTCTATCTAACGTTTTAGGATGCCATGGTCTCCCACGCAAAGTTTCCCCCACCCCCTCGCCAATATCCAGTCTTCCAACGCGGACCCTGGATTCACAAATTCTGTCTCTTATTCCATGGTTGACATGCTCACATGGCAGGGCTTAGGGGATGTGATCAATCGGTTTCGTGTCCACCGACTGGGGCTTGACCCAATCAGTCTCATGTGGGCTCCAGGTCTCCTGTCCCGGCTAAAGGTCCCTTATACCTATTGCTGGTCTCCTGCACTGATACCCAAACCCAAGGATTGGGGTCCGCATATTTCTATCGCCGGTTTTTACTTTCTTTCTCTTGCTTCCAATTACACCCCCGTTCCGGATCTCAAGGAGTTCCTGGATGCCGGACCCCCACCTGTCTATATTGGGTTTGGATCTATCGTCGTGGATGACCCGAATGGCATGACCCGGCTGATCTTCGACGCCATTGCTAAAACAGGCCAGCGAGCGCTTGTATCCAAAGGCTGGGGGGGACTTGGAGCAGATTCTGTTGGACTGCCTGATGGGGTGTTCATGTTGGGCAACGTTCCGCACGATTGGTTATTCCAGCACGTCTCCTGTGTTGTTCATCACGGAGGAGCTGGCACAACTGCTGCTGGTATCGCCGCAGGCCGACCTACCGTCGTCGTTCCATTCTTTGGTGACCAGCCATTCTGGGGTGCTATGGTCAACAAAGCTGGCGCTGGGCCTGAGCCGATACCGTACAAGGAACTGACAGCAGATAAACTCGCAGATGCACTGCTAGATGCCCTGAAACCATCGAGTCTTGAGAGAGCGCGGGATCTAGCCGATATGATTAAAGAAGAGCAAGGTTGCCAAGTTGGGGCCCAGAAATTTCACCAGATGTTGGATTTGGACACGATGCGCTGTCAACTTATGCCCGAGAAGATTGCCGTATGGAAAGTAAGGAGAGCACACATTCGACTAAGTGCGGCTGCTGCTACAGCACTGGTGATGGAAGGTGTCATAATGGAGAATGACCTGAAACCGTAGGTCTACTTCGTACATTTTCTGGACCCACTGACCTTTCAAGGTTTCGCGCGAAAGAGTATGACGCTGATGACGGCCCGTGGGATCCAATCTCTGGCGGAGCAGCGGCGATTATGGGCACTATGAGCAGCATGATGATGGGAGTTGCGGATTTGCCCATCGCGACGCTAAAGGCGCTCAGAGTTCATCCCGATGCTGCCAAAAAGAAGCAAAAGGCTGATAAAGCTGGGGAAGGCGGTAGTGCCGTCACAGGAACATCAACCCGTGGCGATTTGGACCGCACATCCACACATTCCTCGATCGAAGCGCAGTGTGTGACTTCACCCACAGCGGCAGCGCCTACCGAAGCCTCGGACACCCTCTCACTAGCACCTGTCCCTGGAAATGATGCCATAGACAGCCATCTCAGTCCTGCCGTATTGACCCCAACTGGGTCTTCGGCAAAGAGGTCTCATGTGGATTCAGCCAACTTGGGTGGTGACAGCGCTCCTTTGGCTGCCCAAGCCACGATAACCCAAAACCAGAGCAATTCGATTATCCCCCAAATCTCCCATCCCGAGTCACTCCACGAATCTCGATCTGATACCGATACACCAGCTGAAAGCACCCATTCAAGCCAGATAGGTCGCTCAAGAAGTGCAGGGTCGGAGAGCACACCGACTGAGACCTCAACACATCCGCGAACGAGATCAGTCGGTCCTAACCCCGCCGAACCAGAAGACGGTTCCAGCCATTCCCCTAGCCCTTTCACGCTCGACACTGCGTATGGGACTGGGAAGGGCTTTACAAGAATCGCCGGCGCTGGCCTAAAGGCGCCGATGGACTTTACCATGGCTGTGGCGAAAGGATTCCACAACGTACCGAGAATGTATGGAGAAGAAGTTCGCCCCGCTGGCCGCGTGACGGGTATCAAGAGCGGGCTAAAAACCGCCGGAAAGGTAAGCCTCTCAGTGGATTCACCTAAACACTCTAATGCCTCCCCAGGAATTCGGACTAGATCTGTTCGAGGGTATAACTGGAGTTGTGACTCAGCCAATAGAGGGCGCCAAAAAAGACGGTGCTGCAGGGTTGGCCAAGGGGTTCGGTAAGGGACTTGCCGGCCTATTCCTCAAGCCAACTGCTGGTGAGTTGTCGTCGCATGCTATATTTTCTAAACTGATAGTTGCTAGCTGGTTATGCTCTTCCGGCGTATGCGTTCAAAGGAATATATAAGGAAATCCAGAAGCGGTATGGCTCCGCAGTAAGAACTTACATTATTACTGCGCGATCTGTCCAGGGCTTTCAGGAATATATCCATATGACCCCTGAGCAACGCAGAAACCTTGTTCATGGCTATCTCCACCTTCTTAAAGAAACACGCAAAAAGAAGCCATACCGGGAGCAGCAGCTAGATGCTATCCATGCGAAAAATAAGGCTCGAAAGGAAAAGAAGAAGGCCACGCAGAATAAGAAAAACGGGACTAACGAATCGCTGCGATCGTCGTCAACCGCTGGCGTTTCGGACATGACGCCTATAGCTTCGTCCTCTGTCAGTCAAATATCTCAAGCCTACTCTAACACGGACCAACAACTACCGCCTGACTCCGACCGTGCGCGACGTATGTCTGACCCGGATTTGGAAGCTGCCATCTTGCGATCCATCGAGGAAACGACTGCTGGCGATCCATCGGAGGATGAGCTGATCGCTCGCGCGATACGAGCTAGTATGGCAGAGCTGCAGGGAGGGACAACCCGCCGCCCAGAAGCAACATCGGGTATGTCCGAAGCGGATATGGAGGCGCAAGAGGAGGAAGCATTGCAACGAGCTTTAAAAGCTAGTGTTGCCGAGGCGACAAAAGCTGGCGCGAGTGACGAAGAGGCTAGGCAGCTCGAGGAAGTCATTCGACTCAGTCTCCAGGAACAGAGTGCCAAACATGTCAGCCCAAGCCCCGAAGGAGCCGGTCCATCAGTGAGGACAGGGGCAGAAGATGAATGCGAAGATCCCGATGAACATGAAGAGGAGCAACTTAGGCTCGCAATTGAGGAATCACGACGAGAGATGGAGAAACTGCGAGCAACTGAAGAGCCGCGGGATTTGGAGGATTCGATCGTCATGGAGTATGTCAACCAGAAAAGCATGGCTGAGGAGACGCAAGATCGATGATTGCGAAAGTGGAGATGGGTCGGAACTGGAGCTTGCTTAGGGAACGTCAAAGGCAAAGGACTATCAATTTCTTCAGTCCAAGATGCGGTTAAGGAAAGAGAGAAGCAACGTCACGAAGATTTACGGCTAGGTTGTGTCAACGCGTTAATTGAGACGTGCATCTTTGAATACAGCCTGATGATCCCTAGTAAGCGTTCTTTCAAACTCGGTGGTGGCAGGATTTACCCGTAGTTGTTTAATTCATTCACGAATGCTTACGACCTGAGAGAATCCTCGGTAAATCAGAACAATGTGAATGGTGTAATGTTTTAAGTCTTTCTACTTCGTTGTAACAACGGGCTGCAAGGACCATAATCTTCAACGAGCTTCAGACGATTTCAGTGAATCTATTAGCGAGGACGTTGCGTATCATATAACAACAACCCACAACCCATCTCTACAGTATCGTGGTGCCATCAAGGCAACCGTTCCATGCATCGAATCGAATGTATCCGCTGTGGGCAGTGGACAATCAATGCATCACTAGAAGTTCTCTTTTCCCCATACAAAACTGAAACCGCGCTCAGAGTACATGTTGCACTTGATATGCAGCGTTGAGCCAAGTGGTTTGGGCCCGCAGAAGAATACCCCAGCTTCTGCGGGCGCATGGATTTTCCTGATCGATTTGAAGACTGTATCCCAGTTGGGTCGTCCGAAGTTGGTCGGGGCTCGGAGGCCAGTGATGGCGTCTTGCTCAGCATTTGCATCGTTGATCATGATGTTGGTGGCATCGTCTGACTTAATTTTGGCGGTGAGGTACTAACAGGGCGCTTAGAAGAGTGAAACAACCCCCCAATTGGACGTACTTACGGTATGGATCTCGATCTGGTCATCCATGTCTTGAGCTTCGATGGCTAAGAGAAGACTTCGGAACCACTCGAAAGAGCCGAAGTCTCTACAAATCCAAAAGAAGTAGACCTTCCTCAAGCGCGTCTTACCTTGTGGATAGTTCATCTTGTACCATATGGACTTTAAGATGCTAGCGAAAGGCGTCACACCAATACCGGCGCCGACAAGTATAGCGACTTCGAACTTGAAGACGTCTTCCGATGCGGATCCGAATGGACCATCGATGTATACCCGGGGTAAGACTCGGCGTAGAGATGGGTCAACTCCATTTTCGTCCGCTGACTTGACAACCGGTCCTTCTTTTTCGCCTTTTGCGCGGTCGAACTCACAACCAAGAGCTTTAGCAAGCGATTTGGTGAAGTTTCCAACGCATCGGACATGGACAGAGATGTAATCCTCCTCCGGGGCACTCGTCAAGGTAAAAGGATGGTACTGCCACACCGATACCTCTGGACAACAGAGGAAGATATACTGCTGTGTGTGAGTAAAGGGTCAAATCGAGAAGAATAAAGAGTCTCACCTGCCCAGCTCTCGTCATTGTTTTTTCTTTCTTGATCTGGATTTCACAGACATTGCTAGGATGTTGGATGACCTTGGAGACGTAGGTCCGATGCCGTCCACGAACTTCTCGTGCAATCCTTTCTGCCAAGTAGATGAAGCCGCCGAGCATCCAAAACTGCCAGAACACGCCAATACCGGCGCAGAATGGCGGAATGTCCGGAGTGATCATGCAGAATGCGCCGTGGATGGACCAGAACACAAAGAAGAGAATGAATAAGTGATGTGTGTACCAGAACCGTTCGTAGTTTGCTCGCCGCGGCTTTTCCCTAGAGGTTGCGACTATGGCGGTGAGCACAATTATCAAGATATATCCACTCCAACCGGGCCCGGTCTTGAAATTCCCCAACAAGAAACCCTTAAACCCTATTTTGTTCTTCGCTGCCAGCTGGGCAACATTGTTCAGGTGAGCGATGGTATGGACCCAGGAAAAGAAGAATATTGACCATGCTACGAGCTTGTGAAATGCAATGTTCTTATCGAACTGGATGATGCCATTCAATGGAGTCTGTCGCATAAGCGAGATGAGCGTTCGGCAGACGGGAAAAAGTATCAAGGCGATGTCGACATGGAGAACCAAAGCCGCAGCTCGAGCGATCGGGTAACCAAAGCCGAACGTGGAGTTGGCGGTCATAAGGGAATCCTGTTTATCATAAGCGTAGTCGAAGTTTGGGCAGTCTTTTCAGCCTGACCTTTATCCGGTAGTTCAAGAACCCAAACGTGAAGACCATAAGATGCAATAAGACGAAAACCAAAAGAAATCTGAAGTCTGTCAGCCTTGATAGGATCGCTCAAGCCGGAGCTGTGCATACAATTTTCGCGATCCCTCATTAACCATCCTAACTCAGGCATCAGTAGTGTCGAAGCAAGCCTGATAGTGGTAAACCACTAACCATATGTCCAATCTTTCTTTCCAGAACAGCGCTCTTTCTGGCTCACTCGATACCTCTCCAGACATCAGCATCCGTGTGAGGGGTGGCCATCTCGACCGCTCTTTTCCGCTTAGGGTGCTTGGCGGTCTGAGATCCATCTTCAATCTCAAGCAAGTCCGTCACTCAGATGCTCCTCGACGTATTAGTGATTGATTAAGTCGTCAAGACCTTTCGTAATGAATCGAATGCTTCAGAGCCTGCCGAAGTCTGGTGTTGAGAAAAGAGTGATAGGTATCTGTATCAACTTGCGATCAGTCTAACTCGACAGACAACTCGACATGTACATACCAATACATGGGTAAATAAGAGATCAAGCAATCAATTTCTCGGCCTGGAAAGTCCGCCACAGAGAGAACAGATGAAATTCGCGGGCGCAGGACAATAGAGATTTAAACACAGAAGCAATGCGAAATAGGAATTGAAGCACTGCAAATGTGCCACTCAGACTGCAGGCACTGCCTACTTGGTATAAAAGACTTTGCGATTGCGGCAAGGGAACTTCGGCACGGAGGGCGAGGAGACCCTGATAGCTGTTGGGTTTAATGGGTACATCAAACGAAGGATACAGCCAACGCTAGGTAGATACGAGAAAAATCAGGCCACTGGATACTCCCTGCAGCAGAGAATGATTCAATCTTGTAACATCATGTTGTACCATCTTGGTCAAGAAAATTAGCCAAGGTGAAGATGTCCCCTGCCGTAAAGCGTGAGAGCCTGGTGGGCACAGAACTTCGGACGGTAGTGGATGTTGAAGGCGCTTTGCCTGCATTACGTGCCTCCTTTAGTGACAGAGGCGAGTCGCACCAGACAACATGAAACAGAAGTGTTGATACTTTTGCTAGGCCATTAGCAATCTGAGAGATGGTGGGTATGAAAGGAAGTTGATGTTGATACAAGAAGTGTCGGAGACCCGTCGCAAGGAGCTTGGCGGATTTGGCGTAGCGCCTCAGCCACACATGATACGGGCATAATACGGCACATGTCCCAATTCCCACCAGTTGCTGGAGTTGCACGGAACGCCCGCTATTATACGCTTTAATAATAGTCTATTCCCAAGAGATAGCCGCCAGATACCCGCATGATTAAAAACCACGATCAGTACATGTTCAACCCTCCACTAGCAGAAATGGTTTGACCACTTATCCATCTGCTTTGCTCCTCTGCCACCCACGCAACCGTCAAGGCGATATCATCGACGGTTCCTACGCGGTTCTCCACGGGTGTCTGCTGCTTTTGACGCTCAATCAAGTCAGCGGGAAGATTATCCATCATGTCAGATTGAACTGGTCCGGGTGCCACCGCGTTCACCGTATGCCCGGCAGGACCGATTTCGCCAGCTAAGGCTCGTGTCATCCCTTCGATAGCCCCCTTTGATGCACAGTACGCTGTGAATTTGGCGAGTCCCAATCGGCCGCCGACAGACGAGATGTTGATGATTCGACCCGGTTTCCGCAGGCGTGGGATGACAGCCTTCGACAGGAAATAGGGTCCTCGCACGTTAAGATCGAAGACGGAAGCGAAATCCTCGGGCGTCATGTCTACCATCTCTTTCACCATTTCCGTTCCAGCGCAGTTGACCAGGATATCGATCGAGGGACCGAATGCAGCAACGCATGCTGACACTATCTGGTCCGGGGCGTCTAATTGTCGTAGGTCTGCCCGAACCTTGGCTGCCTCAGACCCGTTCTTGATGGATGCAATATCCGATATCAATTTGTCGACCTGCCTATTGCTTGTCTCGGAGGTATATGTGATTAGAACCTAAGCTACTCGTCAGCTCTGCGAAGTCGAAATAGCCGACCACTAGTGGTTCGCGGTCATCATTGGTGTGTCACAATATACTGCTATGAACACGAATTGGAACCTACCTTCGCGCCTCTGTGGGCGAACTCCAAAGCTATTCCTGCACCTATACCCCGAGATGCTCCCGTCACGATGGCAACCTTCCCTTGTAGAGACATGTTCGAAGGCTAGATTCTTGTTGAAGTAGACGAAGGAATCTGTTTGGGAAACAAATATACTGTGGGCAGTTCCAGACCTCTTTTATACATCGATCACCTTCTCTGCTGATTCATTATGAATGAGGGTCATTGCCCGGAGTTAAAGATTAAGACCGCGGCGATAACGGGCATAGAACCATGAATTCCAACCATGAATAAATCGGCTGAATCGAGGCTTTTCATGTCCCTATTGCAAAATTTTGCAGCCAGGAGAGGAGATACATAGTGGTAACGATCTGCATGAGTAACGGAATATTTTTACGTTACCCCAGGGGCGCTGCTTACTACCAACAGGTACCTACAGGCTACAGTATCTACCGACCGCTAAACATGCATCTAGGTATCCCTCCTATTCACTTCTCCTCCCGACCGTCAAGCGTCGGGAACATGACGTCGAGCTTCGAAGGTTCCGGGCCTCACAGGCCGCCCCGGGCCATTTCGTAGAGTGACAGAGTCCCGATCCCTGACATGTCGCCCTTAATAGTCGGGATCATGATGAACTTGGTGCATTCGTAGGTATTGAAGAAAAATTTGTTCCCGACATTACGCGCAGTCGAGATTCTGCAACAATCCAACAAAAGACTTGACTCCTGTTCTTGTGTGTGTATCATGTCGGTGGTGAGTCCAGACTGCAGAGGCGTTAAAGATTGAAAGCTAAGGCAAGGCACGTGATCGGACTCCGCACTAAAACGAGGCATCCACGACTCGGCGATCAAAAAAGCGTTTCGTCTTCCGTGTCATTTCTTTTGGCCCCCACTAACATCGGATTTCGGTTTCCTACACCTCGATTGAAGTGTATAAGTAGACTGAGTGGTAAGGTATTTAAGCATATCTTGATATTGACCCGGTCCGAGTCGTACAAGCCGACTTTCCCGACTATTCTCAGTGTGACCCCTCCCAATCCTCCTACATCATGTCGTCCACGGAATTGCCAGAAGCCTCCATGACGGTATCTCAGTTGGCAGAAGAAGCGACGAGTGTCCGCAGACCAATGGAGGTTGATCCTAGCCGGGCAAAGAAGCGGAAGAGTGAGTGGCCTATTCAACTAGAGTCACGTTTCGAAACTCGAGACTGAACGCATGTATTGGTCTTGATTCTTGAAGCTGTCGAACTCCGACTCTGTTTGTTTTCAACAACGAACAATGATGGCTGACATGATCCCCCGTTGCATCGGAACAGGAATCACGCAGTCCCTCCCCCCTCCGGAACTTCCACAGCTTGTGGCAGAGCAGCATTATCCAATCCCAACCCATGATAAGGACTCTCAGCGCCTCATCGTTGTCCTGTCCAATGCGAGCCTCGAAACGTTCAAAGCCTCGCATGGCTCCAGTCGCTACCCTGGAGGCAAGGACGAGAAGTACAGCCTGTTAAACAGCGACGAACATATCGGCATCATGCGCAAGATGAAGCGAGACATCAGCGATGCGCGTCCGGACATCACACACCAGGTGCGACTCAACTTGTTTTGACGCATTCCTTCACTATGCATCGAGGCTAACTTTCCGTCCAATCGGTGGCTGTCCCCCGTTGGGCATCACCGAGGACTGCAAACAGTGTCTACTCACTCTTCTTGATTCTCCGGTGAACAAGGCCGGGAAGTTACAGATCTACATCCACACAGCTAAAGGGGTGCTCATTGAGGTCAATCCGACCGTTCGGATCCCGCGAACCTTCAAGCGGTTTGCGGGACTCATGGTCCAACTTCTCCATCGTTTGTCGATTCGATCGACGACCTCGCAGGAGAAGCTGCTAAAGGTCATCAAAAATCCCCTCACGGACCATCTCCCCCCCAATTGCCGCAAGGTCACCTTGAGTTTCGATGCGCCCATGGTACGACCACGAGACTATATCGAAACCCTGGCCCCTAAGGAAAGCCTTTGTCTTTTCGTGGGTGCCATGGCCAAGGGAAAAGACACATTTGCGGACGACATGAAAGATGAATCGATCAGCATCAGCAATTTCTCGTTGAGCGCCTCGGTTGCATGCAGCAAGTTCTGCCATGCTGCCGAGGACTCCTGGGACATTCTTTAGCGGCGAATATCGAGTTACGGATGGCATCGACCACAATCGCTCATGGAGAGATTGTCCGACGATATTGAACTGAGATATGACTTGAAATGGTAGGGGCGGGGGCCAATTCCAATGCTGCCATCGCAACATCCACAGCACTGGAGTTGGACTACCCCCGCACGGATTGAGGTTTCTGTGGACGGCGTCTCCTGTTTTTCCAACCAAAACACAAGGCTCTCAACAGACTCAATTGTTTCTTTTTCTCTGCTCTTGGGCCCGGCTCAAAGCAGCTGCAGAGCACTTCAACTTGCTCTGTATCTCATTTCTGTGCATGTCCCTTCCGGAGCTGCTTTCGTGGAATGGACGTTTCCAAGTTCTAACAAGGAAGGGTTGGGCGAGGCTTGGACACGTGGAGGACTGAAAATGCGGTTGTTTTTGCAAAATGCAAGCTTGTCAGAAGTCTCATGATTGAGCGGAAGTAGGCGAAATGCCTATTACCACGTGTGCCTAGGTACGCTGTGAGATGTATTAATTAGGCTCTAGTGATCATGAGTTGCCCCTTTCTCAATCGGATCTACTATCGTGCATTTGAGTTCCTACCGTCGTTCGAGTTATCTGATTAAGTACCTCAGGTGGTCCGGTGCCCGTAGTCTTTCCGGTAGATATAATAACTTAGTGCAATCTGCATATACCCCTCAGAAGATGAACACGAATTCTTCGATCCAATCGAGAACGCTGAGCAGCAGGTATTCCAATCTCAACCCTTATCAGTTATTATGCTTGTTATTATTCATTTGACTACACCATCGCCAAGGGCCAAAATCATGCGTGCAGGTGCATCGCAGTATCGGTGATCTGACGCTATGAGGTGTCCAGCCACGCGGACCAACGGGAAGAGCCGCATCAGGGATTGAGGCCGAACTTGCCCCTTTCTGGACTTCTCCCACATCTCCCATCTTTCCCACCGTCAATATCGACCAATCCATTGGAACGAGGCGAAACCGGCTTCGATGCACCTCGCGCCCCGGAGATGATGGGATCACAGAACCGCTGGTGATTGGAGGAACCGCCTCGGCTAGTTCAGGCGGCAAGACGACCGAGCAAGATGATGGGCATACTTACATACCTGCATCTAAGTTCTGGAGCTCCGTCGCTTGAGGCGGGTTGAATCAGGTCTCGCGAGGCGGGTGGAAGCGGGAATCCAGCGGCGAAGATTAGGATAGGTAACTAGGCAACCTGTCGGAGGAGAAGGATGGAATAACTGCATCGTCGTGAAAGTGTGAAGGATATGATTGAGTAGACATATTTTCCCTCACTTTACCGTGACTAACAACAGGGAAATCGTGGGCATGTTTAATTGGCTGTCTGTTATGGAGTACTTTGTACACCCATAGGACTTACAGTAGGTACAGTACATACCGACTATCATGGCTGAACGCGGGATTTATTAAGCTCATCCCTCTCACCTTTTGCATGTCTTAACCTCCGTATTCTTCTTGAGTTCAAGATTCCCTTTAAAGTCCCAGTATCGCTAAAGTCTGACATCTCGTCCGTTTCGAAACCATATACATTGATTTATTGTCATCGGCAATGCCACTCGCTCATGTTGCTGTAATCGTATCCAACCTCCATCAAGCATCTTACTTCTATCTGTCGGCGCTCCAACCTCTCGGCTATTGCATTGTTGAACAGCGCAACCATGAGATTGCAATGGGCATCCATGAGCCGGAGTTCTGGTTGATCGAGCAATCGCCTGGGTTGGTTCCCCGAACGTATGGAGCTTCTTCCGCTAATCGCATGATTTAGATATCACCCAACTACAACGCATATTGCCGTTTCTTCACCCTCTCGAACCATCGTCCGCACCTTCTATGCCGCGGCTCTGTCATGCCACGGCACCCCGTACGCTGCGCCTGCGTATCGCAACCATGATGCGGACTTCAACGCCGCAATCATCGACCTGGACGGCAACACTCTCGAAGTGGTCCACCAGCTTCCCGTTCCTGGCCATGATGCCGAGCAGCCGTCCACAGCTGGAACCGTAGTCGGCAGTGAAACAGGCAGCCGTGTGCTCAACTGGCGAAATTCGGTTGCCGAGAGTGTAAGCGATCGAGATGCTGGCACTGTGGTCTCCCGGCGGACCAGCCGACCGGCACCATCCGTATCAGTGAGCAAGAGATCGAGTCCTGCTTCCGTAGCAGCGAGCAAGGTATCGAGTCCTGCTTCCGTAACAGCTGCACCTGCTCCCGCCGCGACAGAGGGTGAACCACCAGCAAACCGCTCATTAACCGGCGACGTGCTCGACCTCGTTACCACCGCCTTCAACGCCACGTCGATCGCACCTAAAACCATCGCCGGCACATTGCTCGGTGCCGCAGCGGGGGCCGCCGTCGCCTACGCGATGGTGCGGAGCGAGGAAGATTCGGCGCAGAAGGAGGCGATATTTGAGGCGAAGATGGAAGCCCAGCAGCAACGCACAGCGGAGCTGCGGCAGAAAGCCGGTCGTGTCCTCGCGCGGGCAGCGACCGTGGCGACCGTCCCGACGACGGGAAGAGGCGGTGATGCTGGGAGTAGAGCTGGGACGGGGTTTGTGGTTGGCGAGGTAGACGCGGAGGCAGACGGGCAACGAGCAGCGTGGAGGGAACCGATCCGCATGATCGAGGCGCCTCCAATGCGGGTTGAGGGAGTAGAGAGCTACTTCCCCCAAGGTAGATCAGGATGGGACGAGGGGAGATCTACGGCATCGTCTCGCCTCACCGCACGGCGCGTAAACTCCATGCCCGTGGATCCGATGGCATATCAATATCCCCCTATCGCAGCGCTCCCGCCACCTCCCTCTAATCCTAGGGCTGCCTGGGCAAGCACTGTTGCACCGACGCACAAGTCGCACCGCAAGGATTCCGTGGTCGGCCCACCGTCCTACATGTATCCCCCGCCCGTTGAAAATGGCGCAGAGCCTGTCCTCTCCCTCCCTCCGCCGGCCCCATCGCACAATTCCAGCAAACAACCGTCAAGGGAACCACAAGCGTCGTCATCGAGCTCCACGTCCCGAAAGGGGAAAAGCCAAAGCAAAGCTGCGTCTTCTCACCACCGCCGAGAGAAAGAAGAGCCTCTTGCTTCCGACAATGATACCGTCGCTCCTAGCGACAGTATTTCCATGGTCGGATCGTCGCATTCGAGGCATTCCAAGCATTCCAAGACGTCGGCAACGTCAAAACATTCGAAGCACTCGAAGCATTCGAAAGCATCCAAACGATCGTCTCACTCCCGGCATTCAAAGCGAGAGAGTTCCGCGAGCCGAGAGGAGGATGAGAGGAGCGTGAGCACCGTGAAGCCGGTGCGAAGGAGTGCCAGCGAACAAGGACGGGAGCGGGAGGCGCGGGCGAGTAGGAAAGGCAGTGTGGTAACATTGCCGGAGGGGAGAGCGAAGGAGGAGAAGAAGAAGGCCAGGAGAAGCGTGGTGAGCTTCGTAGATGGCGCGAGACTGTGGTGATGGCATATCGATGGGTCGATAATTGAGGGACACGGCATTCATGACGGTCGGAGTTAATCATGCATTTAGCAGGTGTTTGACGGTTTGAATATAATCATGCATAAGAATCGCTATTCATAAAATTCAGGATGTGGTTTTCATGGCTTCGAAATCAGCACGTTCAATCCATCAGTAACACCCATTTGACATCGGCCCGTCCACAACAGGGGGCATCCATATACCAAGTAACCCAACCGAGTCCCTAAAAGCCTACTAGCGCCTTATCCGCGCTTCCATGTACGGTTAAGAAGGAAGCAGACCAGTGAGGTCTGCATCTCTACCTTCCTAGGCTCCCACTTTCCCCCTTAACTCGTCCACCTCCCGCTGGAATGCCTCGATTTCCGCCAAGAGATCCTTACCCTCGCCCTCCTCGCCCTGCGTCACTACCTCCGCCGTCATCCCCTTCCCCTCCCCGACTCCAGCCGACGCCGACCCTTCGTTCACCAGCTTCATCACCGCCTCGCCAGTCCTCCTCGGCGGTGGCGGCGGAGGGCTCGCGATGCCGACGCTCTTCACGGAGCTGGTCTCTGCGTAACTGGTGCGGCGGGCGGTCATCTGCAGGGACCGGACGCTGGACGGGCGGTCGGATTTGTTGCGGGTCGGTTCCATGTCGCTGGTCAGGGCGGGCGACGGATTGTAGGCACTGCCACTGCCTCCGCCGGAGCGGCGCGTTGGGGGAGGTGGTGGGGCCATCTTGTAGGGTGAGAGGATATTGACGGAATGAGAGGACGGTTGTGGTGGTGATTGGGTGGGGGTTTGAGGGGAAGTGGTGGCGGAGACGGAGGCGGCGGAGGATTGCGAAAGGGTGGAGGAGGAGCGGTGGCGCTGCTGGAAGTAGGTTGGTAGTGACGCGGTTGATGGCGATTCGGTGCGGAGTTGGGAGTGGCGTCGGGATACGGGTGGGGCGGGCGGTTGACGCTTCGATACGGATGGTTCGCGGGAGAGCGGTTGTGTGGGATTGGATTTGAATTGTGTGGGTGAGGTAGCGGAGGGAGGCGTGACAGTTGGTGTGGGAGGGGATTTTGATGCGGATACGTTCTCGCTGGATGTGTCTGGGGATGGTTGTTCCGGATTAATATCCGGCTGGGGAGAATGCAGGGAGACAGTCGTTGGTGGTGGTGGGAGGGGTTTGTTGAGGTCTGATTCGGAGCGGTGCGGACGGGTGACTATTGTGGAAGGTTGATTGACGGAGTCGGCAAACGTATCAAACGCTACCGTCTGAGGTGCTCTCGGCGATACGAGTTTGCCATGTCGATGTCGGGGCAGTTGAGGCGGAGGAGCCTTCTTCCTCTCGCGTTTTCGACTCGGGTCTCCCACTAGGTTCGCTCGCTCATCGTCGTCAGAGACAGAAATCTCATAGGATGTCCGCGGAGTCTCGCCGTGGGTTTCTTGGACGGGCTCGAAGATCGACTGCCGCGATAAGGATGAGGTATCCGCGCTGCTGCTGCTGTCCCCAGGGACCGCAGGGGTGCTATTTGACGAAGCAGCAACGGCGTTCGCCTGGGCATATGATATGGAGGTTAGAGAAGTCTGTCTTACTGCTTCCAACGGGAGTTCTTCTTCCGGTTTCCCCGTCATCAGCAGTCTCTTGAACGAATCCACATCCATTGTCCCCTTCCCCGCGGTCCGGTCCGGCATGCTTCGATCGATAACTTCGGGTTGGGATTTGAATAAGACGTGATGCGTGGTGGAGCGATCCATCGTAGCCAGTGTCTTGTTAAAAGGGTTCGGGATGGACGCTGACTCCGGCGTATCCGAGGGGCTGTCCAGCGTTCCCGAATTCTGTCGCGTGTTCTCTAGCACCGCTGAGCTCTCTGGCGAACCCTCCTCTAACGTCGGCTCGAACGGATCGCTCTCTTCCGATTCTGGAGAGTCATTCGTCGGCGATGGCGGCGGAGATCCAGCATGGCTTCCCGTACTGAGCCGCCGGAGGAGGTTGGAGGAGGGGTTCTCAACGGGAGAGCGGGAGGGGGAGACGATGCGGACATTCTTTATTTTGGACGTTTTCGGTGTATCTACTGAGCATTAATCAACTATGATTGGCCAGCGCCGATGTTGTATAAAGCGCACCTGCATCTCCAGGTGCGTCTGAAGGGGTTGCGGAATCTGAGTCCAAGGCAAACGATGAAGTGGCATTGGAGGGGGGCTGTTGGATGGAGCGGCGGAAAGGATTCCCGGAAGACATGGCGGAACTAGTTACAGGCAGCAAAGCATTTCAGAAATCAGAACTAGAGGTAGAATCAAGCATGGGTAGATTGAGAATACGGCATAAATAGGTGACTAGTGGAGTGAAAGTGTTGATAGGCAGATATGCGAATGATTATGGATGTCTCTCATACAGTAACGTGGAGCTCTGAGCTCTGGCGTGGGATGAGCAGGGTCCGAGGGACTCAGATGCTCTAAATGCCATCAGCTTAATCCCTTTACTACAGTATCTACGGTACGGTACTGTCTAGAAAACCACTGCTGGGGATGTGGTCAACATGATAGGGAAATATACTTGAAATAGTTGTCCCATCTGGTTGGCTTCGAGGTACCGGAAATCTTGACCATAATATCGGATTCCACAAGGTCGATGATTAAAGCGCATCCGAGCATAAACATCATCCAGAGGTTCAACAGTGAACCTTCTTTCGGCTGAGTTATGGGTAATATGAACCATACACCTTTCGGATTCAGAATCCAAGGTGAGGGGGGCTTCAAGCAGCAAGACCAACCTGATCTGTGTTCTACCGGTGGTGAATCCAGGTTCTGGGCAGCTGAGAACCATGGTTTGGCTACCTTATGTATTCTCGGTGACAGCGAGACACTCAGGCAGTCAGGATCGAATAGGGTAGGACATCTGACTTATTCTCACATTTCCTACATTTCCCAAATCATACTCTTAGTCACACCACTGGTCCATGTCATCAATCAGCACTCAGCACTCAGCAGGTAAGCCTCCTCACTCCCCAGCAGCGCAAGATTAGTCAAGTCCACTGAATGCCAGTTGCGGGTCGCCAGACAATGGACGTCTGATAGGAGGTGGACCGGACACATGGATTACACGAATTGGCGCGTGCTGATTCCGGTCCTCTCGGTGAAGCAATGAGTGAAGCAGTGCGCATAACCATGTGCTCGATCCAGGCATCAAGCGGTAGATTGAACATGCGGTGAAAAACGCGAGAGGAGATGTACGCGGTAAATGGATGGCACGGGAGAGCGAGGGAGATGGGTAGATTAATGCTGCCTAGAAGGGGCATATGTTGACATGTTTCCATCATGTTTGGTCGATTATGAGGATCCCTACCTAGTGCCTTTCCTACCAATACCGAGTTCGAAATTCCATGTGAATCCAGAACCAGTTCATGTGAATGTTAAAAAAAGCGAAACTACATACAAAAGTATGGAGTATCAAATGGGAGAGTGAACACAGAACGCACGACGCCAGACGCCTCAGTCCAGCAGAGCTGGAGGCGCGTAACTGTAAAGGCAACAAGGCAACAAGGCAACAAGGCAACAAGGCAGTAATAAGTGATACTGGCCGTACAGTTCCCACTCCTCCACAACATCCACAACATTCACCAAAAACATCCTGATTCCCCTCTCACCATCATCCTCGTGCTCTCTCCCCCCTTCTGATATCTGGAAATCCTTTCCTTCATAGGCTTGTTCTTTGACCTAGCTTGCGCCGTCCTTCTTGTTGTTCTTTTTCCTTACAGGAACCAAAAGGACCTGAACCCTTGGCTGGCTTGGCATCCCAACTTGCACCCTCCCCATTGTTCTTCACCTCTGCTCCATCACCCTTTCGATCCTATCCTTCACCCCTTCCACCTCCCCTTGTCGAGGTCTGGTCTGTATCGTAATACATCGCCCTTCAATCGCCTCCGATTTCCCCTACCTTCCAGCTGAACACTACACCGTACCTGTCAGCCGCCTTTTAACCCCTACACACCATCGGAGATTCGGAAGCGCCTGGAGAAAATTGGCCCCACCGCTGCCCGACGCTACTCTTTCATCCCCAGATGCGGGCGGATTGTAAAATCAACGCATCTTAATTCCTCTTTCGAGTTCTTCGTTATCGAAGCTCCTTTGAGGTCAGCCGGTGCTGCAGGAGTCTATCGGCCCCCTACCCTCTACTAATCCCACTGTCGCTTGGATTCATCGCTCTTCCTTATTGGAGCCCTTTTTCGGTTGTTCTACTGCTCGAAATCCCACCGATTCGATATCACTCGACCCGATATTCCTTTTCAAAAACCTCGACATGTCTGGCCTTACCCCCGGCAACCGGAACAGCACTCCGGAAGTCACATCCTCGAGTCTGCGACCTCCGAACTCGCGAACCATCGGCGCAGGCCATCACCTCCGCGCCTCAGCCGACTTCTCTCCATCCCCCATGGCCGGACGAGGCCCGCTTCGTCCCTCGTCGGAGGTGTACCAGGGCCAGAATCACAATGATGAGGGTACCATGGACAAGGCGACGCAACAGTGGATCGCCGACATCGATCAATACGAGGCGACGCTGGAGGAAATGGCCGCCGCGACGTTGGACCAGGACTTCAAGGATGAGCTCAGCGCGATTGAGCAGTGGTTCCGCGTCTTAAGCGAAGCGGAACGAACGGCTGCCTTGTATGCGCTTCTGCAGCAAACGACCCAGGTGCAAATTCGCTTCTTCATTCAGGTCTTGCAGCAGATGGCCAAGTCTCATCCCTTCTCGGGTGTCCTGTCGCCGGCCAATTTTGGGGAAAAGGGTATGTCAACACCATGAAGCGACGGTCCGTCTACTCGCAACTAACCCTTGGTAGATCCGATGTCTCAGCGATTCAGCGATGCTTTCACGAAGCTGTCGGTCGACGGGTCGCGAAATTCTGTCGGCGCTCGTCCGCCTCCCTCGCCAAGCGTCAAGCGCAATTCGGGCCTAGACCCGAACACCATCTACTCCATGTTCCCGGATGCGGCGGCCGCCATCGCGAAGCAAAAGGCCGAATTCACTCAACAGACCGGCATGCAACCGACGTCCAACCGAAACAGTACGGTGGATCGCACCTCGTTGATCGCCCCGACCATTTCCGGCCCTGAAGAAGGACGCAAAGAGAACCCGAACCAACCGCCCTCGTCGCCCTGGGGACCGCGCTCATCGAATGCCGCGCGTCCCAAGTCATCCTCGAGTCACCACCCGCCCATGGGTCAGTTCATACAACCCCCTCCGTCCGCCGGCCTCCGCGCCAATCGCCCGGCTCCCATCAACAGCGACAGCAATATCCAAAGCACGACCCTCAACGCGATCGATCCCTCGGGACTTCCGCTCCTTTCCCCGTACTCCGGCTCCGGCAACTGGGCCTCGATGGTCAACACCCCGATGGCTCCAAACTTCCCCGCCGCCCAATCCAGCTCCCAAGCCGACATGATCGCCAACGCGACGGCCATGAAACTGGCGGCCCTGTCAACTGTCAACAACCGGATCCAGCTCGACGATGTTCGCAAGTACCGCCGCACCCGCTCCACGGAGGGTAACGGTCCGGGTGGCGCGTCCTCCAACCCCCAGTCGCACCCGAACGCCAACTTCGTCATGACCAACGAGCTGGGACAGGTCCTCTCGCCCGCGCAAGCCGCCGCTCTTCAAGCCCAACAACTCGCCGCTCTGAACGGTCGCCGCTCGCGTCCCAACTCCCCTGGCCTGGCCATGGGTGGTGGGGGTCCCAGCGGACCTCCCGGGATGTCGTTCGCGCCGCCACAGAACAACGGCTACCTGACGACCTACGATGCCAGCGGCAACGTCAACCTTGTCCCGCAGCTGAACCTCGCCTCGTTCGGTCTCAGCGCGCCAGGGCAGTTGCACGAGGGATATTTGTCCGACCATTCGGAGATTGCGCGGGGGAGGAGTCCGCGCGGACGGCGGGGCAGTAGCAAGCCGCCGGAGGATCCGACGGACACGAAGCTGCTGGAGGATATACCGGCGTGGTTGAGGAGTTTGCGGCTGCACAAGTACACCGACAACCTGAAGGATCTGAGTTGGCCGGATATGATCGAGTTGGATGATGAGGGGCTGGAGAAACGGGGAGTGAATGCGCTCGGGGCAAGGAGGAAGATGCTGAAGGTTCGTTGCCGCAATCTCTGTCCTGCTTGTGAAATCGGTTGAATCGTTGTGCTGACTTGCTGCGTTTAGGTATTCGAGCAGATCAAGGAAGCGAAAGCGGACGGGAAGTTGTAAGGAAACGTAATGACCGAAGCCTGGTGGGCAAGAGGAACCCAAATTGTTGCGCCGTATCGAGTTCTAGGGAGATTTGCTCCCATGTTCGAGACGCACGACAGGGCGTTGGAAACATCTCGGGTTGCGGAGGGAATGCCCGATATTTCGCAAGCATCGATACCAATGGGAAGGCACACACAGGGTGATTCAAAAAAAGATGGGGTGATGCATCGGTGGCCGTTGGAAGAATGGACTGTGGGCTTGGAAATAATTGACTCCGCTCTGATTTTCCAACTGATGAATTCCTTTCGCGATGTGCCGGGCGTTCAAGCCATGATACTTTTAGTCGAAACTTGTATCCCTAGACCTAATAATACCATCAAGCGCGGCGTATCCATGCCCATGCCAGAGATGACCCAACGAACTTTAAACAGCCGTGCGCCCCAAGTAGCCCATACACCCTATGGCCCACGGATCGAGATGCCACTTCCAACGCCTCGTTGCTATGCTGTAACCGTCGGCCTACCGATCCACTTTTCGGGATCAGAATCTCCGTCAATATGCATTATACACTTCCGTCTCCTTCGCGCGCCCCGAATACGCTCCTTCGCCCTGCTCGTCGTAATCCGTATACGTTGGTCTTCCCTCTCCGACGTCGTCGAGGCTGCGGTATTGCCCCTGTCGCCGATCACCTCCCCTTCCCCGGCCTCCTCGGTCCCCCCGATGACCCCCGCGGCCTCCCCGCTGACCTCCCCGCTCCCGCTGATGCCCTCCACGCCCCCCTCGGCCGCCCCGATCGCGGTCCCGATCTCTGTCGCCATGCCTCGGACCCCGATCGCGATCTTGCTGCTCTCGGTACGCATTATGGGCGGGGCCCGCTCCGGGTCGCCGTGCTCCCTCTTGTGATTGGTCGTAGGTCGCGTGGTGCGGTTGGCGACGGTCGGGTGGTGGGGCGGAAAGACGCATGTAACCGTCGTCGTTGTCCTCGCGCATGCGCTTCGTTCCTTTGCCCTGCCCTGTGTTTCGAAGGCCCTTCCCCTGTTGTGCGTTGCCTCGCGAGTGGGTTGGTCCTCGTGGGATCTGGTTCGGGCGCGGGTGCGGATTGGAAGTTGCTTTGTCCGGGTTGGCATAATCGAATTTTTCTTCTTCGAGGCGCAACAGCGACTTCTCCCCCACCGTGCTCTCGAAGACGAACTCTTTCTCCACGGGCACCGGTTGCCAGTTGTCGATCCGGGAGACGTCGATGGGTCGCGCGCCGCGTCGAAGGGCGAGCACGACCGTGGGGATGTTGTTCTCCGTGTACACCTTTTCGGTGCTGGGGATCGGAGCGACGCGCGCCGCCCAGAGCTTGCCTTCCCAACATGCCGTTCCGGTCACGCGCCACATCAGACGACGACCGATTCCGCCCACTTTCGTGAGGACGGATGGGGGAGCGGGACGAGGGGTGATGAGAATGGAATTGGCCAGGTATCGGATATCGGACATGGAAACGTTGGAGGGCGGATGGACGAGAGATTGGAGTTGTTGCGACGCGGCGGCGGGTATGAGGTAACCAGTATAGAACACGGTTCGTCTGAGTATGAAAGGGATTGCGGTCGGAGGAGCGGTGCCGGCTAAGATGGCGGTGTTATGATTGTTAATCATCTTCTGCACCTCTGCCACTTCGGTGACTGCATTGAGAACGGTGGCATTCTCCGGAACTTGGATGACTTCGGCGACAATGGTGCCGCGTGGAGGGGGTGGAACTGGGTTGAGGAGCTGTCGGTTCAGATTGGCGAAGAAATCGCGGAACCCCTTGGTATGCTTTGGCCGGTCTTCATACACTCGGATTTCGGTTGCTCTGTGGTATGTGTTTACGAGCGTCGTGAAGAATTCGAGCTTGAAGTTCATGGTGCTGGAGAACTTCTGATTTGACGGTCCAACGGCCGGTTTGAGGGTTATCAGATCGAATTCTAGTCCCTTGGATTTGACGATTCGATTGATAAGCTCTGCGAACTGGCGTTCGGCGCGTCCAGTCAAGAGAACGCACAGCGCATCTTTCTGCTGCATCGACAGCCGCACAAGGTCCACGATTTGCTCATTCCACCATCCATCCCAGGCACGCGGTTCTTCCTTCTCGACCCCTTCGCCTGTCGCAGCAAGGATGGCGGAATCATGCCACCAACCGCCATTGAGGAAAACGTCGGGACTGCCTAGCTGGCCGATTGTTTGGCCGTTCCAGAGTGACTTGTTGGGGAGGGGACTGGCAAAGAGGGTGTTGTCGAAGTCGTAGACGTGAATGGTTTCAATTTTGTCAACACCTGGCAGGTCTTTATCGGCGCATGACCACCTTCGTAGAGCGGTGACAGTATAGAGAGAGGAGCCATTGGCGGCCGAGTAGCCGTTTGACTGATAATGGGACATATTCAACGAGCAGTTTTAGCAGTCCGTCCACGGGGAAGCGCTTTGAGACGTCGGGGAGATGTCTATTGACTTGATGTATTGAGCGGAATTGGGCCCATATCGGCAGACAACAGCGTAGGAATACGCGTATAGCGAGAGACTTGGAGTAGAAAAGGAATCTGATTGTCCAGAAGCAGAGAGTCTCAGGTGAAGCGGAAGGGATTCATAGAAACCACTGAGCGTGAATCGCACTTGCCTCGTCGGTTTCTGATAGAACCCTGGTGGCGCATGTGGCTGGTGTCTGTGGCGCATGTGGCGCGGTTGGGCGGTTGTTGACAGGGAAAGCACGGTCCTGCTCTCCTGCCAACCAATGTTTACTGTTTACACACACACGCACACACGCAAAGTCGCAATCATCATCCACTGCTGTTAGGTCTTGACTATCTTGACTACACCGATGCTTTGAGGAGGCTCTTCTGCTTATATCTCACAAATCCTCATGTAACATATAATCATGTCCGCAGCATCGCCAACACGACCTTCGCGACGGGCTGCCTCCCGGAAAAAGCTCGTCGTTGATTCATCCGATGAAGACGACACCAACACCACGCGACAACAAGACAGTGAAGATGATTTCACCCCGGCCCCAGCTACGAGTCCACGACGTACGGCACGGCGAAAGACAACAGAGACCGCATCCACCCCGCGAACTGGTGGACGGACGAGAAGAACACGAGCCGGCGAATCCATTGAGCCTTCGCAAATCTTCAGTCCTCCCGAGAGCAACGCCCCTTCAGAGCCGCCTTCTCCCTCGAAGAAGGCCCCACCAAAGCGAAAGAGTGTGAGATCGAGTCGCAAGAGTCGCGCTTCTCTTGCCCCCGAAGTCCCTCAAACACCAACTGAGCCGCTACCCACTCCGAAACCATCACTTTCGCCGGACCCAAGCGAGTCATTGATGGAAAGCGGCGATTCGACTCTACTCGCCCCAAAGCCATCCCCAACCCCGGTACCTCAGCAGAGACATGCCACGCCGCTTGCGGATATTACGAATAGCACGATTAATGAGCAGACTCAGATTTTGGAGGATGTCACGGAGCTCGCGAAACCAGACCCGATCGCGAAGGTTGATACACAGACTACGGTCCTCGAAAAGCCCATGGATATCGTGATTAGGACCCGGCATACGGCTCTTCCTGTCGTACAGGAGTCATCCGAACCGAAGTCCCGACTCGTCATCACCAATTTGGTCCTGATGAATTTCAAGAGTTACGCTGGAAGGCAAATCGTTGGTCCATTTCACGCGTCGTTTTCCTCGGTCGTTGGGCCCAACGGGTCCGGCAAGTCCAATGTCATCGATTCTTTACTCTTCGTGTTCGGTTTCAGAGCCAGCAAAATGAGACAAGGCAAGATTTCTGCGCTGATCCACAACTCGGCTGCTTTCCCAGATCTGGAGTATTGCGAAGTGGAAGTGCATTTCCAGGAAGTCATCGACATCCCCGGTGGCGGCCACAATGTGATCCCCGACTCCACATTAGTTGTCTCCAGACGAGCTTTCAAGAACAACCAAAGCAAATACTATATCAATGGGTCCACGTCCGATTTTACGAGGGTCACTACACTCCTGAAAGATCGTGGCATTGACCTGGATCACAAGCGGTTCTTAATTCTCCAAGGCGAAGTGGAGTCAATCGCTCAGATGAAGCCGAAGGCCGCAAATGAACATGACGACGGCCTGCTGGAGTATCTCGAAGATATTATCGGCACGTCGAAATACAAGACCCCGATCGAGGAAGCTGCCGCCGAGACAGAGACTCTCAACGAGGTGTGCGTAGAAAAAAGTGGACGCGTTCAACATGTTGAGAAGGAAAAGAACGCTCTGGAGGACAAAAAGGACAAGGCACTTGCTTACATTCGCGACGAGAACGAGCTAGCTATCAAGCAGGCGGCGCTTTACCAAATTTCCATGGCCGAGGCTCGGGATACCTATGAAGTCAATCAAGAAGCCGTTTCCAAACTTCAGGCACAATTGGACGAGGAACTTCAACGGCATGCGGGTAGTGAAGATGGCATCAAGAGGCTTGAGAAGCAGTACAAGACCAGTTCCAAAGATTTCGAACAGCTCGAGAGGGACTCCCAGGCCTTGCTGAAGGAGATGGCTAAGATCGACAAGGACACGGTCAAGTTTGAAGAAAAAAAGAAGTTCCTAACGGGGAAGCAAAAGAAATTGGAAAAATCTCTGCAGACCGCGGCCTTTGGCATAGCCGAACAGGAGACCCTTATCAAGCAAGGCACGGACGATGTCGAGCGATGCAACGAACAAATCGTAGAGCTCGAAGATCAGATCACGAGAGAAGAGCACGAGCTCAATGGGATCCGCGAAAGTCTGAAAGGCAAGACTCAGGGGTTGTCCGACGAAATCGCCACAAAACAACGATCGCTGGAGCCGTGGCAGGAAAGGATCAGTCAGAAGCAGTCGGCCATGGCTGTTGCCCAAAGCGAACTCGACATCCTTCGGGAGAGGGAGAATGCGGGTGCTGTTGCAATCGCCGAGATCGAAACGAAGATTTCTGGATTTGATGAGTCCAAGGTTGCCAAAACCGAGAAGCTGGGCAATGCCAAAGCCGAAAAGGCGACCGTGGAAGAAGAGCTACATGCCGTTCAAGCGGAATATGACGAGCTCATCGAAAAGGAGCCAGCCCTCCGGTCAAAGCTGTCCGGAGCTCGTCAGAAGGCTGACGAAGCACAATCAAGCCTTTCTGCTACTCAAACCCAAGGAAACGTGTTGAGCGGCCTCATGCGGCTCAAAGAATCGGGACGAATCGAAGGTTTCCACGGCCGGCTGGGAAATCTCGGCGCGATTGACCAAAAGTACGACGTCGCCATTTCGACCGCATGTCCATCCCTGGACAACCTCGTGGTTGACACGGTCGAGGTTGGTCAAGCCTGCATCGACTACCTCCGCAAAAACAATCTTGGTCGTGCCAACTTCATCCTACTGGATCGCTTACCCCAGCGGGATATGTCGGCGATCGAGACGTCGGAAAATGTTCCCAGGTTGTTCGATCTTGTCAAGCCCAAGGATAAGAAATTCATGCCCGCCTTCTACAGCGTGCTCCAGAACACTCTGGTCGCTAACAACCTTGAGCAAGCCAATCGAATTGCCTATGGTGCAAAGCGATGGCGTGTGGTCACACTTGATGGACAGCTCATCGATAAGTCCGGTACGATGACTGGAGGTGGGACGCGTGTTGCCAAAGGTGCCATGTCATCGAAGTTGGTTGCCGATGTGAGCAAAGAACAAGTGACGAAGCTTGAGGGTGATCGAGAGAAGTATGAAGAGATGTTTGCGGAGTTTCAGAAAGATGTTCGAGAACTTGACGAGCGATTACGGGCCCTGAAAAACAAGATTCCATCGTTCGAGACCCAGGCCCAGAAACTGATACTTGAGATTGAAAGTTTCGATCGAAATATCACCGACGCAAGGAAACGCATTCAAGAGTTGACAGTCGAGCAAACCACGCAGAAAGGTGACCAGAAGCGGATCTTAACCCTTCAGAAGACGATCTCAGAGTTGGAAGCCGAGATTGAGAGACTACGTTCCGAGACGAGTAATGTGGAGGAGGAGATCAAGACACTGCAGGACAAGATCATGGAGATCGGTGGTGTCCGACTTCGCAGCCAGAAAGCAAAGGTCGACGGCCTCAAGGACCAAGTCAACACCCTCAGCGAGGAGATGTCAAATGCCGAAGTGTCTCGAACGAAAGCTCGGAAACAGAAGACCAAACATGAAAAGGCACAGACGGATAGCGAGAGAGACCTTGCCGGCACCGCAAAGGAGATGGAGAAGGTCGCGGATCAGATGACTGTGCATGTCCAGAATGCTTCCGGCTCAAGCCAGCAAGCAGAAGAGGCGCAAGAATCTTTGGAGGCGAAAAAGGAAGAACTCCAAGCCCTCAAAACCGAGCTGGACCAAAAGCAGGCCGAACTGAATGAGACTCGCGGCATTGAGATCGAGATGCGGAATAAACTGGAGGAGAAGCAGAAAATAGGGGACGAAGCAGCTCGACGGCTGAGGAGCTTTGAAGAAAAGCTCTCGAAGTTGGAGCTCCACAACATCGAAGATCTCATGAGTGGACGGGAGGGGGAGCAGAACCAGCATCAGGGAGACACCAGACATGACAACGACGACTCGGGTGACGTCGTCATGGAAGATGCCGATGCTACGACAGCAACCAATGCCGCAACAATGATCCCGATCTACAGCCCCGACGAGCTCGCCGACATGTCGAAGGAGACGCTCAAGCGAGAGATCGCTGCGCTCGAGTCCCAGACCCAGTCTAACCGAGTGGACCTTTCCGTTCTCTCCGACTACCGTCGTCGTGTCGCGGAGCACAGTTCACGCCTCGCAGACTTGAACTCCGCCATCGGCACCCGCGAGGCTTCGAAGCGCAAGCTCGACGAGTTACGCCGCCTTCGGCTGGAAGGGTTCATGCAAGGGTTTTCCGAGATCTCCATGCGGTTGAAGGAGATGTACCAGATGATCACCATGGGCGGCAACGCCGAGCTGGAGCTGGTGGACAGCTTGGACCCGTTTGCAGAAGGGATCTTATTCTCGGTCATGCCGCCGAAGAAGAGCTGGAAGAATATCAGCAACCTGAGCGGTGGCGAGAAGACGCTGAGTAGTTTGGCGCTAGTGTTTGCGTTGCATCAATACAAACCGACGCCATTGTATGTCATGGACGAGATTGATGCGGCGTTGGATTTCCGGAATGTGAGTGACACCGGCATGCAATGTCCTTCGCAATACTAACGACTTCGCAGGTCTCAATTGTTGCCAGCTACATTAAGGAGAGGACAAAGAATGCGCAGTTCATTGTCATTTCATTACGGAACAACATGTTTGAGCTTGCAGCTCGCCTGGTCGGGGTGTATAAAGTCAATCATATGGTACGTTCCTCATGACTTACATTGCGAGGAAAACGATCCACTAACCCACATCACAGACGAAGAGCGTGACGGTGGAGAATAAGGATTATATTGTTGCACGATCGTGATGAATCATGGTTTCAAGGCGCTCATTCTGGTATGAGGGACGACCAAGGATTCCACGTCTTCCGAGCCAGTTCCGGATAGTTTTCTCTCCATCAACGGCGTTGGGCGGGAGTATGGGACAGTTGACATCGAAACCAAATATATGCAGGTTTTCGCGACTAGGTTTTCTGTGGAGGTGGACCCTTCCAGACGCTTTCTGTGTCCCGGTTATTATCATACAGAATTCCAGCTGGCGCTTATGATCTACTGAACCTCGACCCCGACCGCTCTGAATCGCAGCAGATCTGCGGCGAGCATAAGCATTGATCTCTCCTCAGAAGGGTTTTAGTCCTCCTGTCCGTGCTTTGGTGGGTCGGTCAGCGGCACGTATTGCACACTATATTGTCGTTTCTTCTCCACTGTCCCATCCTCCGCTTTGTCAATGACATAGATATGCTGGAGGAATCCTTCCTCCACTGGAATAAACATCCTGCCCGGGGCCTTAAGTTGCTCGATCAACTTAGGGTGTAGCTCCTTCGCTGCGGCGCCAACATGGATCGCGTCGTAAGGGGCAAGTTCCTTATATCCCAGCCGACCGTCCGCCTTCACGAATTTCACCGTCCCATTCGCGAGCAGTTCCCGCCCTTCAGCGCTTTTCTGCATGTTCTCCCTGCCTAGGTCGACGAGCGGCTGGATGTGCTCAACCCCCACGACTTGTCCGTTTGGCTTGACAATCTCCGCCAGGACATGGGTAAGGTATCCCGAGCCTGAGCCGATATCCAAGACGTGGGAACCGGGCTTGAGGTGATTGAGCAGGGACGTGGCTGCGGAGGCATGCATGTGCGGCGCGGAAATGGTTGCCGAATGGCCGATCGGTTGCGGAGAGTCCACATAAGGCGTCTGCGGAGCATAATGGGCGCGGTCGACCTATTGCATGCCTAAGTCAGTGCAAACCTCATGAGTCCGGGCGGAAGGAACAAGGTCTTTGCTGGAGATCGAGTCAAATGACATTCCACTCACCCCTAGCATTGCATCCTTTACCTTCGCCGAGTCAATCATTCCATTCTGGTACAGGTTATTGATGAGCTCGGAATTGGAGCCTCCTGTCGAGCGCCACGCCATGTTGGTGAAAGAACGCGAACCCCCGCGTACCAGTCGCTGGAAGAGAGCGGCGAAACCCAGGATCACGATGAATCGGACGAGGGGCAGCTTGCAGATGGAGGAGATCGTTTTGATGGAGCAATTGCTGTATTCTCACAGTCACCGACTGCTCGGAATAAGAATAGGAAAAGCTGGACGGACAGCATACACCAGTTAGCAGAACAGGTACTAGATGGTTACAGGAGAGGGAAGGGAGGCTGGAGGAGAGGGAAACTAGAGAAAAGAGAGGGGTGAGGGCAATAAGTTATCATCATGCAGATACCTACCACTCATCAGGATGAGCTCATGGTACAGACCTAGGTACTTCAGGCGCTAAAGTGTATAGTATCAGTATTATATACCATGTACAGTAATTGTTTACGGATCATATGGTACTAATACTGTGTAGGTATGGTTCAGTCACACTTTGATGATGCTCAGCTTCATCAGATTGCTCGACTGTACGGAGTATCTGGTTACGTGATATGCGGGGTTCCACAGTCCACTGCTCCGCATGTCAGCGACCGACTCCACTGCGAACACCGACCCCACGCTCGATCCCGCGTCTAGTCACTAACTAGTAACGGTGTGGAATTTAGAAATGAGTCTTGCAGAGAAGCATCCGATGCATGATGTAGTTAAATCCAAGTTCCGAGCACGTTGAACCCAAACCCGGTATCCCGGTAGCTATTTTCCATATCGGCGTGTTCGGCAAGCCGATGCCGAGTCGCAACTCGAACGCCATCGCATCGACTACTATTTCTTAGTATCCCCTTGATTCGGAATAGCTTGGATGCAATATGATGTCGCCCTTTGGATTATTGAGATAAGTACCGGTACCAGTTGATTGCTTAGAGACTATACCAGACCGACTGAAGCGGTCGGATAACACCTCTGTCTGGTCCACCTTGACCTCTGTTTGGTTACTATCTCCTACTCTCGTGCCTTCCTTGTCGAATGATTCATGATGACGAAGCTGCACTCTCAGTACAGGTATCCCTGTTCGGGCAGAAAGAACTGGTAAAGCAAGAGGTTTCACGATTCCTACCAAGTCTCGACTCAGTGAAACCAGTTTGCTCCGCTGGAATCCGCCCCACCATTTCTGTAATTCTCTCATGTTGATGACATCGCGTTAGGAGCACGACAGGTGGTTGTCTAATGTCAATCGTGCCTTCTTTTCACGGCATCCGATTTCATACTTCAACAATTCCTTCAACACTTTCAATCCCTTCCTCGCTGGACGCATTGAAAGTATATTCGGTCACTCTACGAAAATGGAAGAATCGAAGCAGCCAATTGATGTTGGAGAGGTGCGTATCACGGCATGGGCTCGGAGCTGTCATATGTGCTAAGCTCCATGACAGTACCTTTTCCGTCGCCTTCGTGAGGTCGGCGTCCAACATATTCATGGCCTGCCTGGGGACTTCAATCTCCAGGCGCTCGACTACATTCCCAAGGTTGGACTAAAATGGGTAGGCGACGCGAACGAGCTCAATGCCGGTAAGTTTCGTGAGCCCGTCAACCTATCCACGGCCTTGTCCGGGGTCGTGTATATCCTCCCCCAGCTGAACATAGAAGGCCTCCTTCACTCCAAACGGAGCTCCCTCAAGCACAATACCACTCTAATCATGGCCCAGTATAGTCGGATGGCTCTAATTGACGGTTCTAGGGTATTCGGCCGATGGATATGCTCGAATCAAAGGCATTTCCGCCCTTGTCACAACCTTTGGCGTCGGTGAACTTAGTGCCATCAATGCCATTGCGGGAAGTTTCGCCGAATTTGTCCCAGTCGTACATATCGTGGGATGTCCATCCACGGTCTCGCAGCGGAATGGCATGCTTCTCCACCACACACTTGGCAACGGAGACTTCCGAGTGTTCTCAGAGATTGGCAGGCAAATCAGTTGTTCGACTGCCATTCTCAGCCATCCAGAACAGATTGCCCATCAAATTGATGAGGTTATCAGAGAATGTTACATCCAAAGTCGGCCGGGCTATATCATGCTCCCCACGGATATGGTACAGAAAAAGGTGGAGGGCGCGCGGTTGAAGACTCCACTGGACATGACCTTCCCGCCGAATAACCCCGAAGTCGAAGACTACTGCTTGAATGCCATCTGCAAACATGTCGAGGCGGCGAAGACCCCAATCATCCTCGTTGACGCCTGTGCGATCCGTCACCGAGCGCTGAAAGAAACTCACGACCTCATCGCAGCCACTGGCCTGCCCACCTACGTAACGCCGATGAGCAAAGGTGCAGTCGACGAGACAATTCCAAACTACGGCGGGGTTTATGCAGGTTCTGGGTCGTCGAAGGAGGTTCGCGAGAGGGTTGAGTCGGCCGACCTGGTATTTACGATCGGCTCCATCCAATCCGATTTCAACACGACCGGTTTCACCTACCGCGTCTCTCAATTGAACACCATCGACTTCCATTCCACATACATCCGCGTCAAGTACTCCGAATATCCTGGGCTGCGGATGAACGGTGTGATTTCCAAACTGGCGAAAAGAATCCAGGATGGCAAGCTCAAAATCGCTTCTCCTGAGCCGCTGAAGGCCCCTGATAACCAGTCCGTTGAAGGCGAGCTCCAAACCAAGGGCCATGATATCACGCACGCATATCTCTGGCCACGGCTCGGTCGGTGGTTCCGTGAAGGGGACATCATCATCACAGAAACTGGAACGGCCGAGTTTGGGATCATCACAACCCGATTCCCGGCAAAGGCGAGAGCCATCAACCAGGTGCTCTGGGGCTCGATTGGATACGCCACGGGCGCATGCCAAGGTGCCGCTCTTGCGGCTATAGACGAGGCTGCAGAGACGAAGAAGGAGCCGAGCCGAGTCGTGCTGTGGACGGGAGAAGGAAGCTTCCAACTTACGGCGCAGACGGTTAGCACGATGCTTCGGAACAATCTCACGCCGATTATCTTCGTCATCAATAACAACGGCTACACTATCGAACGATGGATCCACGGCATGGAAGCCGATTACAATGATGTGCAGCCGTGGCGGTATACACAGATTCCGCATGTCTTCGGCGCGAAAGAAGGTCAGGCGAAATCGTACTCCGTGAGCACAAAGGATGAGCTCGAAAAGCTTTTGGGGGATGAACAGTTCAACACTGGAAAATTCTTGCGCTTCGTGGAGGTCATCATGCCACTCAAAGATGCCCCTGTTGGGCTAAAGTTGACGGCCGAAGCGAGTGCAAGGACCAATACTAGGCTGGACTGATTCAAAGCCTTCGGTTCACACCGTGATCGAAGCCGTTGCTAATGAATGGCACCCTTGAGACTGGCGAAGAAAGTACGGCGATGCGGCGGAGTCGGTGTGCTGTTCCTCGCGGCATTTTGGAGGAGCGACTCAAAAGAAGAGCTTTGCAAGATGGGATATGATCCGGACATTGAAAGGCGTTCAAAGCCTCGCTTGTGTGCAATCCGTAGTATTGAACAACTGAGCTTCTATAACAAGTAGTTCTTCAATCCACATCATCTTCGTCCTCGTCCTGGGGAACATCAACGCCCAACATCTTCATCAGGTTTCGAGACGGGCCAGGCGCCCCTCCCTCTGCAGAAAGGGACTCTAGTAGGTTGGCTAGGACGCGATATTCCTCGGAATCTTGACCATCTGCCTCATTGCCATCCAAATTGTCAGCCACTCGCGCCTTGCCCTTGCCTGTCGATCCATATGACCGCGCCGTTGGTGGAGCATCGATGTTCAAAGCGCCAGCGTCTCGTAATTCTTGCTCCATCTGTGCCAGCTCGTCGTACGAATTATCCTCTCCGTCACTTGGAGCACTTTGCTGCTCCCATGGATCCTTTTGCTCGTTTGACTTAGGCTTGGAATCAGTCTTGACCTTGCTTTTCGTCATCTCGAACAAGGCAGGGCCACCGAGGTCTACGGCCGTAAAAGTGACATGGAGTGCTTCCCTTTGCCTTTCTCGTGATTCTTCCCGTTCGTGCCATAGTAGCTCCCTTTTCACTCGAGCCCACTCCGAAGGGACAACCGTCTTGACGCCCCAGTTGTTTGAGCCCGGAGGCGGATCTGGCCCTAATGCTGCTCGGCCTGTTCCTGCGGCCGCGTGATGATGGGCGGGCTTAGATGCTATTTCACGCAAGGTCTTGTTGAAAGCTTCTTCATCGACCTGGTCGGAGCTGTTGCCCGAAGATGAGACATCGGACCATGCGTCATCCGGGTCATTATCGATGTCCATCTCGTCCATATCGTCGACCCCTTCTAAACCTGCCTCCTCGTCCTGCATGAAAGCTCGTGTTCGAGATAGGAGGTTTTGCAACGCATCTGGGGCGGTAGACTTTTCAACCGCGCTTGATTTCGCCTTCTCCGTGTTGCTCCGGGAAGTTTCTTTAGAAGTCTCTACTTCAGAAACCTTGCCTGCGCCTGCATCGCCCGAGCCACCATCAAGTGCATGATTGAAGTCATTCCAATCAACATCCATCCATCCTTCCGAATCTTCGCCTCGCTGCATATTTTCGATCAAGGCATCATCGGAGGGCATTTCTGCTTCGCCTGCTTCCAGATCGTCCAACAAGATCTCCAGCTCAAGGACATCCTTACGGGCGTTCGACTTGGGATTGCCCAAGAGCATCTCAAAGCCACTGGTTAGTTTCATTCCGACGTCCAACCGCCGCTGTCTCAATGTATTCTCCTCAGATTGGGATTCGCCATTCACGGCACCATGGACGTCGAACCATGAGGCAGGGGGTGCGAACTCCTGTGTCCGGATCTGCGCATACCCAACGCGGGAAAAGAGAACACTGATGTTTACGAGATCAGTAGGAGGAAGTTGAAGATTTTTCCCCGGCTCCCGCCTCAGGAAACGCATGGAGCTCGGATCGCGGAGATGGAATGCTTCAACTGCGGCCGACACTATCCTCGGTCGTTGAAGTAGCAAGAATGCTAGTTTTCGCGGCACGGTCACAATTGACCGGTGTAGGTTGGTATGGATAGTTTTTGGATGCCCTGCGATCCTTGAAAAGGCTGAATTGCTGAGTGTAGAGGTCGAATGGAGCGGTGGGGTCGGTCCGGACGAAAGGTATTTGAGGGCAACGGAAAGTGGTAGTTCTGGGGGGAGCTGTGGAGATATTGATATGATGCGAACCATGCCATTGTTTATCCAGACCTGAATGGTTATCAGCACTGCTTCCTGTGTAACTTGCAGCAGCTTACTCGATTGGCGTCGTTTTCTGGCGTGAGCCATTTTGGGACCTTATCTGCAGCCTCGATGGCAAGAAATTCGCCGTCAGGATCGTGAACGCGGATCCAGACATCATCGAATTTGAGACTCAATTCTCGGAGGATCCATACTATGAGCCATTCGTCTGCGACCGAGTCACCGATGTTCGTGCTGCCACCGAGTATCCATCTGTCTATTCGATGTTAGGAGAGAATGCCCCCTGGATCAAGGTCATCTGGCAAGTAAAACGGCCGACGTACATACCGAGCTCTCTGCTTAAAGCCAATTCAAACTTGTCTTTGTGCCATATGTATTCCCGAAGATATCTTTTCTCCAGTTCGGCAGCAGCAGTTTTCACTTCCGCCAACCGAGTCCTCACTTGGCTCCCTGTAAGGTTCGCATTCAACACGGAAATGGTATATTCCACTGTGTCGTTGACCGTCTGGCGAGGAAACCCGTCAAACCCTTCACCAAACGGTTTCAGGCCTGGTTCTGTGCCGTTGTCACCCATCACTTCGAACTAGTACAACTCTATTTTTGTTGAAGCATTGAACGATCGTCTAAACCAGGTATGGTTGAGGCCTCCAGGACGGAATAGAGGTGTGACTTCTAATGATGTCTAACCAACTGGGGGCCAACGTATATCCAGGTCCCGAAGCTCTTTAGATGAGTTTTCTGAGCTGAGTGCTAATGTTTTCGGGACTACAATGCTGAATGGGATAGGGACACCCGTTCAAGGTTTCCGGTGCACTTTTATGTTGACATCAACCGGTAGTATCGTCTCAATCCAGTGACAGGTATAAGTCAAGCGTAGGAATAGGCGTAGTATGTTTTTCAGGTTTCCGTGAACAGCGTGATATGATTCTGTAATAATAATTCAGATATAATCCTCCGTAGGTACCTGACAAAACATGAACCAGACGGAAATCTCTAGTTGATGCCTGGGGCAGTAAGGCATGCGTATTGCTGCCACGATCAAGCACATGACCTGTGGCTGGTTCATATTTGTAGCCTTGTGTCCTTGCGACCCATGACGCAAATAGTGCCTTTCGTCCGCCATGGTTTGTTTACCTTTTGACCGCATCCCAAACATCAAGCTGTATGCAATGACTACCATTCCGACTCCATCGCTATCCGGAGTCCCTGGGGTTTTGGACGCGCATTGCACCCGATATCCTATGACTTGATCTCTACGCGTCAACGCCCACCTGGATTGGATATCCGTCTTCGCAATGGCGAACCTATTCCCACCATCGTCCCCCGACTATTCCTTCTCTATGGCCTCGCCATCCAAGTTGTTTGGTCCAAGTGCATCAGTCGAGCCGTCATTTATATCTCCGATCAAGAACCGAAATGATCTTCTTGTGCATATGCAAGGGAAACGAGGCATCAACAGTACTCTTCTCCAGACGCCTCGAGCACCTGTGGCAGGTCGCTCTGGTAACCCCACGAAGACGGAGTTCACACCTCTACTCAAATCAGCGACACGAAACAGCGCACGGAATACTGCGAAACATATCGGGAGAAACAGTATCATCCCAGAGAGAAAACTGCGAACTCCCGCAGCACTGAGGAATGGGTACAAGTTCTCGTCGCCAGCGCTGCCCGAAGCCAGCGAGGTTTTCGGTTCGGGAATGGGTTCTATAGTGGAAGAAGATGAGACCGATGACACACCAGTCATTCCTGGTGGTAGTAGCAGTGCTGTGAGCACTCCGGGCGTGATGATGGGCAGGGGTCAAGATGCTGTGCTGGACAATGGAAACGTCCTCACTTTACGAGACCAGGAAGCCGTAAGTGTTCGATGGGACCCAAGAATTTCCGCCTACTAATACAGTGGTAGAAGCTCGAACAGATCGACAAGGAGAACTTTGGCTTAAAGCTCAAGATTCACTTCCTCGAGGAGAATATCAAGAAAATGGGTCCCGAATTCAACCAGCAAACATTACGAGAAAACGCCGATCTCAAGGTGACAAGGCAGCAGCTCGAAGTCGAGATCAAGCGATACAAACGACAGGTTAAATTGGCCGAAGAAGAACTTGAGAAGTATCGAGAACAACTGCGACAGTACGCCAACAACATGCGGAGCCGACACCAAGCAGAAGCTGGCCAGGAAGAACTCGACCAAGCCCAGCGCATTACGGACGAACAGGCCATGGAGATCGAGACTCTACAAAGACGCATTGAAGTTTATGAGCAAATGAGCCTCGAGACCGAACAGCTTCAGGCAGATATTCAAGACCTGGAGATCGACCTGCGCGAAAAGGACCGTCTGGCGGATGAGAAGGACGAGAAGATCGAAGAGCTGCAGAGCAAGGTTGAGGAGCTTCAAAATGAAGATCACAACGAATCGGAGGAGAAAGAACGGTTCATACAACAGCAAGATGACCGAATATCCGACCTGGAGGAGGAGCTGCGACGCACCCAGAGAGAAAAAGAGGAAGCCGAGGATTTTCTGGCAGACAAGCAAGATGATCCCGACGGTGTCCACCAATCATTTGTTGACCGCTTGAGTGAACGGATCGAATCATCCGAACAGCGCCGCCAGGATGAAGTGTCCGACCTCCGTCGTGAGTTACGCGATGTTCGCGCCGAACGGGATTCAACGGTATGGACTCTGGAACAAGGACTGCAGAGTCTGGAGAGGGAAAAGCGTGAGGAGATCAACTCTCTGGAAGCCCGTCTTCGATTAGCAGAAAGCAAAGGCGACAATCAATATCACCTTGCTCAACAGGCTGCAGCGACCGCTCAAGAGCAGCTTCGTCATGTCATACAGGAGAATGAGACGGAGATTAATACTTTGCGGACAAGAGTGGAAGCGGCGGAAGATGCGCAGTTTCAAGCGCAAGAACTAGATCTCCAACTGCGGGATCTGACCACCGAAGTGGAACGTCGGAGACACAGCGACAAGGTTCGAGATGAAGAGCTCACTGAACTGCGAGAAGCATACAGCCGGAAAGACCGCGAAGTATCCTCATTGAAATCCGTATCTACGCAACGCGATGAAGCGATCAAGGAGCTCGACAAAACTAAGGGACTCTTAACCGAACGCGATCGTGAAATTCTACGAATCATGGATACGATCCGATCTCTTGAATCTCAGCTGTCCACCATGGAATCCCAAGTCAAGGAGCTTTCCACTCTGCGATCCACTCTAGCAGAAAAAGATCGAGAAATATCTTCCGTACGAGCTGCTCTGCAAGAACGAACTGCGGAACTTGACATCCTTCGCGAAGTTGCAAATAACGAAGAGGAGGAGAAGACACACCTGGATGCAATGCACGATCTTGTGCAAGATCGTAATGCTGAGATTGAAGCCCTTCGGTCTGCCACCAACACTTCGCAACGCAGTCTGGAAGAGTTACAGCAAACAGCAGATGCGCGCCTGAAGGAAATTCGAGACCTAAAGGAAGCGCTCGCTGCGCAGAAGACGGAGCTGGAAGAAGAGATTCAGGTTCTGGAAACCGACTACGATGAATTGCAGTCCGAAAAGGAGGGGATGCGAGTCAAGGTCGAGGTGCTTGAATTCCAGGCGGCAGAATCCAACGAACTCAAACCTAGGGTCGAGAGTCTGGAGAAAGAACTTCGAGCTGCACACGCCGAGAGGGATATTTTGCAAAAGCAGACGGACAAGATCCACAATGATTTGACGTCGAATCTTCAGGACCGAACATCAGTCCGATCAGTGCTCGAGTCTCGAAATGCCGAGCTACAGGCGCAGCTGAACGATGCTCGGGAGAAAGTGTCTACCCTCAATTCCGAGATCGCCTCTCTGAAGTCCCAAGTATCTAATATGGAAACGACTCTTCGCTCCGAAACCCGTTCGAAAGAGACGACCATGTCTAAGCAAAATCGAGACCTTGCCGACCTGAGAACCCAGCTGAAACTCGCACACTCTGAAATGGCCGTCCTTCGCTCCTCACATCGATCCCCATCGATGTCGCCTTCTGCTCGGAGACTCCAGGAAGCAGAAATGCAGGAGTTACAAGACTTGTTACAGACGTCTAAAAACGAACTGCAGTCCTTACGGCAAGCTACTTCACAAAAGGATCGCGAGTTGTCGCGCCTCACCAAGGAATTAAACCTAAAGTCATCAGAGCTGCGGAAAGCACTTCGAACAGCGAAGCATGTGCGGGATGAGACACAAACCCAACGGATCGATGCTGTGGCTGAGGCAGCCGGACTTGAAAAGGCATTGCTTGAGGTTGAAGGGAAGCTGGAAGAAGCTGAAGATCAACTTGAAACCGGCGAGCGGACCATGAAGGATGCTGCGAAGAAGCATGCCGCAGAGCTGAAAGGTCTGATGAAGCAGATTTCCTGGTTACGAGCACGGTTTGCGCGGGAGCAAGACTTCAGGAAAGGCTTGGCCTTTGAAAAAAGATTCATGCTGATGCAAGTCGAAATGTACAACGAATGGTATGTCGCCCTTCCAATATGGCAACGCACAGTACGGCTAACATTAGAATAGTAACAAGGAAGATCTCCGACTTGTCGAAGAGATGGGGATCACCCCCGACGCGTCCTTCTATGATGCTTCGAGGCGGCCTTCATTACGAGCTGTGGGACTGGCTGTGATCGCCACTCTCAGAATGAAGAGTCTCAAGGACAACTGGTCAGTGAATAAGAAGGTGCATGACGTGCTGGTCAAGAAGGCCGGGGAGTTGAGACGGCAGAATCGCAAGGCGTCTCAGTATGTACGATGATGTTCGGGTTGGGTGCAAGAAATGAGGGATGAAATTTCGCCTGTGTCTCCAAATTTGGGATGGGACATGTTGCATGAGTGGTGTTGCTCGGATGGCTTTGGACTCATAAGTCATACTGTTAGCGGAGTGTATTGTTTTGGTGTCTTTTCTATCCAACGTTCCAACGGATCTTGCTGCTTTAACCAATGCCCAATCCATCAGATATGATCTGTCATCAATAAATGAATCATTCCAAAGTCCAAGAGTAGATGCCGCATGTCACTGATGCAATGAACTATTACTACGCTGGTTGAAATAGTTACTCCTTTCCCGCTTACGATAGGTCCGCTAGACCAGTGCCAAATTCTTCCTTTAGACATGATTACGATCCTCCTCTTATTTCTTTCATCGCGTCCGGCTTAGGAAGAGATTCCGGCCCGAAGGACATGGGAAGAAGCTGCTCGTCCGCACGCTTAGTCTAGTTCAGCATCGATATGGCAAGATTGAACTCACCTCTTCCATGGTCTTGACGACGTACTCGCCATCCTGTCCATGCATGATGATTGGCATTGTGGGCTGTCCTCCCACGCGGTTTCAGTCTTGACTCTGCTTGAATATTACATAGTGGTAGATGGAAACCATACCTCGCAGAACTCCCGGAGGAATTGCCTACACATCCCGCATGGACTTGCTAGGGTGCCAACCAGGTCCGTAGCCACCGCTATGGCCTTGAGGTCGCCATATTTCCATCCTGCAACGACCGCGGCGGTGACAGCGGCACGTTCGGCACACGTTCCGACCGGATATGACGCGTTCTCAACATTGGCCCCGAGAATAAGTCCTTTCTCCGGGTCCGCGGCGTCTTTGCGGAGAAGCGCGCAGCCAACCCGGAATTGCGAATACGGACCTGATGGCGAACCAGATAAGTACGGCGCTTGGGGAACTGGAGCGGGATAGGTACGTCGGGATAGGAATAGGACCTATTGGACAAAGACTAATCGTTCAACATACAATAAGCCAATGCCTTTGCTTCGTTGGACTTCGCCGTCAACAGTTGGACCTCCGCAGCGGATAGTCCCGACACCGACTCTTCCGATTGAGATATCAAGTTCGGCATGGCTGATTACTGGAACAGTGGCTGGATCGTGATGTTGAGGGGCATTTGTACTTTGATAACGATGGATAGATAGACACAGCAGAGGCAAAGGCCAAAGTCAACACGATCAGGATCCGATATGGTTACATTCCGATGTTCTCACGCTGTGTGACATTGAAGGAGGCGGACCCACTACGCCCCGGAGAGCTCTACGGAATCCAGAATATGAACAGAATAATAAAATCCCGATTATGAGCACAAGTATCATATTCGATCGGAAAGTACAGCAAAGAGGACTAAGGTTCTTACCTTATCAAATCAAAAGACCATCACCGGGCCTCTTGTTTTAACAATACTGGAACAGTATTCAGTTGCGAACTACTGTCTTTCCGACGACGCAGCTTTTTTGGAACCATTCAACGCCGGCCACTACATACTTAATATACATTGTATTCGCGATTGTCGAATATAAGCTGCACACCCTGAACTCCCCATCACTCATGAGTCAGAGCCCATCCGCCGGGCTGATTGACTGTCTCTGTTGCCTTGCAAGGTGTAGTCATTATGCAATCGCCGTCTCGTTAGGTATGATATCGATCGCTCGCTGGCCCTCGGTAAGCGTCAATGCCCTCTTACGGCCATCTCGAAGATAGGTTCGGGCACAGGCGCGAACTCTTGTAGGTCTAGCCGTGTATCCATCACTGAGGACTCGAGACATCGATGGAATGCGTCCAGAATAGTTTATTCTTCGGAGGGTCTCATATAGTTCATCCATCGGTGGCCATGAGCTCATCAGGATGCTCGGAATCTACACCAGTGCCGTTCGGAACAGCAGAAGAATCCCGATTTCGCTGACGGACCATGACCTGCCAGTCCGTCAAGGACGCCACAGGGCCACCTTCAATTGTGATATCGTGATCGTCTGCTTCAATGCCAAGTACCGTACCCTGGAAGCGTGATTGGTCTCCGGTCTTGCTATGCTTCCTCTTCAATGCTGTGGTCCGAATTAGCATAAACTGTCTCATGGAAGGAAATACCGTAGGATGCGGGCAATCATACCTGTTAAATAGTCTAGCCTCTCTTTTTCCCCATCTAGCTCCATAAGATCGTCCGATTTTAGCATCCCCGCAATCCGCATGATCTCCTTATTCCCATCGCCTTGGACCCAGTCGATGAACTCCTGTATATCCTTGGTGTCTTCCTCCGTTCTCCGATCTTCTTCTTTCTGCGCACCCTTGCCTTCGCCAGTGGGCTTTCGCATCGCCTCAATCCATGCTTCTTCGGAAGCGGTCATGGTGGTCGTGAAACAGCCGGCATCGTCCATGGCCATGCGGACATCCGTGATCGTCGGGGTCGCGTCGTTATGATTCCCATATGCATGAGCGACGGTTCGAGTAGCGAGAAGTAGTAGATGCTTTGCAGTAATATCCGTCAGAGCTTCAATCACCGACGGTCGAGCAGAATGGAAGCCCGCAGCGCGTAGAATTTGCAGGACGGCTGGTCGAGTCAACATGTGCATGATCTCGCGGGCAGACATGTTGGTCCGATATCTCTTCTGCTGCACAAACTCAGGCGGCCTGTAATATCCGGGACATATTGATTTCTCGACTCTCTCGGGATCCGGATGGGGTGGTGCCACTAGATTCGGACGGTTCCTAAACCTGGTGTAGTCTCTCTTCTCTAGCTTTCTGGGACTGGAGAGTTCGGCCCTGTCGACATGGAGATGTTCCTCCTCGTGTCGTGGTGAGCGTCGAACAATCCAAGAAGAAGGAGCGCTAGAGTTCTTGGCGGGCGGAGGGGTGGAAGGCGGCGGGGTGGAAGGAGCCGAGGTGGAAGGAGCCGGGGTGGAAGGTGGAACCGCCAAACCACCGGCAGGATCGCTATCCCTGTTATCCAGAGCATCACGTGCTTTGTATGTGAGCCTGAACTGAACCATGTTGAAGTTGCAAGATGCAAGTTGCAAGTTGGTACTGTATCAGACGCTTGAAATCGACGAGAACCCAGGAAATGAAGTTATTTGTTACTGAAAAGGCAAATGAGACTTTCAGAAGTTTCAAGGACGAAGTGACCAAGTCATAAGGTGCTCTTACGCAGGCGAATATCAGATGTGTTATGGTTTGAGCGTGCATGTGTGAGCACTTGATTCAGGTAGACCTACAACTACAAAGCACTCTTCTTTCCTCCAGGGGAACCACACGGCTCGAAAGAGAATCGCCTTCTTTTCATCGAACTCTCTTCCATCCGCGTTCCTCTTGGATCCAATGCGGTCTTAGGATCCTCATTATATCTCTACCACGAACCGCATTCAACCCTCCATTTCCGCAACCCTTTACCCGATTTTCGAGCAACTCCGACACACTTAATCCGACCATCGCCTAGAACCATGACAGGTGGCAGCGGCAAACCAACCGGGCTAAAGCTGAAGCTGCCAAAAAGTCAGTCAGCGGCGGAACCGGAGAGCTCATCAACACCTAAGCTCAGGTTAAACTTCAAGGGCATTACAACGCCCGCAACCGAGAACCCTCCATCAATTCAACCTTCGCCCGAGCAACCGAAACCAAAGCGAAAGTACACCAAGAAACCGAAAGGAGACGCTGCTCCCACACCGAACAAGAAGCGGCCAATCGACGATGAATCATCGGCGCGGCCGAAGAAACGAATCAACAAAGCCTCCATAGCTGGCGCTGCGAGGAAGGGCGCCCTGACGCCGGTTCTGAAGTTGAAAAGCGCGGTTTCGGCGGACAAACCCCTTCCGAAGGTTCAGAAAGATGTCCGAATGAAGATCAAGGTGCAGGGGAAGCCCCCCGAGAGGCCCATCGGAGTAGGTTATGACAGCGAAGACGATGAGGTCGAGAAGGATCCCGCAATCGAACAAGCGTTCATCATCCGGTTTCTCCCCAACGCCGACCTCGACTACGTACGCCAGTGTGTCCAGGAGAAGCGAGTGGGATTGCGACGCGATGAGGGTGGGCTGGACATGCACTTGCGCTTCTTCGACCGCGAGGGACGACGGGCGGTTGTCGTCATTCGCAAATCAATATATGCGGCGGTGCTAGTAGATTTACCTTGCGTCGCCGAGGGCATGAAGAGTTGGGACCGGAAAGGATGGTACAAATCGGTCGATGTCTATCAGATGCTGCTCGTCCTCGGCCCGGTCGGGGACGAGGGGGAGGCCAAGACCTATCCGCTACCGAACGAGGTGGATCCGACAACGTGGCAGTATGCCCATGGGCTCACGCCGCCGATGCATCACGCGAGGAAGCGCCGGTTCCGACAACGGGTCAGCTTCCGAACGATCGAAGAAGTGGAGGAGAAGGTGGAGCGCTTGTTGGAGGCGGACAAAAAGGCGCAGGCGTCCGGCGGGTCATCTATCTACACTCTGACGGACGGTGCGGCCGTACGAGAGGGCTCAGACGCCGGGGAAGCGGAAGACGAAGACTACGGATACGGACAGCCGCACGAGCAGGAAGGCATGGTCATCGATGAGGAGATGATGGAGGCGGATGTCGACGACATGGCAAAAATGTTCGAGGCCGAGTTCGAAGAAGACGCGGAAGGCGAGCCGGCGGACTTGGACACGGTCGCGGTTCAGGGACACGCCGGTGACGATGGAGAGATCGTGGTCGACGCCGATGCAGCAGCGGCGATCGCATCGCGGGGCGGTAACACGGCCGTAGTTGTAGAAGCGAGTCCAGCCGCTGACACCGGGGACGATGACGATGACGACGATGACGATGACGACGCGGATGCGGTGGCAGACGAGGAGGATGAGGATTTCGTTGCCGCTCAACAGGAGCTGCTCGGAATTAAGGAACAGATCACCGAACTGGAGAATGACGTCCAGTACTATCGAGGGAAGCTCGATCAGGAGGCCAACAAGTTGTTGCGTGGCCGTCTGCAGAAGAACATTGAGCAACGCGAAGCGGATCTGGAGATCAAGAAGAGAGAGTATGTCGAGAAAGGGGGTGTCCTTGATGACTAGACACTACGATGGCCTGTCTCCGGTGGGAGGGAGTGAATAGCATTCAGGCTCAAGCATTAGTGTATTCAGACCATGGTCACATCTAACGAAAGTTCATTGTTCTAGTTATCGCCTCAATCCCCTGAGGTCTTCGTAATTTTGTGCAGACCGCATATTGGAACTGCTTTTATTCCCAGTGATGCTTCCCTTCCATTTCTAGCGAGATTTTGACGTGAATCCCATACATGTTGTTGAACTGAAGAACTCAACCGCAAAGCTGCGTCCTCGCCAACGAATCTCTCTCTTCTTGACGTTTTGAAACGCCTATTGTACCAACTCCGCGACTTTAATGACCATTAAGTATGCCATTCGCCGCGGTCGCGGTCTTCGGATTCACTGTGCGTTCTAGAGCCACCAACACGTCCGCGACCAGGTCCTCCCCGTCTTCAACACCGCAGCTGACCCGCACCAGATCGTCGAAGACCCCGGCGGCCTCCCTCTGGTCCTTGGGGATGCCCGCATGCGTCATGGCCCCGGGGACCTCGACCAGGCTTTCCACTCCCCCTAAACTCTCGGCCAGCGTGAAGATGCGCGTCTCCCGGCAGAACCGTTCGGCCGCCGCCTGCCCGCCGCGGACCCGGAACGACAGCATGCCACCGCCCAGGCCGGATCGGTGCTGCTTGATCGCGACGCTGCGTTGATGATGCGAGGCTAATCCGGGATAGTTCACGGCGATCACGTGCGGCGACTGTTCCAGCGCCGTGGCGACCATGGTGGCGTTTTTGCTGGCTTCGCGAGCCCGGAGGTGGAGCGTCTTCAGGCCGCGGTGAGCGAGCCAGCAGTCGAATGCGCCAGGAACCGCACCGATCGCGTTCTGAAGGAAGGAGAGCCTCTCGTGGAGGTCGGGCGAATTGAACGCCGCAACGCCCATCAAGACGTCCGAGTGGCCATTGATGTATTTCGTGACGGAATGCACGACGATGTCAGCGCCGTGAAGGAGGGGCTGTTGGATGTACGGGGAAAGGAAGGTATTGTCGACCACGACCAAGATCCCATGGTCGTGTGCGATGCGGGCGACGGCTCGGATATCGACGAGGGACAGCGTCGGGTTAGAAGGCGTCTCGATCCATATGAGCTTCGTGGCCGGTTTAATGAGCGTGGCCACATCAATCTCAATGCTGGGGGAGAACGTCACCGATACCCCGTGGGCCTTGGCGACCTTGGTGAAATATCGATGCGTTCCTCCATACACATCGGAGACGGAGATGACATGGGAACCGGAGGCGAGAGATTGAAGGATGGTCGCGGTGGTGGCACTTCCCGAGGAGAAGGCAAGAGCGTAGCGCGCGGACTCGAGGGCAGCAAGGGCCTTCTCGAAGTTATCGCGATTAGGATTCGAGGACCGAGTGTACTCATACGCTCCCACGGGTTTCCCCACCTCGGTTTGAGCGAAGGTGGTGGATAGAGAGATCTACGGGGCAATGTTATTAGCGCTTGGAATCGGACTGCGTTTGGGACCACACATACCGATTCTATGACCGCTCCAGTCACAGGATCATGGGGCGAGCCAGCATGGACAGCGAGAGTTCCAAACTTGTGAACGGGTGAAGGAGCGCGGGGCGGAGTGTCGATGACATCGTGATCCGGGGCCGTCATGTTGACTGAGCCCAGATGATGGTCGGAAGGCACGCGATGTTTCCAGGAAAGAATCGAACCGGACGTCCAAAGATAAGTATCCAAGCGGGGTTCCGGAACAAAATTGATCTCGATTGGCCGGTGTTTCTATTACTCTATCTTGAAGGGTGTGAAATGGATGTCAATTTTAGGAGTGATGTCAAGGACCGAGGGCTGCGGGGAAACGGCAGTAGTGATATAAAGGAAGTCGGCAGATCACGCAATTGGGGGATTGAGAGAGTAGAACAATGGGAAGTCGATTCCAAGAATGATGATGGTAAGTACTGTCAGTAGTCAATGAACAATGGGAAGTTGGGGACGAAATAAATCGTTTAGTTTGGAGTATTTGACGGTGAATTATGACCTATTCTTATATACCTTCTGTAAGGAGGTAGGATCTACAGCGCCTGTTCGTTGAAGAGCCGCCTGAGACCAAGTGTTGCGGGGTGCAGATCGCCCAACGCCTCAACCAAACCGTCGATGATGCGGACAGCGTGCTAGTTTGTCAGCTACCCGAAAAATTCTGGTTGGTTCCCTTGGCCGGTTCCTACCAAGAATCACTAATCAGCAAATCAGGAAATCAGGAGAGATTTAATAATAGGTAATATCCCAGATTCCAGGATCCAGATTTTAGAATGCCCAGAGTGCTAGAGCAGGTCGTATCTCGGATTTAGTCAGTCGGTGCAACTTCACTCGCCGCGCGGTGTCTCTCCTGTTTACAAATCCGGTGGCGAGCAACGAGAATACGAGATATGTGCGTGATATGTCATCGACCATCGTCATCTCTCAAGGATTCCAGCTGTTCTGTTGGTCTATCGTCGAAATGAGTTCGTCGCCTTGTTGCCTTGAATTAGAAAGCCCTCCGGGGGACGAAATTGAGTTACGTCTCTTGGCATTCCCCCAACCATCACCACCATCACAGGCAGGCCCAATTCGCTCAAAAACAGCACAATACCAAAAAGTATACTCTTTCCCTAACTAAGCAACTACTAGAGGTCTGTTTTGGTGAATTCTCCGCCGCGTTCTGGTTAAGATCGTGGGAACTGTGCATAGGGAAATGCCAAGAAAGGTAACTCAATTTCGTCTCCCCCGGAGGAGCAAAGGGCGCCAGGCGACAAGGCGACAAGGCGACAAGGCGACAAGGCGATGGGTATTGAATCCAGCTTACGACAGGTTCCAAGGACGACGCGCTAATGGATGCATCTTGCACGGCACGTTGCTCTCCATCTCGATCGTGAACATCCATGTCGCGACGGTCCTGTAGCTCAATCTTCTATACAAATTCTATATACCCACCGACCCTGCATTTCCCTTGCCGAGTTACCGTCCTTTCGTGAGCGGCTTGAGGGTCTATTGCTGATGCGCAACTGCTCTCTGTCCATCAAATTGGACCAGCCACAGCGCGCAACGCGCGCATAGACTCGCCATCGCCAGAGGCTCGTCGCGAGTCGCAACCCCCATCCTAGCCATGTCCCAAGTCGAAAGCGAGAATGAGGTGCCCGTACCCACCACGGAGGTGGCCGAGACGACGGAAACGACGGATACCGTCATGAAAGACCAAGATGCCGTTAACGAGTCCCCTGGACAGGCAAACGGAGGCGCATCGATACAAGTGACAGAGCAACAGCCCGGAAGTAGCGCTAGGATGGACACGACCCGAATATCGACCGTGTCGGAGGCCGAGTGGGATGCAATGATCGATGTCCTGAACGCAGTCTATGCCTACCGCATCGACGACGAACACGACCCCTCCAAAGTCTTCCACCGCAAAGTGAACAAGCGCGTCCTCCCCGATTATTATACCGTCATCACCGAGCCCATGGCCCTCAGCACCATCAAAGCGAAGCTTAATACGAAGGAATACAAGTCCTTCGCCGAGTTTGTGCGAGATTTCGCCCTCATTCCCCACAACGCCCAAGTGTACAATCGACCGGATGCTGGCGCCTACCAAGATGCCCTCGTTATCAAGGATGTGATCCAGGATGAATTCCAGAAGTTAGCAGAAAAGGGTGTAATTCCAGCCGATGTAGCTAAGCTGCCGTTTCTTGGAGAGATTCCTCCACCGGACGAAGAAGGGCCAGGGGATGAGGAAGAAGAGGAAGATGACGAAGATGACGAGGAGGAAGAAGAGGACACGGACGATGAAGGCAAGAAGAAACGCCGTCGGGGCGGCCGGGCATCAAAACGGGACAAGGACGATGCCAAAGATGCTGCGGACCCCGACGCCCGGAAGAAACGTGGACGACCACCGCGTGTGGACACCCCTCTAGAGGCGCGGATTAAGGAGATCATCAAAGGCATGCGGAAGTTCAAGAACTCCACGAATCAGATGAAAATCAGCCATTTCGAGCGTCTTCCCGACAAGTCTCAAATGCCCGAATATTTCAATGAGATCAAGCAACCCATGGCAATGGACGTGGTCAAGGTTGGTTGATCCCCGTTCTCCCCTCAGAGGATTCCGCTGACTTATCTTAGAAAAAACTCAAGCGGAAGAAGTATTCTTCCGTTGACCAATTCATGAAGGATGTGGAACTCATGTTCGAGAATGCGAAGATGTACAACCAGGATGAAAGCATCATATATAAGGATGCTGTAGATCTCCAGGGCGAGACTAGAGCATTGGCCGAGCAAGCCAAGAAACGTCCAGATACCGACTTTGTCATGGAAGACGGTAGGTTGCCGATGCCCAACGGCATCTTGCACGGGGGAGAGCTTTGGAAAGTCGGTATGTGTCAACCATCAATCGTGCAAGCAATCCGCAGGCTAACAGATTCAGGCGACTGGGTACATATCCAGAATGCCAACGATGTCACCAAGCCCATCGTTGCCCAGATCTATCGCACCTGGCAAGATGCCGATGGTGACAAGTGGGTGAACGCTTGCTGGTACTATCGCCCGGAGCAGACCGTCCATCGATTTGACAAACACTTCTTCGAGAATGAGGTGGTGAAAACGGGTCAGTATCGGGATCATCGGATCGATGAGGTTGTCGATCGATGCTTTGTGATGTTCTTCACTCGCTACAACAAGGGACGCCCTCGCAACTTCCCGCCTGACAAAGAGATCTATGTTTGCGAAGCTCGATACAACGAAGAGAAGCACAAGATGAACAAAATCAAGACATGGGCTAGCTGCTTGCCGGACGAGGTTCGCGACAAAGACTATGAGATGGATTTGTTTGAACAGCCGAAACGGATGAAGAAAATACCCAGTCCAATAGTGTATATGCTCAAAGACGATGCAAAGGAGACCGATGACCTCCCCAAACCGACCTGGGGTGCAGAGAATGCACCACCAAAAATTGGAGCTGTGCACAAACGGCCACGGGACCCAAAGGTGAGGTCAATGGAGGACTAAAAGTTATTCAATGCTGATAATTCTAGGATTCACCACCTCCCGAACCGACACCATCCCCACCACCTCCTGCGCCTCCACAAACTGTACAGCGACCTACGACGGCAACACATCCAACACCCGCTGGCTATCGGGATCAAAGCGACTTCATGAATGCAGCCGGTCATCCCGGCTCCGCCATTGGCACCTCACCCTCTCAGCGTCCTCCCGCGCATGCTTACTCGGCCAGCCAGTACGGACAACATCCTCCGGTTTCTCCAGCTCCCCCACGCACCAACACCCCAGCCCACGGCGCCGCCTTCCAACCCTCGCCAATAACCCCTGGACCGCACCCGGTGGCGTACACTGGCCCCACGCCTATCGCTCAAGCCGCTCATCATCCCCATCCCGCCCCACAAAATTTCCCCACGTCCCACACCGTTACCCCAGCGACACATGGTCATCCACAAGTCTACCCGGCACCACAGGGCGTCGGCTCTCGTCCGACGTACCCGGTGCAGCCGCCCAGTGGCCAAGGGCATCTCGGCTACAAAGCACCGACGATCGATGTGTACCACTTAGATGACCGCGCGAACTCGTCGGTTCCTCCCGAGATCCGCAAGCAGTTCCACACGGACCGCCAGGGTCGAATCCTCTTCTACGCAGCGCCACCCGCGCAGACCGAACCGACGGATGGAGTCAAAGGCATTCACGGAGGCAAGATCTTGGGACACGGCGCGCGGTATCTCGCGGCCAAAGCGGAGCGAGAGAAGAAACTTTTGGCAAAGCGAAAACTGGAAGGATCGAACGGGCAGGGATCACCGCCGAATAAAAAAAATCGAACGGGGTCGAACGAGGCGGACGGTGATCGATGGAGCAAGGATGTCCAAGACCTCATGAATCAGGCGCTCGGACTCTGGGGCCAACAGATTCTAGACGGGATGATTTCCGATATGAAGCACCGGTATGGCGAAAGCAGGTGGCAAGGTGGATTGCAGGAGGAACTGAGCCGGGTGGCAGGGCTGCAGGAAAAGAGAATGGAGCTAGTGGAGGGACGGGAGACGGCTTGAGAATACGTCTTTACTCTAGAAGGGCATTCCAGAATCAGAGCGTTTCCTTTCCTTGACGTTCCGTCCCCAGACCGCGACACTCCAACCTCGTTTTCCGGTCTGATTAGGATAGTACGGTGTCATAAAAGGATTATGGCTGGCTTCTGGGGCTGATCACGTTCATATGGAGGCGGTCGTTCGGGATTCCCCTGGACTCGGTCATATTATGACGAGCTTAGGTGTCCACGTCATTTGCAAAGGTGTGTCCGCGGTTCGGGCCATGTGGAGGAGACACCGACAGGGAGTTATGGTAGCAGTAATACTTCAATATATTGGAAGCAAGCGGTGGCACAAGATATGACACATCATGGTATGCAATCCTTAGTTCGATGGTTGATTCATGAGTACACAGGCTGCTCGTAGCTAGAGAGAACGGAGACGACAAGAGTCAATCAGAATTGAGCAAGATGTAGGTTTGATTTCAGATTAAGTGATGTTACACTCGTCCAGCCGAACCTCTTCGCCTGGATGAAGAGGCAGAGTCGCAGAGGGAAGGGGAGCACTGGACTGGCCGGTATAGGTATGGCTGAGACGTGTACCTGACTAATTGGCCGTACCTGCAGAGGATTTGCATTGTTGCATGAATCTCCTTGACCTCACCATCAGATTGAGCAATCCGAGCGTGTTGTCGACGACATCCGATCCCAATTGGAAGGCGAAAGACGGATTCGGATTCGCCAGAACAGGGAGAGTATTGTCCCTTATTGCGTGATAGCGAGAGGAGATAAGGTGATCGGAGTACCCGTAAGGCGCTCTGACGTCGATCTGCCCAATTCTCTAGCGGCGATCACACAATTGGGCTGGCTTCGGGAATCGGATCGACGTGAGACGGTGCAGATGTATCGGTGAGGGAGGGAGGGATAGATTTCGGTACCGTGACGGTCAAGTCAGTAACTTCAGAGTCCAGACTGCAGAAGTTACGATACGGCGTCAGTAGCCTTGTAGATCATTACTCGGATGGACCGACGGCAAAGTCGATTACCAAATGCGGCATTCTTTGCTTTTTCCACTGGAGCCATAGAACCGGCATTATTCAACATTCGACAGCGATATGACCAGCATCGGATTGCAACAGCCATTCAACGGCGATGGAAGGTTTGGACTTTGAGGGATGGAATCGCCATAGAAGCGCCACGTTAGTTGTTCCCTGTAGCACACAATCGGGTCTCTATCTCGTTATTGGCGGGTTTTCATGTTTCAGGGACCCGTTACTGGTAGTGACTGGTAGCTCCGATATCCGGACGTTCCATTTCGCGTGTAGAACTGCAATCCTTCAGGAATCACCCGATAATCTTGGGGAAACTCCCCTTGTTTCGCTGGCTCATCCTACTGGTCATCTTATGTATCTTACTCGTCTCAGTCATCATTCTTTCCGAACCCCTTCCCGAAATTCCTAACATCATCCTGTCACGTCCTCACGTCTTCGCCGTATACCTAAATGAATGGCTTCAGGTCGCAAACTGTATTTGTCCTTTATTCCGAGTATTTATTAAATAATCCCTTTGTACCTATCCTTCGGCTGACTTCAATCTGCATACCACCGTAATATACCTCACGGTAATTACCTGTAGTACCTTTCCTGGCAAGTGGGACGTTTCCTTCATTTCCCACATCCCGACTTTTCCAACTCCAGCCGATTGGAAACGACACCGCCGGAATATTTTACACCTCCCACCTACTACGGCCCTCGCACTAAAATATTCAATTCGCTTTCTCCATTTCTCCAGTTCTCCAGTTCTCCATTTCTCCATTCTCCCATTCTACTTTCCTCTTTATTATTATAAATAGTCTCCGTACTTCCTTAGGCGCGACTTTCCGTTTCCTTCTCTCGCAGTCACTGAACCACTGAACACCTGCAGGATCCACCGCCAGACTGCACATATTAGATCCCTTAAGGACCTGCGCGGACCCGGATTCTACTTCAGTCCCATTCGATTTCCGTTCTGCTTCACCGCCTACGGACGTTGCAGCCGTCTTCCTGCCCTCTTAACTCTCCCACTCTGCTCCTTGGACTTCTCACCTTGGTTCCCTCCGTCAAACCTGTGTCAATTCGACACCCAGTTATCTTCGCATAACATAGAAAGAGCACGGACTACCTATTGTGGAATAATTCACTGCATCAATCGGAAACCGGACTATTGCACTCGTCGACAGTGTCGCGTGCTTCGATTGCTCCCCTTCTCCCACGAGACGACTGGTCGTGTGACCTCGCCACCGCCTAGTCTTTGTCTCAAATTCCATCTTTAGTTCTGCCCTATACGGACCTCTGTCTTTTCCAAGAATTTCAAACTCCTTCCTTGGCTCTTCAGAGGTGGCTTGCAGTCTAGACCCAAGTTTGTAGGTGTTTGTCAAAGCAAATTCACCCCGAGCACTCCTGTGTCCCCCAGCAATAATGGCCCCTCACGCCGAATCTCCGCCTCTACCAGAGAGCTCATGGGCAGAAAATGGTCCCGCATATCTGCCATCGGAGCACACGGAAGCGGTCAAGCCCAATATTCTCTATATCATGGCCGATCAGTTGGCTGCACCACTCCTTCGGATGCATGATGCAAAGTCACCCATTATTACCCCCCACCTCGACTCCCTCGCAGAGTCGGGTGTTGTCTTCGACAGCGCGTACTGCAACTCTCCGCTCTGCGCGCCGTCACGGTTCTGCATGGTCACAGGCCAGTTGCCTTCCAAGATCGGCGCTTACGACAACGCTTCCTTCCTACCCTCAGATGTCCCCACCTTCGCCCACATGCTCCGTGGCGAGGGGTACGAGACAACCCTAGCTGGAAAGGTGAGTTCGCAACCACTTCTTGGTCCTGGTGTTACGACTAACCTGATAATCCGTAGATGCACTTCATCGGCCCAGATCAGTTGCATGGCTTTGAAAATCGGCTCACACCAGACATCTATCCGGCCGATTTCGGCTGGGCAGTGAATTGGGATAACCCGGAGGAGCGCCTTGAATGGTACCACAATATGAGCTCCGTCTATCAAGCAGGACCGTGCGTTCGAAGCAACCAACTGGACTATGACGAGGAAGTGATGCATAAGGTTAGTTGCAATGCCCCCGATTCTGGGAGGTTTTCCGTACGCTAGGCAGAGGGCTTCCTTGACAGCTACTGAGTGCATCCAATAATTATTGCCCAAGCCTGGAAGCATGCTGTCAAGATCATGCATCCTAGTCCATGGCATGGAGCTGATGGATCATGCCCTCTGTTTCTTACGCAATCTCAGGATTGTACTCGTGCGTTGTGGGAATTTACTAATTTTTTTTCGATAGTCCACGCAGTATCTATACGACTATGTTCGTCAGGGAAAGTCACAAAGGCCGTTCTCTCTGACGGTCTCTCTCACTCATCCTCATGATCCATACGCAATATCCAAGGATCTGTGGGATCTTTACGAAGACGTTGACATTCCGATGCCGGAGGTTGTCATACCCCAGGACCAGCAAGACCCCCACAGCACTCGTCTGCTCAAGTGCATTGATGCCTGGGACAACGACATTCCGGAAGAGGCGGTCAAGCGGGCTCGACGAGCGTATTACGCCGCATGCACCTACGTCGACAACCAGATCGGCAAGCTTCTCCGCATCTTAAAAGAGTGCAGCCTCGACAAGAACACCGTGGTTATCTTTTCCGGTGATCACGGCGACATGCTCGGCGAGCGAGGGCTGTGGTACAAGATGAACTGGTTCGAAATGAGCTCCCGCGTTCCCTTGGTCATCAACTACCCGCCCCGCTTCAACCATCGCCGAGTGAAGGAATCGGTCAGCACCCTGGACTTGCCGTTCACGCTACTGGAACTCGTGGCTGGCCCGAAAGCAGTCCAGAAGTGGGCAGCCCTGTCTCCCATAGACGGCCGGAGCATATACCCTGCGCTCGTGGGTCGACCGGTGGCCGATGAGGTGATCGGAGAGTATATGGGCGAGGGTGCCATCACTCCCGTCGTGATGATCCGCCGCGGGAAGTGGAAGTACGTGGCCTCCCTCATCGACCCTCCGCAACTCTACAACCTTGCCGACGACCCGCACGAGTTGACCAACTTCGCGAACGCCGCGAACACCACCGTGGAGAGTAAGACCGTGGCCGCGAGCTTCGAGGAGGAAGTTCGATCACGCTGGGATCTGCCAAAGGTCCACCAACGCGTCCTCCTGAAGCAGCGGGAACGCAGACTGATCTGGAATGCACTGAGGAAAGGCAAATTCCAGTCTTGGGACTTCGAGGGGGAAGGCGGGGGGCAGCAACAGTAAGCTCTCCATGAATCGTTTGTCAGGTCGCTTTCATCTAACGGAACCAGGTATATCCGTTCCAATATCCCTCTCGACGACCTAGAACTCCGTGCCCGGTATCCGCCAGTGGATGATAAAGGCAAGACTCTCATCGTGGCCGTCCCGCATGGGCAGGCCGGGGCCCAGAATGAGTAACGCTCTACGATTGTTGACTCCTTCCATGGGATGTCCGCCATGAGAGGTTGCTTCTCTTACCTACGTCTATCTTTTGCCGAACTTCGGTACCCACCCTATTTTTGGCCGAGCGTTTACCTGTCCCGGGTCCATTTGTTGACGAGCTTTTGATTTTGGCGCTCCGGAATCAGCGGGGATGAAAGCGTATGATTTTATCCATTATTTGTATTCGAGGTTATCCTACAGGTTATTTGCGAGGAGTTGGCGGCGAGTCGCACCAAATAGCTCATAGTTGCATTCTCTGGAGATCGATAGGTCAGAAATATAGGTTCAGTGAATGGGAGCAGTTCTCAAACACAAATCCAGAGCGTGTAGTGGCATATTTTGACGCGGATGAACGCAGCTTCGAGCACCACAGATGAATCGTTTTGAAATCATGATCCAGCTGGGAGACGAAATTACTGGTCTTGAAGTATATTCCTAAGGTGTCGAAATCTCGGAATCATTACTTTCTTTCACCATACGGAGTAGAAGGAATCGGCTATACCTGGTGAAGCATATTCCTGGCCGTCTAAAACCCGGAATCGTTATTTTCTTTCCCCATCCGGAGTGCAGGAAATCGGTGGTGAAACATATCCCCAGGGGCGTGGAAAGCTCTCAACCGTTAATATATGCAAGCAGATTCCATGGATGCCACTTGGATTTATGATGCCAGAGGTGTCTCTCCCTGAAGCACTTCCCTCTCATCTGTTTGTTCTTTAAGCACTACTTCTCATCTGTTTCTTCTCCAAGCACTTCCCCTATCCGTTTCTTCCTCAAGCGCTTCCCTTACCTGGTTCTTCCCCAAGTACTTCCTCTTATATGTTTCTTCCCCAAGCACTTCTCTCATTCATTTCTTCTCCAAGCACTTCCTCTATCCGGTTCTCCCTTAACTGCCTCATTACCTGTATTCACCTCGGCATTGTCAAGTACTGAGGCTACAACAAATAATGGCAAGCCCTCGGCTGTCATCAGGGCACGACATTCATTCATAATCTATGGCTTAAAGGACCACGAGCACTTTGTAGACCAGGCGAAGTGCATGGAACGGGCCCAAGACGGGACAAACCGAGTTCGGCCATATTCTGACCAGGTCACCAGCGTCACTCATGTAATGACTAGAGAGATACTTGGATAGAGAACAGACTCAAAAGCGGTCATAGAAGAATTTTGTTCCGAGCTTCACCTGGATTATATTAACGCAGGCCTATTTGCCTTCACTAGGCCTTCAGGGGTAGCAATACGGGACTTCCGAGGCTAGCATGGCTTTTGGAAACGCTTTTAAATCGGAATTAGATATTGATTTCATGGCCCCATGTTAGGAGAAGGGATAGGTGCCTTAGACAACTAATCGGAGGTAATGAGCCAGCAAGTACTAAGCGCTCCCGACATTCTCTGAAGATCCATGGTACCTCAATGGCTATATATAACTTACATATACATCGAAGCTGGAGCGCATGGGAGATGATGAATGGGCTCCTGGACTTCAACATGGGAAGAGATGCTTGAGGGGCCACAACGAGCATCAGGAAAGAGTTGAGGGGAAAATGGACGAGAATGCACGAGCAAAGGCCGGTCAAGGTCTTAGACACAGATTGTCAGGGCAATGAAGATAAACCACTTCAGACCAGATATAGCAGAACAGGAAGTAATCAATATTATACCAAACATTGACCTATTGTGTATCACAGATAATGAGGAATAATGCAAGGTTTGAAAGAGAGGAAGACAGCATCAGTTTGCTGTGTTCATTGCTGAGGTAGCCGCGAATAAAAATAAACTTTTGATTCTTCATGACCCGGGTATCATCCGATCCGATTGAACGCCAATGCTGCCAGAATTCGCCAAAGAATGTTGCTATCATGTCTTCTTGATCAAATCCCGATCATCTCATGCGACATCCATCTCTGTGGATTTCGGATCTTCCAGCATCTCGACACCCTTCCCATTATCGACGAAGAGCCCTGCAGCGGCATCGGCTTCCTTATGGCCGTACGGTTTCTCTCTCAATTGTCGGACTCTGTTGGGATGTTAGATGATGCGTTGGGTTGGGCTGAACGGGTCACGGCACCTTTTCTTGTGTGGTTTTCCCTTGATATGCGACAAGAAGTTCGGCTCACTCTCGAACCATTTGGCGCATTCTGTGCAGTAGTGCTGGCCCAGGCCCGGGAGATCCTCGACGGCTTTGGTGTCTTTATATAGGCGAAGATGATTCGGGTCGTGGAGGTCGCTGTAGGCTTGATCGATATCGCGGGTATAGCGACGGGTCTTCTTTTTGGACTCGGAACCGCGAATGGCAGGCATTTTGCACGGCGGGGATCAATAGAGAACGGATTAATGATATGTAGGCGTAACTGATATGTTGGGACTTGGGTGGGGGAAGAATAAAAAATCACAAGATAGCAGGGGTGGGGGCGATCGTCACGTGCAGATGCCGGTTGGAGGGGAGATGATCGATTGCTCATGGGCACAATCCTCGGCGATCACTTATTATGATTGCTAGGCAATTTCCTGAGGTCGGGTCAACTAAATGTCGGGTCAACTAATGTCGGGTCAACGGGTAGGAAATGGCCGAATAGCAGTTAGCCTGGATGGGATCCTAGTATCATGAGGGAAAAAAAAAAAGAGGCTCGCTTGTGGTGGGCCGAGTATATGGTACATCCGGGGGTAGTAGAAATTGATGATCGTGAAAGCATATTCCCGGGGGGGGCCGGCAACCCTCGATGGTTGGGTACTGATGCCGTTTTAAAAATATAGTATTGGCCTTGTATGATTCTTTGAGTTTCACCGAGTCAGTACAATTCTCCGTTCTCTGTAGAGGACCTCCAAGTTGAAGGACGATAAAATCTTCAAATCTGGCACCGCGAGATGGCTAAGGATGATGCAACCCAGTCAGGAAGGAACGACAGGAATGCGGGAATGGTGAAGCGCCTGCTCCCGAGGATGTCCGCATTCGCAGCCAATCACGGCCAAGATGATAATCCATGTCATCCTTCCTGCCTTATCGACGCCTTGACGCCTATCGACGTCAATTCTCTTCTCATCCATCTCTCGGCTCTTCTGTTTCTTGATTCTTCTCCTCCATCTTCCCTTCATTGACATCACCGTGCCTCTCCCCTCTCTTCTCCCTCTATCCTCCCACATATTGCCCAACCATCGCTTTGGTTGTGCTGGTGATTTGATGCTCCTCTTCTCCTACCGATTCTCCAATTGAAAACCACTGCTGAAGTCCGTCATCATGTTCGCTGCTGCGAGGTTGGCGTCCCGCCGTTCGGTACGTACCCCCTCCAAAACGCCACTCGACCCAATGCATCTAGACTAACCCTTCTGTTCTCTATACAGCTCGGACGGCGGACGTTCGCTACCGTCGGCGACTCGCCTCTCTCCAGGAAGGTCGAAATGACCAATTGGGAGAAGGGTCACTACATCAATTACCAGAAGATGAGCGAGAATCTGGGAATCGTCCGTAGCCGTCTCAACAAGCCGTTGACGCTGACGGAGAAGATTCTGTAAGCATAGTCGCTTGATGCTTCATTCATTTTGCTACGTTCGATGGACTGACTCCCAAAAAGCTATTCTCATCTTGACGACCCCCATGGCGCCGAACTCGAGCGAGGAAAGTCTTATCTGAAGCTTCGTCCCGATCGCGTCGCCTGTCAGGATGCTACCGCGCAGATGGCCCTTCTGCAGTTCATGTCTGCCGGCATGCCCTCGGTTGCCACACCAAGCACTGTCCACTGCGATCACTTGATCGAAGCCCAGGTTGGCGGCCCCACGGACTTAGCTCGTGCTAAGGACATAAACAAGGAAGTGTACGACTTCCTTGCCACCTCATGCGCGAAGTACAACATCGGTTTCTGGAGACCCGGCTCCGGTATCATCCATCAGATCATCCTAGAGAACTACGCGTTCCCTGGCGCCCTCCTGATCGGTACTGACTCTCACACACCCAATGCGGGAGGCCTTGGCATGCTCGCTGTTGGTGTGGGCGGTGCGGATGCAGTTGACGTGATGGCGGATCTTCCCTGGGAGCTCAAAGCTCCAAAGGTCATTGGTGTGCGCTTGACAGGTGAACTGTCTGGCTGGACAGCTCCGAAAGACATTATCTTGAAGGTTGCTGGTATTCTAACCGTCAAGGGCGGGACTGGTGCGATAGTAGAGTACTTCGGACCAGGTACTGAAAGTTTGTCTTGTACAGGAGTACGCTTCCCCCTCACCCTGTTTTCTTTATTTATTTCCAATCTAACACAAGCTAGATGGCCACGATATGCAATATGGGGTCAGTCTTCCTTTAAAATCCCAGAGAATCATATTCGCTCTCTGATTTTAGACCCGGGGGAGTCATATCTACCCTCTCATTTCAGACCCCCGGGGAGTCACATCCGCCCTCTCATTTTAGACCCGGGGACTCATATCCACCTCTCATTTCACAATTGCTAACATCTGGGTTTTTCTAGTGCTGAAATTGGTGCTACCACGTCCGTGTTCCCATTCAACGACCGCATGTACGACTACCTTGCAGCCACCAAGCGCAAGGAGATCGGTGACTTTTCTCGAGTGTACGCGAAGGAACTTCGCGAGGATGAGGGTGCCGAGTATGACCAGTTAATCGAGATTAACCTCTCGGAGCTGGAGCCGCATATTAACGGACCGTTCACACCGGATCTGGCCACTCCCATCAGCAAGTTTAAAGACGCCGTTAAGGAGAATGGATGGCCCGAGGAACTCAAGGTGGGGTTGATCGGATCTTGCACGAACTCCTCCTACGAGGATATGTCTCGCGCTGCATCCATCGCCGAAGACGCCATGGCCCATGGACTGAAGACCAAGTCTATTTTCACCGTTACCCCCGGATCCGAGCAAATCCGCGCAACCATTGCTCGCGACGGTCAGTTGAAGACGTTCGAAGAGTACGGTGGCATGGTGCTCGCCAACGCTTGCGGACCGTGCATTGGCCAGTGGGACCGTAAGGACGTCAAGAAGGGAGAGCCGAACTCCATTGTCTCGTCCTACAACCGAAACTTCACCGGAAGGAACGACGCCAATCCTGCGACCCACGCTTTCGTCACCTCTCCCGACCTTGTCGTTGCCATGACCGTTGCCGGCACCCTTAACTTCAACCCTTTGACTGATAAGCTGAAGGACAAGGATGGCAACGAGTTCTTGCTGAAGCCCCCGACTGGACTCGGTCTTCCGACTCAAGGGTTCGATGCCGGCGAGGACACCTACCAAGCACCTCCTGCGGATCGATCCTCCGTGCAGGTTGCTGTGTCCCCGACCTCCGACCGCCTTCAGATTTTGGAACCCTTCCAGGCCTGGAATGGCAAGGACGCTACGGACCTGCCAATTTTGATCAAGGCCCAGGGCAAGACGACTACCGACCACATCTCAAGTAGGTTGATTTCATGTTGTGAAGGTAACTCGTGTCTAACCATGCATTTTAGTGGCTGGACCATGGCTCAAATATCGTGGCCATCTCGACAACATCTCGAACAACATGTTGATTGGCGCAATTAACTCGGAGAACGGCGAAGCGAACAAGGTCAAGAACGCCACAACCGGCGAATATGGCGCGGTTCCCGATGTCGCCCGAGACTACAAGAAGAAGGGCATTCCGTGGGTCGTTATTGGCGACTGGAACTACGGCGAGGGCAGTTCCCGAGAGCATGCCGCGTTGGAGCCTAGACATTTGGGAGGTTTGGCGATCATCACGCGAAGCTTTGCTCGTATTGTATGTTCCCTGGCTCTATTTCGGTGATCTTCCCCCTTGCTAACACTACACAGCACGAGACCAACTTGAAGAAGCAGGGAATGCTGCCGCTCACCTTTGCCGACCCCGCTGACTACGACCGCATCCAACCCGAGGATAAGGTCGACCTGCTGTGCACGGAACTTGCCGTTGGAAAGCCCATGACGCTCCGCGTGAAGCCCAAGGACGGACAGTCGTTCGACGTGAAGTTGCAGCAAACCTTCAACGAGGGACAGATCGAGTGGTTCAAGAACGGAAGTGCGCTGAACACGATGGCCAAGGCGGCGAAATAGACGGGTCGCCTCGGCGAGACTGGAATTTTCGACGATGAAAAATATGGGAATTTCTCATGAACCTAGACATCCCGGAATTTGACATAGGTAGCACATGAGGATGGAGGGATGAGGGGGTGGAGGGGATGTGTGGATATGTACATTGATCACGCGCGTATTTGCTCCGGTTATTTGTACGGGTTGGTTTTGAAATTTGTACCGCTTCACTGAACATATATTTTCACAGTGACCGATAACGCCATGTCGTGTAGCCGCTGATGGATACCTATGACACTGCAGTCTACTATCCTAATAAGAACCCATGATCCCAACCATAAGATCACACCGCCGATCCTACCGTCACCCCTGAAGCCGTGGAAGGGAGAACACCGAATCTCCCATATGTTTTTTGATCGAGTGAAACGTAATGGGGAAGGCGTCTCAGCAGGTCCAACTTGTCCTCCAAAAACCGGACGATACCGTCCGGCGGTAGAAGAAAGCGGATGTAGTTCAATCCCCCTGTGCAACGTTAGTGTACGGTTCCCGATTCGTCGGCGACGTGGAATCTCACAAAGGTAACCCATCCCCGCTCCGCAGAGGTGCCCTAGCAGGGAAGTATTCGGAACGATGAAGGTGACGACGACGACCATGATCAATGGCGTGGTCCATGTCGGGATCGAGTAGGGCCCGACGCTGAAGTTCGGGTTGACGCGGTGGGTCTTCATCGCCTCGCTTGCCAGCAGGAGGAAGATCCAGATGCTGGAACCCATGACGCTGGAGTCGAGCCGGAGAAGCTTCTCGAGGAGGACGTAGACGGCGCCCGGGAAGGTGGAAAAGGCTGATAAGACGATCAGCAATGTTTCGATTTGTGGTTTCGAAGGAGACTTACGACCGCTGAAGAGGATCAGAGCATTCAGACTGCCATGCTCAGCCTCGAAGCGCTCCAGGAGCGGAGTCAAGGCAAGGAGATTGAGAATGATGTGGAAGAGGTTGACATGGAGAAGAGGATAGGTGCTCAGACGGTGGACTGCCAGGTTGCGACGAGGTTAGATATCGCGGACAATCGAATGGAGAGGCGAGTACGTACGGGTGGCCAAATTGACCTTGCTAGGAGTGAGTGCTCCCCAAGGCGGAATCCATGGTAGCAAGATACTTAAGAAGAAAAGCGCGACAATGAGGAACAAGACCAGGCGGGTGACGATGGGCAATCGGACGAGATATGATCGTATTCGAACCGGATTGATCGATGTGTATATGGGTGCCATGGTGTGTGAATCGGCTAGTTAACAGCCATACAATGCCCCTATTCCGTGGCTGTAGAGAGTATCTATAACCGATTCCGGAGATGCAGCAATTGCGCCTCTACTCGACGAACGCGCGTGGATGGACGAGGAGTTCGGATATGTGCGGGCTGGGGATCGGCGTCGGCGACCGAATTCTCCCTGAACGCTTGGGACCGGTAAAGGTAAGCAGGAGACGAGAATCGTAAGAGTCAAAGATACATTATACGGGACAAGCAAATGTCCGGGGATGGATATCCGATGTTTAGTTATTACCAAATGGTGTAGACGGGAACATCAACGAGATGACTTGGGAAGTGCGACGGATGGGACCCTGAAGACTTTGGTTCCTGCAGGGATCGCGAGTCGCGTGCTAATTAATACCATAGTAGACTTAATCGTACACGTGTAAGGGGAATTATCCATTCATCAGGGACGACGTACGGAGTATATCTCGGGGGTATGCGATTACCTGAAAGTACAGTACGGTAAGTAAATACGGACGTACCTAAGATGGATTGATACATATATTCCGTACTCGAACCACACTATGTCCCTCCGTCTGCCATTATCTTCTATTGTCTTGTCCCGAATCCATGCATGACTATAGCGGGACGTCCAATCGTACCTCGTTCTCCTCCGCTTGTACTCCGTCTACGAAATCCTAAGCAGGTCAAGGTGAATTCAATGCAGGCGTCCTAAAGAGCCTGCTATCTCAACATCATGTCCGGACTAGGTTGGTGTGCTCCTTTCGCGTTTTCAGCCACGTGGAGCAATCGCTGAATGATATCTCTCTAGGCTCAGCACTCCTCCGACTCCGAAAGGACGACCGAATACTGCATCTCGCTCCCTTAATATCCTCCATATGCGTGGTCTTCGGGATCCTGTGGCTGCTCCTCCTGCCTCTGGACGAGTACTCGAGAAACACCTACATCTCCGAAAACGCGCTTCTGCCCGGACAAGTCCATACCTACTTTGGAGGGAGCGAGCATAATGTGTTCCGCGCGTTCCGCCAGGAAGTGGCTGCGTTAGGGGAGGTCTCAGAAGCAGAACGGTCCGCAAAGCTCGAGGAACTACTTCTCTCTTCGGGACTCAAGGTTGCCCGGCAGCGATATCATTACCCTGGTGTCGACGGATCCTCGGGAGAAAACGTGTACGCCATCCTCCAGGCCCCACGAGGGGATGCTACCGAAGCGATCGTCCTCATTGGAGCATGGACGAATACAGACGAGATTCTGAACCAGAGTGGGGTTGCGCTGGTCTTAACCTTAGCGCGATACTTCAAGAGATGGTCGCTCTGGTCAAAGGATGTGATCTTCCTCATTTCGGGGGACAGCACCGCCGGACCGCAAGCATGGGTCGATGCGTACCACGATGCCCACGACCATCGGTATGTGGAATCGCTGACCTTGAAGAGCGGAGCGCTTCAAGGGGCCATCGCCGTCGACTACCCGGCCGGTCCTTGGGGACATCGTTTCGACAAGCTTCACATCGTATACGATGGGGTCAATGGGCAGCTTCCGAATTTGGATTTGATCAATACTGCAGTGTCCGTCTCCACCGGCCAAATGGGTGTCAACGTCGCCTTTCAGCATATGTGGTCCCACGAGGACCGATATAAGGACCGACTCTCCACCATGCTCCGGGGTATGGTACGTCAAGGGTTGGGGCATGCATCAGGTCCGCACAGCGCCTTCATGCCGTATCATGTTGATGCCATTACATTCCAGACGGTCGGGGATGGGTGGCATGATGAAATGTCGCTTGGACGGACTCTGGAGAGCATGTTTCGGAGTCTCAACAATCTACTCGAGCACCTCCACCAGAGTTTCTTCTTCTATCTTCTAATGGCGCCGAAACGATTCGTCAGTATTGGGACGTACCTCCCCAGCGCAATGGCGGTGGCAGGGAGTTTCACCGTCATGTCGTTCGCGCTGTGGGTAAAGAGTGGGAGGATCCAACAGGACGAAACCGAATCTAAAAATCCCGTTTCTCAAAGTGAGAAGCCCCCAGCAGAGAAGACCTCACGACCGATGAAGATAGATCCGAAAGACCCTCGGTCAGTGCCCGGCACAAGGAATGGCACTCGCAAGATCTTCTCTCCTCTGATCGTGCTCGTTGCTATCCACGGCTTAGGCCTGGTTCCGCTTTATTTGTTTAACTCTCTTGAGCCACAGGTATGTAACAGCGTCCACGAAACCGTGTTCTCTTGACTAATCCTGGATTTAGACACTATCATCCGCGTTCCAACTCTTCACCGTCATCACCCTACCTCTTCCCATCATCGTCGCGTTCATCGTCGCAAAAATAGATCCGGCCCCGCTGCAAACTCTATACATCTTCCACTCCGTGTCTCTTCTCGCGCATGGAATGGCCCTTTCGGCTCTTGCCACTCTCAACTTCTCGCTGTCACTGTTCGTGGGGTGCATTACGTCTCCGCTATCATTCTTGCGACCTTTACCCAGGCACGCGCTTGTGGCCGGATGCGCCTTGACCTTTTGGATGGTCCTGTCCCCAATGACCGTCCTTCTGGCCGGCGCATGGATGTGGAACGCCGAGATTGGGGGTCCGCAAGGCATTCAGGGATTACTTCAGCAAGCGGCGTTTGGTTGGAAAGTCCACGGATTATGGACGCCAGTTGTGGTATGGCTGGTGTGGTGGCCGGCCTGGTGTGTTGGAGGAGTTGTCAGTGCATCGTCGATGTTTTTGCCTGCTTAGACTCCCATCCAAAAGGTAGACGTGAATTCACTCAACTAATGGAAAACAACAATGGTATCTAGTGTTCATTGGCAACAGACCCTGTCAATCCATGCATCTACTGACCCGCCTGGTGAATGAGAAATGGAACTTCAAATGACGCCGATGCTAGACATGCTTCCTTTTGAATAGCTCACGCTGCCCACACGTCCTTCCCAACGCCTTCAATCCAGGTCCCCAGCCTATTCACACTGGCATCCCAATCCTTCAATCGATGTCGGATGCCTTCGATCTGATCCATGTCAAGCACCTTCGGCTGAACCCAGTTGATCCGCGCGACTTCATCGACCTGATCAATCGACCCTCTCAGCAGGCCAAGGCTTAAGGCTTTCATGATCAGATGCTCAATACGGTCGGGTGAAACCTTGGTTTCGTTGGATATGGCCGCAAACGTCATCGCTCGATCTTGCGGTGGTCGTCGGAAGACCGCCTCCGTCAGAGCCGAAAGCGATAGCTTCTCATATAGGAAATCCTTGTGTGGTTGCAAGACCGCATTCTTGGAGATGTTCGACTGGAGGACGTCAAAGGCTTGAAGATCGCCGCGGTTGAATGCGAACATTAGGTCTCGCAACCAGCTCTCCTCCGTGTCCTTCAGCGAATCGACGATGGGGTGTAGAAGAAGTTCGCCGAAATTGTAGATCTGGTCGGAATCTAGTGCGCTAATTCCGAGGTCGTATGCTCGAGATTTCTTGTCAGCCTTCGAGATCGCGTCGATGTCGATGCAGGAGAGGTATAGCAGTGACGTTCGGTAGTACATCGTGCTGTTGTTCACATGCTATGACGAGTTAGTTGGACCGTAGCGGCATCTCGTGAATAACTCTGCACTGACCTTCCAGTAGGTTGAGTAAACCTCGTAGTAGAAGGCGCGTATCGTGTTGTGCATATCATCCTGTGCATCCAGTATTGACTGGCACCGGTCCAGAATCTTTTTGGCATCGCCATCAAGCCCTTTCTTCAACTGTGTGTTTGCAAGCGAGCTTAATGCATAAACAAGCGCGTCCTGGGATGAAGGCTTGTCGACCTCGTCGGCGATGTTCTGGATGAATTTGACGTTCTCGTCGACATCTGGACCAAGTTAGTAATAGAAAACGAGGCATCGGCTCAGCCGTCACCTTGTATCTCGTTCTGGGCAAACAGTCCAAGCTCCACGTATCGTGTCGGACTGATCTTGCTTTTGAAATCCGATATGAACTGGTTGAAGAGGCGTAATCTGAAGGGCTGGGACTCTGGCTTTTGGAAGAATGCGATCAGTGACATGGTGAGTTCGTGCCACAGCTTCCTTTCCCAGAAGTCCTCAAACTCCAAGAAGTGCACTTGGAGCTCATCCGGAGCCTCCTCTCGGAGGTCCCCGAGGAGGTTCGCAATTACGTCCGTTTCCATAGCCATGGAGGGAGATGTTGGGACGAGTGGAGGGGCGAACCAGGCTCGGAGGAAAGGGGAAAAGATGCTGTCAGGTTCGACAGAAGGAGTTCTAGAGGGTGAAAGTGAGTGTGTGAAATGGAAAAGTGTCTGGAGGCAGGACTAATCACGATGGACAAATGTTGAGTTTCTATTCCCAAGCCGGATGAGAGCTTGACGGAGTTTGAGAGCTTGAGTGAGCAAGTAGAGGTGAGGACATCAAAGGGTGTCTGCCTAAAAGCCTGAGGCACTTTTTACTTTTCTGCCTCAGGCATAAAGATCTTGATGCGACCCACCGTGTTTGCAGCTCCAGCAACGCTGAACGACACAGAAGACCTCAATCCATCGTCAAGCTCATCATCAATGTACCATTAGTTGCATCCTCAGCCGCATGGTGCTCCTCGAATCGAACGTCCGCCTCAATATCCGCTGCTGCTAACCAATTGGGGCCCGATATGTCTTCTATCGCGCTGAGGCGCTCCAATGGTTCGCAATTGGAGACGCTGAAGCACATCAGTTCGCAATGCCGACGGGTCGCTCCTCGACAATCTCGGCGCGGCATCCAAGATGTTCAAATCACAAGGACGGGGAAGCCCATTCTCAACCTTAGCGGAGGACGGTATGTTCACCCTGAACTATTATATGATGGTCGGAGCTAATGATGTACTGCTAGATCGTCACTTGGAGGTATCGAATTCAACTCTGCCCCCGCCAACACTTCACTTGACTGACCCCTCGTTAGGCCACACAGCAACCGTGTTCGGAGCAACCGGGTTCTTGGGAAGATACATCGTGAATCGATTGGGTGGGTTGTCTAGTCCATACGATGGCTTTCGGTTGCTGACAGAGGATAGCCCGGACCGGATGTACCGTCATAGTTCCGTTTCGCGACCCCATGGAGCGACGACATTTGAAGGTTTCCGGAGATCTCGGCCGTGTGAACTTCATTGTAGGTGCGCAGCTCACGATCATAACATGCGCTGATAGCGACTAGGAGTTCGATCTCCGTAACTTGGACTCTATCGACGAGAGTGTAAGACACTCGAACATGGTCTATAACCTCATCGGCCGTGACTATCCCACCAAGTGCGTAAATCCGAGCTTGGTGTAAGGCTTTCGCTAATCAGGCCAGAAACTATGATCTGGAGGACATCCATGTGACGGGAGCCGCACGGATTGCTGAGGCCGTCGCTAAGTATGATGTGGACCGTTTCGTGCACGTTTCATCGTTCAATGCCGACAAGGCTTCCCCATCGGAATTTTTCAGGACCAAGGTTCGATGGCTCGTCTATGCTGTACTTTCCATCACTGACAAGAATTAGGCTCAAGGCGAGGAGGTGGTTCGAAATATATTTCCCGAGACCACCATTGTCCGACCTGCTCCGATGTTCGGCTACGAAGATAAATTGTTGAATACGCTCGCGAGTGTTACCAACCTTTTCACGTCAAACTCCATGCAGCAGAAGTTTTGGCCCGTCCACGTACGTGCTGATCAACCGTTGCCATGATACCCCCTAACGCTTCCAGGCAATTGATGTTGGCATGGCCCTCGAAAAGATGATCCATGATGACACAACCACCGCCGAGACTTATGAGCTGTACGGTCCAAAGGAATATTCGATGGAGGGATTGGCCGAGCTCGTTGACAAGGAAATCGTCAAGAAACGCCGCCACATCAACGTTCCGAAGGCTGTAATGAAACCAATCTCGGACATCCTGAACCGATTGATATGGTGGCCAGTTGGATGTGGTGACATGGTCGAAAGAGAATTTATTGATCAAGTCATCGATCCAAATGCGAAGACATTCAATGACCTTGGAATCGAGCCCTCCGAAGTCAAAGACCTGACGTATCGATATCTCGTAAGTTTCGGTTCAATCATTGCGTCGTATGTGGTTAACAATTTTTAGCTCGAGTATCGAAGCTCATCTTATTACGACCTTCCTCCAATGACCGAGAAAGAGCATAGTGAAGAGCGGAAGTACTTGCACGTCGTCGACGATCGGTGATTTACAAGGAATAAAGGAATCGTGCACGACGGAATTCGTTTTGTAAATAAATTAGCGGCGCGGGACACATGGAGCTAGTATGCCACATAGAAACCGAACATTGAACTAGAGAATTCAATCATCTAGCACTACAACATCCAGTTGGTGAGTGAGCGCATCGATATTCGAGCGCTGTGTGACGGCTGCTTCCTTCTTCCGTTCTCTGTACAGTTTGCCCATCTTCTCCATGACCTCGCCATGAGTTAGGTTGGAATGCTCTGCTTTCAACCTCCGGAAATTCTCCTTGACGAAAAGCTGGTACTCTGACACCTTTCCAGACGCGGCCCTTGGAACCGGCTTGGTTTGAACCAAGCGTGCTTTGCAGATTCCGCACGAATGCCGATTGATGTCGACCGACTTCGACTGCCGCTTGTATTCATAGCCACATTCAACGCATTCCCAGATATACTTGTAGCTGATTTCATACGAGTGCTTGGTCGTGACGATGATGTTCTGGTCGCGAAAAGCTTTGGAACACTGGGATCCCCTTGAGGAGGTTAGCGATCCAACCCTATCCTATAGCGTGTTTTCTAGATTCTAGTTCACTTACCAGTATTTGAACTCCTTTCCATGAGGGTTGTTCTTGACACCACTAACCATGTAGGTCGCTAGATGACAGAACTCGTGGGCAACGACGTTCCTCAGCCGATCTACAGCTCATCAGTATGTCATGAAGCGGCTTTTGGGGTTTTATTTGGGTTCTATACCTGCATCATCGATGACTTTCTCGGCAAGTTCAATACTCGCGACATGTCTCTCCTCTGTCTCTTCTCCTCTAGAAATCTTGTTCTTGTCCAAATCCTTCCTCCAACGCGCCCGACCAGCGGTTACCTGCAGGTTCTTGCTCCAGACAATTTTGACACCCCCTGTCGCCTTTGTTTTTGCTGCAATCTTGCCAGCACAGATCTTGTCGTCAAGTTCCTGCAGCCATTGCTCTGCAAGACGGTGTTTGATCAGGTCGAATGCACGACGAGCTGCCCTCTGCGGGTCTTGTTTATGAGGCGACTTTTTCGGAGACGGGGGATCAAGTCCACCGGCGTTGATGTCGACGATTAACGGTTGAGAAGGGTTTCCGTTCTCACCTACGTGAAGGAAGTTGGGAAGTGTCATCCCCATTCTCTTTCGAGGTGAAAGGAGGGGTTTCTGCGGCGAATGTAAATCATTCCAGTCGTTGGTATCTGCTTGCTCCCAGAATTCATCCATGCTTGGTCGATGGGGGGTTGGTGGTATTCGGTTGGTCTTTGAGGGAGATTTAAGCCGTGACTTGGTCGGACTTTGCGGCGGAGAGGGTGTACGAGGTCGGATTGCTTGGTTTTCATTACATGTGTCGGAACCACTGTGAATGCTGCGGGCATCATGGGGATGTCCAGGGCCCTTCAAGTTCAACTTTGGATCCCCTGTTACGGAAGAGTTTTGATCCATGGAGAAAGAAGAATCGTCTGAGATAGAGCCAATGGATCCAGTCTCTCCAATGTATTCCGATGCTGTGTCTGACTCTGCTATGTCCGACTCCGCCTGGGGCCTGTTCAATGTCCTGGCAATGTCCCGTAGCTGCCTCCGTGAACCCCTGGTGGGGTTGCATTGGTCAAAATCGTGCTTCTGTGACCTTTTGTAGGGGCTCTTGATCCAGGTCGGCCTTGGGTTCTTCGCTGACCAGAATTCAATTTCTTCTAAAGAGTTGTCCGGCGGGCCAGTAGACGAATCGCTTGCGTTGATCGACCCTCCAGAACCAGAGGACTCCCGATCCTTGTCTTCTTTGGATTTATTGCCATGGGCGCGCTTTTCTTGCCTCTCAGACGCTGACCGGGTCGGTTTTGTTTTCTTTGATCGGGCTGAAACGTCGGGACCGAAGGTCGTTCTCGTAGTCAGAACCTGGGTACTCTGAGCAACACCTAGTCGACGGAATTTCTTGGTGGCGACGGCTTTGGGGGCCTCCTGCTTCAGCAATTTCCGAGACACAGCCTTTGCACTATTTATTGGCCGTTCCCTTGCCTCCTCCAGCTCTGTAGATGGATGACCATTGCGTGTCTTTTTGATTGCGGTCGCTTTCGGCGCTTTGAATGAAGGTCGCAATAAGGCTTCGAGCGGAGGGAGCTCATCGTCTGTCATAGGCTCATTCAGACGCGCCATCAAGAGAAATGTACCGAGCTTAACAATGATGCAGAATGAGATGTTGAGGCAATTTATGCAGAGCGAAGACTTTGAACTACGGTAGTAGCTCCATACAGAATCATGAACTGAGGTTTGTGAAATGCGGTCGAACTGTGTTTATGTTTATCCTATTTGGGTTTAGCCGATAGCTACCTATCCCTGTCACTAGAGCAGAATCCTAACGTCATCTGGTTAAAGCAAGTTGGAATCTCTTGTTCGACTTTGCACTGAGGGTGGTCCTATCATGTCTATGTAATTCTCTATATCACATATCGAAGCATTATACAGACGTCAAGTTTACAAGCGATATCTCAAAATAATGGCGACGGCTCTCTTAATGGTCGACATGCAGAATGCCTTCCTCGACATGACCAAAGTAGCGCTTCCGAACATCGTCAAACTCTCACAGCACTTCTCTTCCAATTCCTGGCCACGTATCTTCACTCAACATGGGCACACTCGAGAAGAACTCACACCTCCGTTCAAGAACCAGTTGGTTAGAAAATGGGGTCCGGATGGATCAATTGCGAAAGGGAGTCTGAGCTGGGAATTCATCCCAGATATCAAACAGCTCATCACGTCCGACAGTCCAATTATTCCTAAGAACACATACGATGCCTTCCTAGGTACGGATCTCGAGAAGCGTCTGCATGACTTGGGCGTCAAAAGGCTGGTTGTCTGTGGAGTCATGACCGACTGTTGTTGTGATACCACTGCACGGGGTGCCTTCAATCGTGGTTTCGAGACATGGTTGGTGAGCGATGCAACTGGTACGGCGAACAAGATTCAGCATGAGCGTGGATTAAATGCATTTGGTTTCGCTTATGGCGATGTGATCACTACAGACGAGGTGTTGAAGAGGCTGAAGTGAAGGACCGGAAGTCAACCGTGGCGTCCCAAACAAGAAAACTGGAGTATTGCTTCAAATGGATATGACTGACGCGAAAATACGACCTTCCATGGAAGCAGAACATTGATAGCAAGGTAGAATACTGTCTTTAACGCCTCCATCTACTTGTACTGCAAGATGGACAGGTAATATATGAAGACATACGAACTCTTACAAACAATAGGGTACAAAGTACTCCAGATCTCCAACTCCAAAGTCCAACTCGCTCACGACGTGCCGAAAGTCTGGCCTCCCTCTTTAAGCCATCTCTCCTCTTCTTCAGTGGATTCCCGGCCCATTACCTTGTTTCGGTAGGGATATCTGCCAAACTGCTCCAAGATGACCCGATGCTTCTCTTCAAATTCTTCGCCCATTTTCATGAATTTCATGGCTTCGTTGTCTCCAGCCTCATCGATATCCGACGCCATCTCCGAGTTTAACTTGGTAAAAATATCATGGTCCTCGAGGTGTTCCGAATGCATGAGCGGCATGCAAAACCACCATCGATATGCGGTTGATTGTCGGAAGCGTGGATGGAGATCTGGACGTGGTTGCATCTGGAGGATGGCACGGCAAAGGGAACGGGAAAGAATATCGTAGTGGCCATAAATCAGCCTTTGGTCTTTGCGATAGATGTTTCGGGGATATTGGTCCAGCAGCAACAAGAGACTCAGCGCTGTTTCCGAAGGCGTGATCTGGACTACATCATCGCCCATTTGAACTTCTGCCTCTTGTATTTCCGCTATGAAGGGTGCCGATAGAGCCTGTGAGAATGCGATTTCGGTGGCATAATCCGGGACAGCGGGAAAGGTCCAGTCCCGAATGGATTCGAGCGCTTGGTTGGCAGATGCCCTGCATATTTTATCGAACTGCTCGCGTTCCTCTTGTCCAGCTATACCGAACCATTTTTTCAGGGAGGACTCCGGTGCAATAGTGGCGGTTGCAGGTATCCCTTCGAACCAGATATCGAATATCTTCCGATACAAGCGAGGCGTAAATAGCGCCTTGTTTAAAGAGAAAGGCTTTCCGACACTAGCCATCATTTAAGAGCCTGATGGAATGGTCTTTGATATCGAATTTGATATCAATGATTTTAGATTTGACATGGAACTGCTGGAGTTGTAAAAAGGAGTACTTAGTTGATTAGTTCAATGATCTCCATGTCTGCAGGGTTCCCCATAATATTGAAAACAATCCAACTACATTCCCATTTTCCCCTAGCCTTTCACTCATCGTCTCCTTTACATTCAACTTGCAAAATCTTCGTTTGTAATGCACACACATACATGGCAAATCGCTGGATCGCCTGGGAAAGGTATGTACTGAAAGGTAACGGTAAATACCTACAATCCCGCTCGGCATTCCTCAAGTCCTGCAGAACGCACCTTTCAATAATATTTTACTTAAGTACCCCAGACCCACCAAAGCGTGAGTTTGCTCAATTCCTGCGCTATCAGATGGGTGGTACGTTCCTAAATTCATCTTAAGTTATGGTACGGTTAACGGGACGTGCTCGTCCCGCGGATCAGAGCTCCTGCGAATATTCTATACCAATAGATCTTGGATGCCATTTTCACTTCGACTGGAAACGACACCATCCTTCATCATGACAGACAACCTGCGTCAAACCATTCCTGTATTCTTGGCAAGTGTAGTCCAGTACTTCGCATTGTACCGGACTAGTGCATCCCCTGAGGTGGTCCCTTGGTCCTTGGTACCGCGATATCCAGAGTCCAGACAAGCTCCATGAGATCTGAACTCTGGTTCAGCCGGATTGCCGTGCCACATGGTTTTTGCGATCCCTCATTCTTGCCGAAATCCGCTCTCCGGGGTTTCCGAGATCGACTCCCTGCTGAGTGCTGAGCATTAGGAATCTGATATCCAACCCCATTTGCACGCCGAGGCGCGTTCTCCGCTTCTACCTAATTCCATTGACGTCTCGAAGACTTCACTGTCCAACCCCTCCCGATATGATCGTGGGAACTGTCATCTAACTTATCAGCTCGCTCGCCCTCCAGCTGTTGTTAAATTCTTCATCACCGTTTCTAGCGCTCTCATGGAAAAAAGGCTGCGAAGCTTCCCTCCAGCAAATGATAGCTCCCCCGGACTTTTCTATGTTCTTGCGCTGGATACTCCAATTACTTTCCTTGGTAGTCATCAGTACGAAGCTACTAAGGTTCATCCATAAAAACCTACATTTGTTGAAGTGTCCATGCCGCCTGCGAAGAAGAAAGATTCGTCGAAGCAGACCAAGTCGGGGCGGACTTCTGAAGAGAATCAAGAACGGTAGATGTGACCGAGTTGTTTGCTGAGGATATGGCTAATGTGAGTAACCCAGAGCTTACATTGCCGCGTCTCGAAGGAGCGATCGGTCCTTCGAGGCGAGATGGGAGTCCGCCCAGCGTGCTTCCGAAATCCACAAGAAGAGGACCGGACGTGGTTTCAAGCTGTCTCATGAGATTGTGATGAACGAAGAAATATATGAAGAGGAGGATGATTTCGAAGCTAGGTTTCTGAGTCGAGTCGGCGTGCCTGCGCCGAAAGATTTCAGTCTGACTGAGCGGCTCGCTGCTTACCATGCCGCCGGTGTTCCTGCGGAACGGCTCAGCGGCTTTGACCAACCCCTTGAACTTCTAGGCTTTGCTCCGCAGCAAACGCGGCACACGTTGCCACAAGGAAACATGGCAACTCCGAACCAGCGAACTGGTGAAGCTCGAAATCATCCATATCCGGTGACAATGGGGCAGAGACGTACGCTTCGAAACCGAAGGGCATCGGTCGTCCCATCTACCGGTCATTCCATGGCAGACGAGGATGCCCTAAGTCCAAATCTGCGAGATTCTTTGGAGCGGAGAAGCTCGGTGGTTGGCTCGCAGGATCGAAATCAACGATATGCGACCCAGTCGCCCAATATGTGGCAATCGCCTATTGGATCGGGTCACCGTGATCAGATGAGACGACTGGCGGAACAAACGTTCCCTCAGCGAACCGACCCAACTTTTCAGTTTAATTCCGAAATGAAGACTCTTCCACCCAAGAGCGGGCCGCTCACGCCAACAGCCCGAGACCCTGATTTCCCACTCGGATATGGTCCTTGGAGTTCCTACACATCGTTTTATACCGACAACCCAATGGGTTCCGTGGATGCGGACACACCTAGCTGTCTAAGATCGGATGGGAATCCAATGTCTCCCCCGGTGTTTAGTGCGAATGAACTCGCAAGCCCTCATCTGCACGCCCAGGAACCATTCTTTGGTAATAGGGGTAATGTGGCAGGCGGAGGTTCCAACGACGACCCCGTCTTCCTCGACCCATGCTTTGGTATGGATGGAATCGACCAATTCAATGAGACCTTGTCATTAGGATATCCAGTGATGGAATCTCCTGCTTGCCAAAATGACGACTACTCTGGTAATTTATATGGAATACCAAAAGAGCAAGGTTTCACCCCGCTTCAAGCGTCCTGGTTCCCGATTGATCCGTCCAAATCCTTTGATTCTTTCCAAGACGAAACGCGAGGTTAGCCGCAATGCCACAACTCCTCGATCGACCGACCATTTTCGCTAATCCCGTCATCCAGAGACCGATCTCGGCCTTGATTCTGAGTGGCTTAACCTCATCAACTCGTCGAACGAGATCGATGCGGCCCCAGGCGCATAGGCGGGTTGGCGTCTCCTCTGAGATTTCGATGCTAATCCATTCCATTCGACTCACATTTACACTTCCGGTTACGACCGTCCATATTTTTGCCTGGGACCGTTTCGAGAGAAGACGTGGGTAATATCATCGTAGCATCGCGCAGTTGCATTATGGAATTTTGGGTCTCGTGTGTGGATATTCATTTACGAGTTTATGGGTTCGCTAGAAACGACTGATCAACAGTGGCGCATGGCATTCCTCGGGATGAGTCGCAAACTGGCATCTGGCTTACCTTCTTCACCGGCGTTTTCTGAGGAGATAGCATTTTCTCACGGTACACAAAGGGTTATTGGGAGATTAAGGGCGTTCTCAACGATGCAAGACATGGGCCAGGCTATCTTATTTATATTTGGGAGGAAGCGAGGTATATGGATATGTTTAACCGAAGGCCAGGGAGATGAGGGTGGCCCGCAATATCACCACCACGTCACGAGAAGCATTGGAACGTCAGTAACTCTGCAGTCTGCGCTTCTGTGTCGCTCGCCTCGCCACGCCACCATATCCCCTGGTCTTATTAAAGGGACGGGCACTCGACGAAATGTCGGCTTCGGATGCCCTTTCGAAGTTCCAAAATTCGATTCCAGGAAGCAAGGATCTAGATGTACGAACTGAGGTCTGTGAAGGCCAAAGTGGAGCTATGGCATATGGCCTGTGCTAATAATACGAGTTGAAGATTTGTCGTCTGAGGCTTTTGTTTGGTGTAACCGAATCACAGGTATAACTCCGGGCCCAATTTGGCGGTGCTGCATCTTGCCGTAACCATCATCGTGTTTCGTGTCCGACTTTACACGTATCCTGTGCAGTCCCTTCTTCGATCGGTTCGTTACCTACAGAATTTTCCATTACCAGAAGCCTGTCATGGCGCAAGAAGTGTGCGATACGTCCCGGCCTCGCGAATTTGATTTGGAATCGGGCACAACACGACTTCGGACATGTTCAGGAACCCAACCAGGGACTGCGATTGTGGTGACTCGACTTACTTCTAGTGGTGCACAGAGATGATCTGGGCTTCAGATCAGCGAGCCCTAAGTGTGGGCGTTGAGAGGGCCGAGCCAGTGTTCGCTGAAGTCAAACGGCGAGATTACTCTCGATGATCTGCGCGCCGCATGCTTCAGTGCCTGCAGAATCCCCAGCGCTCAGTCCGGGTGTTACAAGAGCCGGGAGCTTTGAGTTTCCCTGAACCCCTGAGCACGAGAGGGAATGCTCGACATCTTCCTGCAACGTTACCTGTCATGCAATTTCCACGTTGGTTCCTGGATATTTTGTGTGATGCCCCATTGTCGAGATTTAGTGGCCAATTCTTCTCATCATTTGTTCAACTCTCGAAGCTTTTGTTGCCGACCAATGTGGAATCTAGGCAAGGCACTGTCCTCGTACCGCGGGACCAGTGCCACCGACACGACGGAAGTAATTCTCAACAAATGGATCATTTGACGCAGGGCGAGACCTGCCTTGCAGTCCTTGACTGCAAACCGTTTTGGTGCTTTATCGGACGCGGTAAACCGACGGCAGGGCAGGATTAATTCGGGTGCGACTGCGGCTGACTGGTGGGGACAGAGGCAGAAAGATATGATGCAATTCAGACTCTACGTTTGTTGGCATGATTTCGTTCTAACTTCCGAGTCCACATCGGCCGTTCAACCGAGTAGGCTTCCCTCGCCAATCTGATGGTTGCCATGGCCATTATCTCGCGATGAGGAATCATCGTCCACTCCTTTGCTGAGTGTATTGGGTGCCATCAAGGCCCTATTCTACCTGTCCTCACAAGTTTGAATTGATGCTCCACGCTGTTTTCTGTCAGGCGGGGTCGGTTCTCGTTTGGTTAGTATGCGGGAGACAGCATGGAGACAACATGAAGGCAGTATAGAGACAGCATGAAGACAGGATGCAGTGAGACGTCGGTAGGTAGGGGATGAAGTGGGTGGCTGCTTTGCATGATTGCATCTTGTGTTTCCCCAGGCCATGGCTCAGTTTCAACGTCCTACCGTCCAGTCTGAATACTTTGTTGATGCTTAATCGCGGTTCCTCGCGTGTAACGTTGAAATTCACCGACGTGGCCATCGAAGACTCACTTCATTTGCCCACTTGCTCCCTCGCAGACATCGGATGAACCGAATGCGAACCAAGAGGGCATCTAATATCAGATCAGTGAGATGATCAGTGGGATGATCAGTGAAACAAGAGCTGAATAATTCGGTTGGTATCCCCCGAATGGAGGGAAATGACAATCCGAACCTGCACCTCTCTCCCTTGATATTCACCTGTTAGTGACATACAGTGGTCCGGGGAGGAATTTGGAGACGTGCAGGAAGACGATGGGAGCGAAGCAAGAGAGCACTGGATATCGGGACATCACGTGCAACCTAAGCCGCAATCAGATATCGATGGTGACAGACAGAGCTCAGTTCAGCTTCACACCCGACATCAATCTAGTCAGGTCACTGCTAGTAGTATCATCCGGCCTCAATCCGATCTGATATGACCTGACCTAACCTAACCAGATCTGATCTGATGATCCACTTTGCCCTTTGCACATCCTGTGAGATCACACAGATCATGATCAACCGGACCACTATCATCCCCCTTCACATCGCTTCTGCATCTCCCCGTCATTCAAACTGGACTTCTTCGGCACCGTGCGTTTCCTGTGTACCGTATGGCTACTCTTCCTGCCATCCATGATTCCTCACCATCGCCCGGTCGGTTTGTAATGTCCCTCCCTGTCTCCCTCAGTGGTCCGGGAAAGTTTCCCCGTCTAAGATGCGGTATAAATGATCCATTGCCATCACTCTTTTCCCTTGAATTCCCTTTCGCACCTCAGTCGTGTCACTCGTTGCGGTTCTCCGCCGTCCCTTCGTTTTGTACTGTCTCTGAACACTGTATTTCTGCCGATTCGAGTCTCTTGCTGTTGTATCCATTGCCGTACCTCTCCCTCTCGACAGGATGCTGCCCCCAAGATTTGCTTTGCCGCTTGCCGTTATAGTGTCTCTTGTTGCTGCGGAGCCTATTCCTGGTAAGACTAGAAGTTTCCTTTGTTCCCCAGTCCTTTTCGTGCAAAGTTTCCTTGCTCTTGTATGATATCAACTCCCTAGCTCCCGCGCTGCTTGAACGCTCTATCCGCCCTATCCTTCCTTTGTTGACTTGATTAAAACTGGATAAACGCGTCCCAAAATTTTTGATATCGGCGTATTCCATACCCGCATCCTCCTGTGGAAAATTGTCGTGCAGGTTTTGTTTAGTTTCAGTCAATTTCAGTCAATTTCACCACGAATCCTCGCTTGCTAGCGAGAAGCATAGAAAGACTAATTCCAAACAGTCAATCTCAAAGCGGATTGTAACGAAACGTCTTCTGGTGCTATTACGACCGAATCCAGCACTGACCAAGATTCTCCGAGTCTTTCATGGTCTTTCGTCAGCCCAACCAGTACTTCGGCGACCTCTCGAACCTCGGCATTTACGGAGTCTCTTGAGCCCTCGGGTCCATCATGGAGCTGGATTAGCCAGTCTCTCTCTACCAGTGACACAGAAGGCTCACCGGTGGTTCCTACTTCCAATGGATCGAGCCTATCGCTCACTCGTCGGACTTCGTCGTCCTCGTCCAGTAAGTTCTCGGCTGTCGGTCCGACTGTTTGTGCAACCGACGGCGGGACCAGCGTATGCTTTGTATTTGCAAGCAGCTTGGCCTCCCGTCCGACCAGCTCGCCGTCGATCCCTCCTCGAATCACTCGGAGCAGCGGCTCACTGACTGTAACCGTTCCTGCAGGGGCCGGGACGTTTTCTAGGACTCTAAGCACTGCATCCGGTGCTCCGGTTCTTCCTAGCCCCGGGAGTGTAACATCATGGCCGTACAATGGTTTTGAATCTAGCAGGTCGTTGACCAGCTCGGATTCAGTCCCGGGTAGCTCAACTCAAGGATCGCCAGAGGCTCCAACATCAAGCGCTCCTTGCTTGAATGCAACATCCTCTCACAGCACCTCCCCTGGGTCTCCAGTGGTTTCATCAAACAGCAGTGCTCTTTCATCTGAACCGACCTCGAGCCTTTCTTCAACGTCCACAGTTGCCGTGACCTGGTCGAGTTCCACTCTGTCTTTATCCTTGCCGAGCTCATCCGCGTCAAGTTCAGCGATCTTCTCGAATAGCTCTTCAACTGGCCCTTCATCTTCATCCCCAGAAGGCACCAGCACTATCACTCTTCCACGTACATCGACCGTCGTCATTACAGTTTCCAGTTCTAGAGCATCGTCTAGTCCCACCTCACATGGCCCCGCCTTTCCTTCCAACAGCACCTCTTCAATTCTCCCGACTTCTCCAGGGGTCTCTACAAGTTCCTCCATACCGAGTCATAGCAGCTCCAGCCCCTCAAGCATCTCGACAGAACCGGACTTGCCTCCGTATGGCTCCCTTTCGTCCATTTCGTCCGCGACAGTGCCATCATCGCAGCCTGCATCCTCGGCAAATTCAACAAGCGACAACCCAGTCATCTCGAGTTCATCAAGCGGGATAAGTAGTGGGGTGTCTTCGGCGTCATCTGGCTCTTCGGAATCGACGCATGGAAGTCTCACAAGTTCTGGAACGTCGCCGTTGACCCCATCGGCATCGTCTTCTGTGCCATGGGCAAACTCCACGAGTGGTGGTCCAGTGACTCCTAGTTCGTCCATACCCCTCTTGACTTCCGTCTCTGGGTCATCAGCGTCGCCATCATCCAACTCAACAAGTGAAGGTCCTGTCAGTCCAAGTTCCTCACCATCATCCTTCACATCCAGTGCCAGCTCGAATTCGAGTCACCTCAGTTCATCCTGGCAATCGCCAACCCTGCCCAGGTATGGAACTGAAACTGGGACAGTTTCTTCCAGTAGTATTAGCTCCACGTGGTCGAGCGCCTCAATCCCCACTTCATCGGTCCCCATACCCTCTTCAAACTCCACGAGCGTGGGCCCGGTGGTGCCAAGTTCAACGTCCATTTCCAGTCCGAGCAGTGGTCTATCCACGGGATCCTCCACGTCTGTTCCCTCGAGTTGGATATTCAACTCGACATCGTCTAGCGGGACGGGGACTGGAACTCCGACGGGAACCTTCACAAGCTCGAGAAGTTCCTCTAAAACTGAATCAAGGACGACATCCAAGACTAGGACCAAACAGTCAACAAGATCAGTCACGGGGACAGGAACATTGCCAACTGGAACCGGATCACAGACGAACACTACCATCCACACGTCTACAGTTCATGTAACCCCCGTTCCTAGCTCGTCCACAACAGGCAGCCCAGAGACAGGATCAAGCACAGGACCCTCCAGCCCTTCGACATGGAGTACTTCAAGCCCTTCAGTTCCATTGTCCTCTGCCTCCTCTAGCACCATTAGGACAAGCACAGGCGATTCTGGGAGCCCGTCTTCCTCGTCCAGCGGTTGGTCAAATTCCACCACTTCAAGTAGCCATGTACCCTCCTCATCGGGGGTAGGATCCACAACTCATTGTCCCCCCACGGACTCAGGATCAACCTCATCTGTACCCCCCTCAAGCGCGGATTCCTCGAGCGCATCCTCATCCGTGGCTTCATCCGACTCCTCAGCATCGTCTTCTTCCGTTGAAAGTTCCCCATCCAATCCACCTGGGACGAGTACAGTGACTCTACCTAGCACCTCGACGAACGTTGTAACAGTCTCCAGCTCGACGTTACCTTCAAGCTCTACCCCTGGAAGCCCCGGGACGTCATCATCACTAACCGACCCATCGAATTCGACGAGCTCTGTCCCTGGAACGTCGACAGGGACCGTTACGGTGCCTGGATCTTCCAGCTCATCCAGCTCTAGTTCGTCGACTAGTGATACTTCCGAAAGCCCTATAACCCCATCGTCGTCGATAGAGTCTACTAGTTCGACTGCAAGCAACTCAACAAGCTCTAGCGGCACCGGTGTCTCGTCCTCGAGTTTTGTGAGCTCCAGCAGCGTGTCATGGTCTCACATCTTGCCTCCAACATCTACCAGTCAATCTACTCGCACAACATCTAGAGGTCCAGATGTGTCAAGCTCGTCGTTGAGCTTGCCGCCAAGCTCGTCCAGCCCGTCCTCGAGCTCGTCGTCCAGCCTGTCGTCCAGTCCGTCCTCAAGCTCGTCGTCCAGCCCGTCGTCCAGTCTATCCTCAAGCTTGTCGTCCAGCCCATCGTCCAGCCCGTCCTCAAGCTCGTCGTCCAGCCCATCGTCGAGCCCGTCCTCAAGCTCGCCGCCAAGTTCGTCCAGCCTGACGTCGAGCTCGTCGACAAGCCCGTTGTCGAGCCCATCGCCGAGCCCGTCCTCAAGCTCGCCGCCAAGCTCGTCCAGCCCATTGTCAAGCCCGTCATCGAGCCCGTCGTCCAGCCCATCGTCCACCCCATCGTCCAGCCCGTCGTCCAGCCCATCGTCCAGCTCGTCGTCAAACCCGTCCTCAAGCTCGCCGCCAAGCTCGTCCAGCCCGCTGTCGAGCCCATCGTCCAGCCCGTCGTCCAGCCCGTCCTCGAGCTTGTCGTCAAGCTCATCGTCCAGCCCGTCCTCAAGCTTGTCGTCAAGCTCATCGTCAAGCCCGTCCTCAAGCTCACCGCCAAGCTCGTCTAGCCCGCCGTCGAGTTTGTCGTCTAGCTCGTCCGGCCCGTCGTCAAGTTCGTCGTCAAGCTCTAGGACTGCATCCAGTTCGGAGATTTCCTCGTCGACGGGAAGCTGGAGCTCTTCATCAACCACGACGTCGTCGCCATCGGAGACCGCAAGCACCTCGTCCGGATCTTCATCAACGACAGAGTCCGACTCCACACCGACAAGCAGCCTTTCGAGCTCATCATGGTCTACCACCAGCAGCGTTTCCACAACAGATGGTAGCCCGGTTGTTCCATCCTCATCGTTCTCCCAACCGAGCACGTTCTCGACAGTGACCAGGTCACAGTCATCTGGAAACGGGAATCCACCAGGAGGGTATGGGGGTTTCGAGCCTAGTTCAACTGGCGGGGAGGGGGGTTATGAACCTAGCCCAACGGAAGGGGGCGGACCAGAGAGACACCTATGGCATGGACATTGAAATAACAAGTTCTAGGAGCATTTAAGAAAGGTAGACGCATCCTGACAATGACTTGGTAAATAGCAAGCTGACAAAACACAGATTTGGTTCCAGATAGACTCTGGGGCTCATAACTGATGGGCAGGGTCGAGGTTAGGAGATGAGTAGGATGTGAACAGCCACCCGTTCAGCAAGGGTGGTTCCAAACTTTGTGCTTCTCACTTTCCTTAAGTCTGCGAGGTTACAAGAGTAATTTGACAGAGCGCGAGCATCGGTAGTCCAATTGCAGCACCGTGGAAATTTGCAAACCAGGGCTCGTCGTGGTGTCTCAACTTTAGACTTCATCGTACTCTAGGTTGGATTTATAGAGGGCACCGATTACGATGACCTAATCCCTTTTAAACCTGATAATAATCGAGAGTTAGTTATGGATAAGGGTAGTTAATAGTAGTCGAGGCCTTAAGGGAGATAGTGACTAGGGAGATAATTAACTGGTAATCGGGTGCACGTGATAATTGATATTAACATACAGTATCACGTGCTAATCCCAACCCCGCACTATCTGTATTAATCATACGGTATTAATAATACCATATGCATCATTACAGCATCGCTCCGTTCCAGTATGGAAGGTTACAGTAGCTACCTAGCTATCCGAATTTAGGTCGGTAGCAATCGAAGCTCTAACGCAAGGGGGAATTCATCTTTCATTCATTGAATTGGTTCCGTGGAACTTGGAAGGCGAATTGAAGTGATATGTGAAAGAGGCCGATCCTCCCACTCCATTGCTTTTACGGGTACTAATTGGATGTAAGTAGGTACCGTCCTACTCGTAAATAACTACTCTATACAGTACTATGTAAACACGTAAGCAACATCAAGCTTCCGTTCTGTGTAGTTCCTGCATCATCACCCGCCAAACACCCGCCAAACACCCCACACAGAGGGCACTACTGCACAGCACACACACTACGGAGGATTCGTCTAGGTCAGGTATTATTCGATTCACTAGAGCGACTCCTGGTATTAATTGGTATCCCAATTCCCCCCGCCTCCCCCCGCCCGCATTGATTGATTAGACTCATCAGCTATTGCAGTGACTGAGTGAGTGACACCCTCCTGACAGCTACAGCTCCACCTCCTCCTCCCACTCCCTCCACCACCTCCACCTCCTCCTCTGCCACCACTCGGTTCTATTGAGTACTGCTATCACTATACGGCCACGACTTGCCTACCTCCCCATCCTCCCCGTCACCGTCCAGGCTACATGCCGCTTTTGGAATGCCACCCCGATCGGCTTTGACCAGCTCCTTCTCCGTCACAGACGCCAATTTGGAGGTTGTGTGCCCTCTCAAGAACCACGATGGCTCAAGCTGTCGCAAGAGGTGTCTGGGCGTAAGTCAACTCCCCCCTCTCTTCCTTCGCCTCTGCCACCACCACTACAACCTCCTCTTATCTCTCCCTGTTCAAACCATTGCGACAAGATGTCTTGCTTCTCCTTCGTGTCCCGCCCCGTCCGTGATCGTTCTCGTCCCTGGTCACTCCATCATCGTCCTCAATTGATCGCTGACATGCAACCGCTGCTGTAGGAGAAGCGATATCGGTCCATGCAAGAGCACATCCGTCGTGCCCACCCCGATAACTACATCCCGAAACTCCCAGCGACCGAAGAGAGCTTTCTGTTGATGGTCAATACCCCTCCATCGCACCGTCCTCATTTACACCAAGCCGACGGTCTCCCCGCTCCGTCGTCATCATTGTCATCCGGTATGTGCCGACCTAGTTGACTGCGCCGGTTCGATTGAGCCTTCATATGTGTCGCTGATCCACCAGCTCCAGGTTACGGTCTTGACAGGAATGCCTTGTTTGGCGATGAGTATGGTGCGGTCGCTCCTCCCCGCGTCCCCGAGGAATTTCGTCGCGGATCCCTTCTCCAGGCGTCCCATGCTGCCGCTGCCCTAACCCAGCTGCACAATCATCGCCCGGATTCGGATTGGGACTCGGAACAGGTCCGTATCCGTCCCCTCTGCCTCAATTTCTGTTGCATCGCGGTATCGACTAACATACGAACCACAGGAGAGCGCGGGGGAGTTCGGTACCTCGTCCCAACTAGGCATACATGCTACGTGCAAAAGCAACCAGCTCACATACCTGCAGGTCGATCGTCCACGCTACCTCCCTTCGCAAGCGGCCGACCCGTCAAACCGAACCGACCGCGGAAGCCATCGGTGGGCCAGAATGCTCGTAAGGCCAAACACGAAAGGCAGAGAAGCAATGATCACGCGCGGAGGATGAGTTATGATAGGAAAGCGTACAGTGCGGAACCTTCGAGCATGGCCCAACTGATGGGAAAGAGATGGGAAGATCTGATTGATGCTGCAGCCAGTGCGACCGAGGAAGATGGGAGAGACCTCACTCCGGTTCGTTTTGGGTGCCCTCTCCATCCCTTCCACCTCTCCTATCTTTGATAGCGGAGGTAGGGTGAATGTCGAAGCGAAGCAAACATCGAGCTCACCTATGGCCTAGATACCCTCGTCGCCCCACCCGACGAAATCGCAACCGAACCACGTTTCCAACGATCGATCCTCCCTTCCACCACCGTACCTTGCAGGTAATCGAAACTCCGGTGGTTACGCCGCTTCGCCGTTAGCACGAACGCTCACACCCCCACCTCCAGACACGTCCGATCTGCAGCCGTTTCCTTCCGTCGAATCATCGGTGGACTCAAGTATCTCCGGGCGAAACTTCCACTTTCCATCGTCCATCGGCCTCGGGGACGGTAGTCCCGGGGGGATCGCGATGAGTAAGACGGGTAGCAGTTCCGGCTACCGCCCACGAAGTGGTCCCGGCTACTCGGGGTCGAGCGGCAGCACCGGGGGCACCCACAGCCAACGGAGCAGTTACCTTGACGGGTTGCTCGAGCGGTCAGCCGGTGATTCGGCATTTATGTCGCAATACGGGAATCTCAGTGGCATCGGATTCAGCCCCTCGCAACTGCAGATCCAGCCGCACTTCTCGCAGTCGAACCCTCCCATCGATCCCCACATCACCTCGTCGCCCGTCTCGCGCCCCACGTATCCCACCAGCTCCGCATCGGGCCACCCTTCCCTTCAACCCCCTGTCTCGCTCATGATGTCCGGTTCCGGGTTCTCGCCACATTACCAGCAGCAGACCAACCCGAGCTCTCGGGTAGTGGAGATTTACTGCGCTGCCTGCCACCGTCTGGCACCGCTATCGCAGGCATACGCGTGCACGGAATGCATCTGCGGGGTGTGTCCGGCGTGCGTGGACGTATGGGTGGAGGAGCAGGCCCGAGGGCGAGGGGTCAAGTGCCCGAAATGCGGAGCGGTGGGCGGCAAGTTTAAACGCGTCGGTTTGGATGTGAGATAAGCGGCGAGAAGACGCAGAGCTAGGTGATGACTTGCGAGGCAATCGAACGTGCTGACGGTGTGCTTCTCTCCCTAGGTCAAGTACAATTGAGCCGGTTGGGCTCGTGCTGTGGTTTCGGAAAGGGACGAGGGAAGATGAGCCGGGACCGCGGTTGAGACATGGAAAGGACATGGAGAGCAACCCAGCTTCGAGTCAGGTCGGGATGGCTGGATCTGTCCCAGGCCGGAGCTATTGGTAGGGATGGCTGGCCTTGATGCATTGGAACCGTCGAGGCCATCGGACAAGCGAGAGGGAAGGCTGAGTTCGAGATTTTGGCACGAGCCATGAAATATGAGGGAGGGTCGGATAGACGGAGATCACGAAGGACTCGGAGGACATGAATAGACGACGAAATGGTAAATTTCTATGACGATATCACTCACGGCCGGTGTTGGGTTTGCTTTCTCGTCTGCATAGACTATTATGTCTTGCATAACCGCAGCCTGACGACTCCACTACCAGTGCTATCAATATGTACACAACTACGGATATGCACAGGTAATTACCGATACACTCTCACCCAATCCCGTAAAGCGGAAACAGATTACAGAATGGATGGCTATTGTACTCCCTACTCTCCATCACTATTGAATTCTCCAATATCATCATACAGTAATATTACGTGTAATATCCACCTCACTTTTCTTTTCCAATGTAGCAGGGATTGCCAGGAAATTCCTCGCTTCCATTGTCGACCTTCTACGACTCTCTCCCTCCAATTGCGATGATCCAAAGTCGTACTATCCAAGTCGAGGCGGAAGTTAGTTCAATCACTGTCGTCCACTGACCACTGAGTGGCCCGTCTCTCTGGCTTGCCTAGTGAGTGATGACCGGTGAGTGGTGCGTGATGGTCGTCGATCCCCCTTCCCACGTCCGGAGCACACAGATTTCATTTCCCCCTCGTTCCCAGTTCATGTTTCTTCCTCTTATCTGGGATCTGGTGATCTGGGATCGGACATTATTTGCGGGATACACCATTATGGGTTATTATTATTACTCCTCAACTTCTCGTTCATTTTGGATTCCCTAACTTCGGATAACACTTCTAGTATCTTATATCCACCATCGGAGGAATTCCGCTTCTTTCTCCCCCATGGTGATCCGACCCACCCTTTAGTCTCTATCATCTATGAACCCGTCGACTCCTTTGCCTTCACGTCCACAGTGTTGGCGCTGATTTCGTGACAAATACCTGCATTTATTTCATTTATTTCCCGTGTCCTCGAGCTACCATGTCCCTTACGGTGAAGGCGTTGAACGGCGACACTTCCTTCCTCCTCACCTTCGCACCTCCAATCGCTTCCGACGACCTCTCCGACCCGGGCCAGTTCCCTGGCAGCTACACGATCCTGATCGATCCTTGGTTAACAGGTTCGGCCGACATCATCTCCTCCAGGTTCTCCTCTTGCAACCATGTCCCTCCCTTTCCCACTGCGTCTCTCGCCGAGCTCCCGGAACCCGATATGATCATCATCTCTCAAGACAAACCGGACCATTGTCATGAGGAGACCTTGTGCCAACTGTCGCCCCATATTACATCGGCGATTCTCGCGGCTCCAGCGGCTGCGCGGAAGATTCGAAGTTGGCAGCATTTCGATTCGGGTCGAATTGAGTCGTTGCAGAAGTACAATCCAGCGCGACCCGCCACCCTATATCGCCTGGAGATCCCCTCGTTCTCGCCTTCCGGGGAATCAGGCGAAGTCACGGTGGCTTTCATGCCTTCGAAAAGAGACATGACCGGCGTACACAATACCGTTGGCATCACTTATCGACCACCGAGCAGCGTGTTGTCCACCACGCAAAAGGCAACCTATCATAGTATCCTTCCCACCCCTCCACACTCCCCGTCTATGACGACCCTCTCCGCCTCTGTTGGTGCTACCCCCGTCCCATTTTCCCCATCGTCGGTGTCATTCCCCCCATCCCCAGGGGTATATCACCGACCGTCGACAGCGCATTCTCTCAACGCTCCGCTGTCCCCTCTTACCTCGCTTCCGATGTCCCCATCGCGTCCAACAACCTCACAATCTCAACGATCGGTCCCGATCTCGTTCAGCCAGCTATCCGACGTGCCCCCCGTCCCACCACTTCCACCTGCGTATGCCTCCTCGGCACATCAAGTTTCTTCCCTCCAGCTTCACTCGTCGACAATCGCCACCGAACGCGTCCTTTCGGTGCTCTACTCGCCTCATGGCTTCCTACCGACCGCGAGCTCGAACCACCTCTCGTCCTACCTGACTCCTCTCCTGCGCGCATATGCAACATCACATCTGATGCCGTTGGCAGCCCTCCCCTTAACCTGCCTCATACACCCTTTCAACGACGTCAAGGTGCCCTGGTACAAAGGAGGTATCGTTTCGGCAGGCGCTCCAAGTGGCTGGGAAGTGATCCGCGGTGTAGGCGCCAGAAGCTGGATCAGTGCGCATGACGGAGACAAAGATGTCCGAGGATGGGGAGTTCGTGGCATGAAAACCAAAGTGTACGCCGTCGACGAAGTTGTTCGGGGACTCGGCGGTGCCGGCGTCTTGGGCTGCGAGTACTCCAAGGAGAAGCGGGACTCCGGTACCGCCAGTGCCACAGCGGACAGTCCCACCGCCGGCGCGCAGGACGAGCGACCACCGCGCGTCAGTGCGAGCGACACTGGCGCATCAACGAGTACCCCGGGAAGCGGCATAAGCGAGGCGGGGAGAAGCACGAGCGAGAGAAGCGAAGGAAGTAGCATGAAGATGCCATTACCACGCACCGTTTTGGCTCGCAGGCCTAGTCTGGAGCTAGGCGCGTTGGGGAAGACGAAGCGCTCCGTGACGGAGGTATTGAAGCTGGGTGCCGGGAAGGTTTACCGGACGCACGTCGACTGATGCAGTTTGGGATGGTCTTACAGGTATATCGAGCGAGGTGTCTCGGATCACTTATGCCTCGATCCAGGAGTCTCGGCGTTCAATGGTCCGCCGTCAATAGTGACGGACCGGTGGCTTTTATTGTAGATCCTTTTCCATTTAGCGTAGAGCGTCGGAGTCTCGGAAGGCCTATTGGCCTGTTGAAGCGCTGCGCATAGCACAAGTGTAATGTTAGAAGTTGGTATCTCGTGGTAAAATGCACACTCTCGGGTATCGAATTCCAAGGCTCAAACCCCAAAAACTCCCCCACGTATCGTGGTTCATTGTAGCCGGTATTCATCAATCGTCATGTTCTCCCCAATGCCTCTCCGCAACCCCTCCCGCAACTGATCCCACCGTCCACCGCCACCTTGATTGCCTAATGTCCGCTCTTTCAAAATCTCCCGCACTTTTCCCAGTCCCATCCTCCTCATTGTTACCGTATCTGCCGCCCCATGTAGCGATCGGCCCCTTCCTCGAAGAAGGTACTCCTCAAACCAGCCATCCTCGTCTTCATTCATGGGGAGGTTGATCAACTGCATCGCTCGATTCGCTCGATCTTTATGGGTCGACTCGGATGACAGCGCTTCGTGAATCAGGAGCTCGAGGAGCCCCCGTTGGAGATGCGGGCCCACAGGCTGTGAGCGCATGAAGGAGAAAGCTCGTGGAATGCTGATGCTGCACCGGTAGCGGAAAAACCGAGTCACCAGGTCATCGCTGGTGATTCGCATGTTGGTCGCGACGTAGAAGGACATGGGGAGACCTCGCAGATGTTGGCTTTCTGGAGGATTGTGGCCGCCATGCTTTTTCAGTCCGGCCTTCTGATCTCCCTTCTCCTCTTCCGCTTCAGCGCAATGCTCTAGCAAGACCCCGAGGATTTCTTCGTGAAAGACGGGCTGTAGGGACGGCTCGGTTAGGTAGCCCACGGCGTGAACGAAGTCGAGACGGTCTAGACACCAGAGGCCAAGCAGCGCGAGATAATACTTTCGAGGGAGGGTGGACCGCTGAGCGAATCGGGTAGCGTCTGATTCCTCGCTAGGAGTAGTGCTGGTGAGGTCCAGCAGGAGGTAGAAGAGGAGGGAGAGTTGGTGGTGCGTGGGAATCGGTGCGGACGTAATGCTCTCATGCAAAGTGCGTAACTCAGCGTTGGTTCGGGGAGGGTAGATGTGTGCACCTGATCATCGTTAGCAACTCCCTTTTCGGTTTTGAGAATGCATTAATACTTGGGATGTTTAGCAGCTCCAATAGGCGGTCAATGAAGAGCTGCCCATGGAGTTTGCGTCGGTTCTCATGGATCTCGTTCTGCAGTGCGGATGCATAGTGGCATCGATGGTTGAAGCTGAAGACGTCGGAGAAGTCTTGAATATCCAACATAGTAAGGACTGAGGCCAGGTTAGGGGATGTAGAATAGGGCGCCGATCGATAGGAATATTGAAGTGCAATCGTGGATGGATTAATCAAAGCCAAGTTCCTTTAATGAGGTGTGAGGATTAGGATGCCGCGTCTAAAGAAGACGCGAAGCACATTGGGATTTCGGAATATAGGGATGGAATCATGACCATACGCATTACTCATGAACTCATTAGAGGAAATATAAATCCTTCCTACGTAACTATATTTATTAATCTACAGAATTGAGATTATGTCCTTGTCCAGGATCTTACACGAGTGTAGGAGCCATACGAGAACAAAGGAAGAATTACTCTCTGGTTGCCTACCAGATGTTACTAGTCTCACAAATACGGTTGGTTCTGATATGTCACTGTATTGTAATGGCTTGCTTCGGGGAAAGACGTATGCGTAATTATCTACGGTGCCTATATAACAAGATTCATGGACTTGCCGCGAGTGAATAGCACATGAACCAAGGGGCTTCGTCCCAAACGAGCTCGGTCTGCACGAATGCTGTGCGGCTGCACTCATGGGGATAGAAACCTGCATCGTCCGGGAAAGCAGCCAAAAGAATTCGCAATTTCAAAGTATAGCTAGGAACAGACTGAGAACGGGCCCGTCTTCGCGATAATCAAAGGGTATACTTGAATCCAACCTGGCCCTCGATAGGCTTGGCCAATGTTCCAAGGTCAAGCTGCTTGTTCTTCAGGTGGAAATAGGCACTGCAAGCGACAAGTGCCCCCAGGATGAAGAACTGAAGCCCTGCTGTGATCCAGAGTCCGGTTCGATAATATGGAGCCTCCTTCTCCATGAATGTGGTGGACGCGAGGATGCCCCCGATAGCGCCAAACCCAATCTGCAACGCACTTCCGACGGATCTCTTCGACTGCAAGCGGATGTTGTTCGACTGATATGCAAGGATAGCGGGAATATTACCCTGGCATCCCATCACTCCGAGGAAGATGCCGAAGTATCGAACGCCGTGGTTCGTGTGGTAAGCAACGATCATCAGTCCGATGATGGTGATGATGGCCTGGGCCGCAATGACGGGCGCTCGAACTCGGTACTTATCCCCCAACCAAGCGAAGCCGAAAGCAGTGAATACTGCAGCACAGGCGGGGGGTGCTGCCAACGCATTCGCCTCACCGCCAGAATATCCCATTCCCTAAAATACGGTCAGCAAAGCTGTTGGGCGCGAAGCAACTTCATATCACCTACGGCAATGATGACGGGCGAAAAGTACGCGAACGCATACGCTGGCATGGTTACAGAGGCGAACATGAGTGAGCTGTTGCGATCAGTCCCGTTCCCGCAATAGCAATCCCAATCAACTTACAAGGTCCAGAGTTTCCAGTCTCCAAGGTGATGGAAGAACCTTCCCCAGGTCAGTTCATCCGGGACGGAATCACCTCGATCGCTCTCAATTCGGTTAGCGATGAAGGTCGCCTCGGCGGGGCTCAAGAATCCTTTCCGCTCCGCCTTGTCGGGGAAGTCAATGATGAGGAACCAAGCAAGGATGGCGACGACCTGGGTAAGGAGGCCTTCGATGATCTGGCGGAACATTAGCCTCGTTTTCGCAACCATTAACCTATCCGACCGTGGCATCTTACGAAGATCCATCGCCAGCCCCTGATACCACTAAGTCCTTCCATCTGCATCAAACCAAAGGCAAGGATGCTGGCCAATCCACCAACAAATACGGATAGGAGATAGAATGCGGCTAGACTGGATGGGCGATTAGTCAATATCGGGAACTTAGGGTGCAAACTTTCTCCTTACCGTTTCTGGACTTCAAATCGGATATACCAACAAGTCGCGAGGTAGACGCAGCCGGGAAAGAATCCTGCAGCATGTCAACAACGTTTCCCCTTCCTAAAAAGTCCCGATGTCATACCAGCTTCGAAAAATCCCAGCAGAGTACGACAGGCAGTAAGAGCCTGCCAGCTATTCACAAAACCTTGACCAAGCATCACCGTGCCCCATGCGAAGGCAATGAAAGAGAGCCAATTGGCGCTGCCCACTTTTCGTAGGACAATGTTGGACGGAAGCTATCAACGTATCAGTTTCGCCTTGGGGAGGGGCCCACGTAACATAACGACTGACCTCGAAGAAGAAGTACGGGATGAAGAACATGGTCAAAGCAATGGCGTACCTGTCTCCAACGGTGAGACCGAGGTCCTTTGCCATACCAGCGACACGTGCATTGGAAATCTGAAGGGATGGTCAGTCTACGATCGGCTATGCATCACAAAGTCGAATCCGGAAGCCTACGTTTGTCCTATCGATCAGAGAGATGGAATACAATGCTCCGAGGATTGGCAAGAGCCTCCAGTCAATTCTGCGCATAAGCCGCTTTTCAGTGCCAGTATCGAACTCTGGAACCTCTCCTGGAGTAAAGTCCAGGTGTTTCTCGGCGTCGTCATGAACGACGCCGGTCTTGGGGTCGCCGCTGTCCATGATTGACTTGGACCACGAAGACTAGGAAGAAGATAAACAACGGAACGTAGGGGGAAAGGAACAAAGCGAAAGGAGGGGTTGAGGTTTCTTGTAAGACTGTACGTGATCGACGAGGTGCACGATGGATATAAGTATGTAATTTAGTTGACAATGACTTGAAAGGGAATCCTCTTGTCCTGACCAGCCCTGGGTAAAATATTGTGCCCTGGTCGTTCTGGAGCGTTCTCTCCATTCGCGATGGTCCGATCGTTCTGGGCGTTGGTCGGAAATGCTGGGACGAACTGGGATCACCTGGACTCCCCCGCAAACTCTCGCCATAATCTCACCAACTCTCCCTACTTGCAGCGCAACCCCGCTTCCAACACGCGGTCGCCAAGGGCTTCGCATATCGCTTTCGTTGAATCACGTCTCATGATTTGGACGCCTCTTAACTTGGAGACAAGCCGTCGTGAGAAGCCATTGCATTCAATTGCAGCCTTTTGCGACAACCATGGCGAGATTCCGAGGCTCCTCTTGAACTACTTCCACACATCGAATATTAGCGTGCGGCGTTTGCCCTTGGGGCATGGACTTTTGTCGCACACGACACGGTGTTCCTGACGGGGGCGACAGACTTCGTCTACGACGGGAATGTTTCTCGTTCTCTCGTATCGGATTCCCCGGCTCACGGTTCATATTCCTTGTTTTGTGAGTTTAAAGCCGTTGTCGTAGCACCGGGACTATCACATCCGGTCAAACGGATCGCTTTCGGTCACAAGTTCCCTCGGACTCGTCCTTGATCCTCAAGGAAGGATCAGCCGGTACATAAGACGCGAAGTGCAGCGCCGAATATGTGTACTGTACGGGTCAAACAACAAAGGAGTTTAGACAATCCTTTGTTAGATGAATTGTTACTCCCGACCGTAGGAAGTAGGTGGCCAATTGCCCATCTCTCTCGTTTCCCTAGATTAGACTCCACCAGGGTGGCTCTATCACCGGAACGCCACATAAAACATCATCCAATGAATGAAAGAGGCGTATACTGATGCCCAGCAGCCCAGGAGAGGCAATAGGCATAAAATAATCTAATGAAAGGCGGTTTAATAATGCCAAGTAGTTCTCCGAACCAAACATGCACGTGACAGCCAGGTTAGGATTGGAGTCCAAGTACAAATGAAGGATTTGAAACGAAGCGATGCAGGATCTAGACATGGAAAAGAGTCAAAGGGCAACTAAACACAAGATACTGATACTAACGATATAAAAAAGGAAAAGAATTGTAGCAAGTACTGGAAAATACTTACCATTACCTATCGTAAACCACACAACGCCACTTCTCCTTCAGTGATTCCGACGGTACTGTATCGTCGTCCATCTAAGTATCGGTACTGATGACGCCGTGTAGAGAGCGCCTATCAAAGCAAACGACAAAAGGATAACTATGTAAGTACCAAGTATATAAAAGATGCAAGAGCCAATAAATGGCCGTCGGCGAAGCTCTCTCGGGGGATGACCAGTTGAGGGAACAATGCCCGAAGCCATGAGCTCACGAGATGCATTTTGCAAATCGACCTGGAGCTCCAGCGGTATCTCTCGCCGGAGAAGTGTCATGAAGAAAGTAACCCGCGTAGGTACTTGTGTAGACTTCATGTACCTCGACTTCATATTCCTCAATCCTGCCTGGCTTCCGAGCTATTTAAAAGCTGGGCAAAGAATGTCTCCACAGGAATCCTACTCCGCCTGCCGTTGCTCACTGAGCAGTCATCTCTCATCTGCCTCGGCTTCGACCCCAACCCAACTTCGCGTCCCCACTTCATTGGATTCGTCGACCCACCGTCACTATTCCAGTCTCCTAGCTAAACGAATGCGGTACAGATACGGAATACCGATATGGTTTTTAAATTAAATATCTGGTCAAGTAGACATTCCCAATAGAAGCCCCGGAGTACAATCACACCGAGGCGTATCTCCACCAACCTCGAACACACTGCCTCCCTGTTACCCTCTCACCATTTGGCCAATATCGTATCCTGGAACCATTTCGTTGGATTCTCCCCTGGCTTGTATTCGGTTCAGACTGTGGGAAGAAAAGGATGAGTAAGAAAAGTTCTTCTATTTCGGTTGTCGTTTTTGAGTCCTATTCTCCTTAGATCCGAAACTTTTCATTTATACCAAGTCCTGCGCGTTCGTATTTCGTATCCGCTAGACGATGGCAATGCATTTGGCTGACATTCCGAGTGAATTTGTCCGGGCATAAGAGTATACCTATAGTTCTATCCACCTTTATGGGGCTCTCGCTGTTAAAACTTACTATTTTTTGCTCTTTGATGCTTTACTCAATTCCTCGAACTTTCTTCGACCTCCCTACTCAGTCTACCGTACCAAGCCCGCGAGTTTCTTGTTGTTGTCAAAGGCAGGCTCGATGACCTACCGAAAAAGATAGGAGAATCCTAGATGCACGAGCCTTGTTCGACTCTATTACTTTCAAGGATGGGCTATATATTCGTACTGTGTGTCATTTCGAAATACGATCTCGTTTCCGCTTGACGGATGGATATCGGTCAGCTCCCTACCATGCCGATATCCGAAAGATCTGGTAGAGTTAATCTCAGCATCAGGCTTCCCTTACGGGTAGAGCCTCCGCCAGCTCCTCTCCTTCCGCATGCAATCCTTCAATGGATCGTAGATGCGGCAAGGTTGTTGCTACCTGTGCTGGGGCAAGCGTCTCCTTTGGGAAAGGCACCTCGATTTCGAAATGTCCGACTGGAGAGACCGAATATTGCTACCCTGCATATCCGGCAAAGCAAAATTGACCGGGAGCTTATTTGATATCAAGCTTTGCTGATATCACCCTGGGGTTTTCGCTTCCAGGTCTGTGGCTGCCATTTTCCATGCTATGGCAATCAAAACCCACCGATCTGGTCCACGGGAAGCCTGGCTGCAATCAAAGGCTTCATTTTAGCCTGGTGAAGCACATTTGGCTAAGAGACCCACAAGCAATCCCATCAGCCAGCCGGTTTGAATTGAGAGCTCTGTCAATCGGAACACAAGATACATAATGCAATGGATCCTCCAAATCCTCACCCAGTTTCCACACGCTAATCATAATTTGTTTTCCTCAGCATGCTTCCAACGCAGGTGTTCCAACTCTTCCTCTTTTGCATCTTCTCACCGCTCTCCTCTGCAGCACCGCAGTGCAAGGTTCTACCTGGCTCTCAAGAGTGGCCTTCTCAAACCGACTGGGAAGATCTCAACGACAAGGTGGAAGGAAATCTTCTGAGGCCATCTGCCCCGGCAGCTCCATGCCACCCAGATCAGTCTTCCTATGATCCGGCTGAATGCGATCGGATCCTTGCTGGTTGGCAAGATACAGATTGGCATTCGAATCATCCGACGAGCACTATGTGGCAGAACTATAATGACTTCAGCTGCATGCCCAATATAAATGCGTCGTGTAGCACGGCTGGATATCCAATATATGTCATCGCGGCAAAGACGGCGAAACATGTGAAAGCCGGTGTGGACTTCGCGCGGACCAAAAACATTAGGCTGAATATCAAGAGTTCTGGACATTGCTTTCTAGGAAGATCGGTGCAGCCAAACTCGCTGTCAATTTGGACACGTGATCTTAAGAGCCAAGTATGGTTTGAGGAGTCTTTCACACCTCAACATTGTAACCCCATCAAGGGGCCAGCAATCACCGTCGGGGCCGGCAGCCAATGGGGGGAGCTCTACGAAGCAGCTGACGAACGTGACCTGATGCTCGTTGGCGGTGCCAGTGACACTGTCAGCGTGGGGGGCTACATTGGCGGAGGGGGTCACAGCTCTCTCAGTCCAAAGTACGGAATGGGAGCCGATATGGTGCTGGAACTGGAAGCGGTGACTGCTGACGGTCGCGTCGTCATAGCAAATGAATGTCAGAATGAAGACTTATTCTGGGCTCTCCGAGGGGTAAGTCACTGAGAAGCCCATACGTCTTAGGCTCAATTACTTACGTTCACAGGGTGGCGGAAGCACCTTCGCTGCTGTCCTAACGTATACACTCAAAGCGATACCAAGCGTCCCAGTTGCGACATGGTCCGGGTATATCGTTGGCTGGGATAACATTGTGCGATTGCATACAAAATGGCCAGCTCTCGCAGAAGCGGGTGTTGGGGGCTATCTCAGCGGCTATCCTGGACGATATCCCTACCTATACTTGTCCGCCAGTATGCCTGGAGCGATATCGTCATTCGAATTAAAAGACCTCCTCGAGCCGATTTTGCACCCGAAACTCAACCTCAACTCGGTGGTTGAAAGTTCCAACCCAACGCAAAGGAGGCGGAGATCGACGGACAGTACACCCTCGGGAACTTATTCCTGGTATTCGAATTTCAGGGGATTTCGGACATCGCCCGACTTTGCACCGGAAGCTCGGAAATTGACACTGAATCGACGCGATACGTTCCCGGGCATTGGGATGGGTAAGCTAATCGTGTCATGGCTGTGGAGTGCCGAGGATGTGGCAAAGCCTGGGTTAGAGGATGCTCTCCGTGGATCCATTGATCCATCGGTGTGGTATTTGAACGACCTGATCGCTGGAGCTGGGACGGCGAACCCACCATACATCCGAGGGGGTGGGAATGCTGTCAACCCAGCATGGCGGACGGCGGTGATGAGACCGGCGTCCGAGCTGCAATGGGACGATCCGGAGGAGACGGTGCAAAAGAAGCAGGATGGTCTCCGATTCGGGGCCTCGCTCCGCTCTCTTAGCCCAGATGGTGGGACTTATGGAAATGAAGCTGATCCTGATACTGCAAACTGGCAGTACGCGTTCTGGGGAACCAACTACAAGCGACTCTTAGGTTTCAAACAAAAGGTTGACCCGGACGGAGTATTCCACTGCAGACGATGCGTTGGTAGCGAGTTATGGATTGACGATTCCAAAGGCCAGCTCTGCCCTGTTTGACCAGTACGTCCATCAGTACGTCCACCAAGTCTCGATGGTCGACTTATCATCGGCTAGGCTCACCGAGAAGAGATATAAAAGAGTCGTGCAAAGAATATGGGCGCCTCGTAAAAGTTCAGGGCTTAGATATGTTCCACCTAATATCCCACCTAATATTCCAACTACACTTTCTTACTTCGCTAACAAACTCAACTTTCTTTTCGCTTCTGTGCCAATACAAAGCCGAAGAGCAAGGCGGAGACCAAATCGTGCATCGCTGCATGACAGTGCAAGCAGGTAGTAGATGTTCTTAAATACTGCTGCTCTGCGAGGGTAATATGGAGTATGCCCGAAAACTGAAAACAAATCAACCTGCGATCTTTGACTCTTTTGACATAATTCTACCTTACATCTCGAGTGTAAGCTACTGCTTACCAGGTAGGAATAGATTCGGGTTTTCGGCTTCGTCAGCTGCGAGCCTGGACAGTCGACAGGTTAGGAACAGAAGATCCGAAGATGTAACATCTCGCCAATGCCTGCTCGGGCTACTCCCTAGTTTAAGTAGTAGTATCACGGAGTACGGGGAGCATCCTCTGCAATATTACCATCGGAGTTAGGAGTATTACAAGACCATTCTTTAAGTACAGTGAGTACACATGACTTGCAGGGTGGTCCAACCCATCCACTCACTAACTAAGCGTCGAGAATTCAACGTGCAAAGAAGGACCCCTACCAAAATTTTTTGGCCATGGTAGGTATATTGTTCGTCCATCTCGCCTATCCCTGGGGGTCGCTCGGACCCCGAAGGAGTGAAGATCAGAGTGTTTTCGACGGGCATTTGCCGTTCAATTTGATCAGCGTGAAATTTCAAGGATCCCGTTATCTTTGTGCCATTGTCCGCGACTATCGTTCCCAAATTCGTAAATTTCTAATACGACCCACGATGCTTATCCCTTATTGGAACCGACAGTTTGCTCAGTGCTGCCAGAGCACTAATTACAGAGTATGGTATTCACGTCCCTCCTTCCTAGACTCTAGTAATCCGGGTCCCTTTGCGATCTATTGAATTCTGCCCATGAGTTGGTCCCCTTTAACGCCATGCACTAGTTTCTCAAGTGCATATGTGCAAGTTCATCCTTAACGAGAACGAATTCTCTGATTCTTTTCGTGCTGTACTCGGAAGGAGAAACGACTTGCCATGTCCTCTTCTCCCTTCTAAAACAGCATACCTATTTGTGACTGTACAGATTACTACGCTGAGTATTTTAGGTCAATGCAGCAAGCTGGTTCAATGCCCAGGTCAATGTCCTTCGGGGATCAAGTTCATCGCCGCCCTCATCCGGACGATAATAGTGCCTGTTTATGGCAGTCAATGACCGGTATACGGTATACCTATTATGTTCGGTTAGCATACGGAACTGCATCAATACGATCGTGAGTTGCGCTCACAACAAATACCGGACTCCTTCTTTCCCATCTCTTTCGTTTTTCGGTAGGGTACCGAAGCCTTCCCAGAATTCGGTCAAGTTCTCCCATTCCGCGACCCAATGCCCCACTCGAATGTCACCCCAGACGCAAGGTCCAAGCCCGGACAAGCCCACAACTTCGCCAGTCCTTTCGTCGACCATAACATTTGCTGCGTCTAGGACATCCAGAGGAACAAGCGCAGAAGGTTCTCGGAATGACTCTAGTGAAGATGAATGTTGCGCGATTTGTACACGGATCGCATCGTATGGGATGCTGACAAGCATATCTTCAGCATCTCGCAGCGAGGCTTCCATCATAGAAAGAAAGGCGGCCTGCCATGAAGTGTTCGACCCGGCGCCGTCTGACCCACTGGGCCCTTTGGCGGCCAAGGTGGTAGCGGAACCTCGTCGCGAAGGTATTGATCCCCATATCCCCGGGTCTTCCGGATGAACCTGGACAAGTTCTCGGAAAGCGGCTCCTAATGTTCTGTACAGCGTCGCTAAGAACGTCGGTGAGAGACCTTGGATCAACATTCCGGGAGTGGGGATCTGACATCGGGACATCCCAGGAGGGAAGAGTGACGGCAGAGGAGTCCCTGATGGGCACGTCAGGATGGTATGCGTCAATGACGATAGGGGCATGGGAAAAGTCGGGCTGATGGTGAGCATTTCATCTGGTCCAGATATCCTTGGGACTGCAAGAGTTGACTGAGAAATGATCGCTCGGAGAGCAAGAATCTCGTTTTCTAAACCTCGCTTTTCCAACCGCAGAAGCCGTGCCGAAGGTGCTGGGCCAAACTTGACAAGAAGGTTAGACCCATTGCTGAGGCGAGCGACATAAACAGGATAAAGGGACAGAGACAGAGGCTCGATTCGTGCCAACGACAGGTTGGATCGTCGTAGTATGGGATCGAGAAGGCTCTGGATCAATGTGTATTCCTGAGGATTCAAGAAGGAAGGCTCTTGTCGGGATTGAATCTCCGTATGGTCCTGAGGTTGCATCCCTACAACACCATCCCGCGAGGATAAAGGGTTCTTGAAAAACAGACACAAACGGTAGGTATGGAATATAATCAAATAGACGACATTGGCAGGAACTCAAAATGCAATCCTCCCGGGCTCATCTTCTGATATTGGCGCTGAGAACCGAAACGTTATCTTATGATCAAGGCGAAAGAAAATAGAGGGAAGGATGACAAGATATCAACTCGAAATAGGCGAAAAGCCTGCTACCAGATTGGGCTGTAAGGATAGTATGCTACCATTTATATACGAGTAAGGGGTTTGGGTCATTCCGGGGCTGCACGTAGGTGGATTACAGTATGGACCGCATCATCTGCTGTGAATGAAATTCATGGTGGAGCATACGGAAGAGCGCTGTGTTCCAGGCAACTTCCTTTAATGGACAGAATTTCTCGGTAGGGGGTGAAAGGAACAATACATAAATAGCAATGGAAGTTTCCAGTAGATCCCCATTGTTGGTGGTGGCTTGATGAGGTGAAGTCTCAAGCCGAGGAGACGCCAGTATGGCCATACATAAGCCCTTCGGAATTATGCTAGCCGGTAGGTCAGTCAGGAAGTTGTATGTAGTGGGAAGGACGGGGTGTTCCTCCGTGTAGGAGACCTTGAGTGGATGCGGGATTGCTTTCGAGAGAGGCCCTCTTTCGATGGGCTGAGCATATCATGAAGTTTGATAGTATACGATCCTTGGTATGGGTGCTGGAGTAATGACCGGATAGGGGGATAGTACGGTCATTCAATACGCCCTATATTCGTAAGCTGTAAAAGGGTATATGCAGCCCCAGCACTCCATATGTCTGATGCCCGTCGACACCCGTTGATTTCGGGGGATGGACCTTGCGAAGGTCCGACTAGAGTCATTCCGGCTGGTGGAAATGGAGGAATATGTACGCCCAAAGCAAGCAGAAGCGAGGCTAGTGCGATACAAAAGTACGAACCAGCCTACCACATCGGAACCCAACACACATTGTGATATTGCCTCTTGGTAACTGGGAATTATAAGCCAACTTGAGAAGCTAGGTACGGTTCCGAAGTCCACTCACTCGGGATCGCCGTAGGCGTAGGCGACCTTTGTTGGGCTGAGATGAGAGGGTCAAACACCGGAACTTGATCCTCGGACAGGTCATTCAGACTTCAGGTCTCATTGGGTCCAGTCTCAAGTCTCAAGTCCTACGCCTCAAGCCACTAGTTCCTAGCCCACAGGGAAGCAAGCGAAACAGTGCAAGTCCAAGAGATAATACGATTATGAGAGGCGCATCAGCAATTCAGATTTCAGCATACCAGACTTGCAGGCTAACGTGGCTAAGGCCCACTGTCCCGTGCATGTACAACGTTGAAAGTTGAAACATCTGACAGTCGTCATAAAATGTCCGGGAAGCGAGGCCTGACCGACCCGCGCTGCATGAGCCGTGAACGCCTATTTGGTTGCTGTAATAATACGGCGAATGAAACCACCTACTCGCCCGGCCGTTAGCGGCTAGAGTCTGTAGGTACCTAGTTGATGATCAGCACCAGGGCCAGCTTTTAGCGGCGTAGGTCCCGGTGTTCGACGGCTTGCCACTTGCCAGCCGCCAGGACTTAGTACTATGTACTGTATGTAGGACTTAGAACTTCAGAACTCGGGAGGGGGACATGAGTCCATTCAAGGGCCTGAAAGATTACCTTCGGCTTTGGTCGTATTTTGTTTGTTAATACTTGGAGGCTTGAATACCTAATACCTGGTAAGTAATGAGCCGCATTCCGTATTATGGAAGCATTCCTTGGTGGATACTTGAAATCCGATGCAAGATGCACAACAACTCCTCCATCCCGCCCCCACTCGCAAGTCGAAACTCGGGCGGGTTTCAACTTTCAAATCGTTCGGCATGGTGCTGTCGTGTTAGGTGTTTAGCTTGCATAAATGGATAAATGATCCTGTCGAGGCTGCCTAAAAGTAGCACCGGCAGAAGCAAAACCAGAACTATGGCGTATCACCATAGACAAGGGAAAGCGAGAGAGGGTGAAGGTGAAGCGAAGCCAACGACGTCAGCGATCAGCGATGAGCGGTCAGACGGTCAGACGGCCAGAGCGAGAGAACGAGAGAGCCCGGCTGGCGGCCTAGACGTGCTAAGCTGCTAATCTCCTTTCTCGCTTTCTGGAACATTTGCCTGTTCGAATTCGGACCAGCACACGAGGAGGCGTCCGGCGATCGGTGAACCCTAAGTCCGCGACCCTGTCAAATGTTAAAAAGCAAGCCCCAGTTGGTGAATAATGGATACTGACTAGAATTCGTCAAGACTTAAAACTCAGGACTCAAGACTCAAAACGTAATAAGACAAAGGACTCAAGAAGATTGGTGTTTTTCGCTGGTTCTGGTGGTCCAGTACGCATTTGCGGCACGTTTGACTGCATTATTATCTGATCTAGTCACCTGGAATGGAACATGACACGAAGTACGAGTACACACCCGCGTTGCGACAGGCCTTCATGGGAGTTGATGAAAATGATCGACGAACGGATGTTGATAACGATCGAGGACAGCCGGAGGACGGAATAGGTAGTACCAATTGGGATACCTGTAATTACTCCGGTCTCGGTTCTCATGCCACCTACAAAGTATTATGCATCCCTAGCACCGCGCGGTTCGATGACCCGCGTTGGGTGTAACCTAAAACGCCTGATCTTGCGCTGGTGCGTCGTGATGACATGAATTCGCGGTAGAATCAATATAAACGCAGATGTCTAGAATGAGGCTGGAACCATCTTTCCTGGCCACATCCCAATAATGCGTACCCAGAACACACAGACGATGGACCCCAACCCCCCACGATGCTTGAGAAAGTACCGTACTCACCCATCGTATAAAAGGAAGAAAATTCATTTTCGTTACGTCGGCCACCCGGATCTCTGATAGTCAAGCCTAAAGCAGAGCCCCGTATCGCTGCAGGCATTTCTTTACACAGTATCACATAGGTGTCTGATTTGATCAAGTCATTTGGCCCTTCAATTATTAATCAAACATTGAATCGGGATAGCCCGCGAAGCCAACGCTATTCATAAGCGGTCTCCCACCATCGACGTATCTTTAGTGATGTACTGACCCCAATTCATTCCACCTTCGACCTGGCCTTTTCCAACTCCGTGGGGTTATATAGCTCGTCCAGATTGAATCGCTTGAAGCGGCGGAAGTCGCTTGTCACGACACTCATCCCAACCACGTTCTAATTCATAAGTTAATATTCCGTATCATGGCCCAAGGTTCCTGTGTGGCTGGCAGTGGCTCACCTTGTAGACCTCCACTAGAATAAGCAAGTCGAAGCCTGTGAGATCAACCTTATGCGAGCCCATAGTCTCCACAGCATCGGCTACCAGGCGGATGATATTGGCCCGATTCAACTCTCGTCCTGCATTGTTCCGAATACTCGGTTGGATGGCGAACTGCATAACGATGGTCAGGACTATGGGACAAGGAGCTGTTGCGAAAGCTCGGGATCACGTTGAGAATGTCGAGGTCTTGGGAGAATGGCGTTGAGGAGAATATAAACGAACCTTCTTTGATTCCGTGCCTTCCCCGAAGTGTGGCCGTAGAACGTCCTCTGCCAGGCTTACCAAGTCAGGTTCGTACGCCTTCGCGAATTTCGTTATTGGAACAAGTCGCTTGACAAATCTGACTCTCTTATCCCTTTCCTGGTTGAATGCATCTTTGCAGACCCTGTGAACAAGGATCACGGGGTCAATCGGAGGCTTCGTTTTGATGAATATCACTAAAATAAATGACATTGGAGTTCAGTGACTAGGTTCAATGGAACTCCGCGGCCCTTGGGCACTGGGAGGATGGTGCAGCCACTTACCACACTGAATTCCCGTTTTCACTATTGTAAACATCGAGTCATGCTTCTTTGTTTTCATTCCAGCCAGTTCCTCGTTGATTTCGGCCTCAATGTCAACAGGAGCCCCATCCTTAGCGTTTTCTTGATCGGACACCACGGGTCCCTCCTTTGATGAGCCCGTTTTTGTTCCGTATAGAATTTCAGCGTACTGCTCAAAGTCATTAGCTTTCATCTTGACAGTCAACAACCGACACATCAGGAGCTTGATTGCAAGAGGATACAACATGTTGTTCTAAAGAAGGGGCCGTACCTCTTCGAACAGGTCCAGAAGTTCGTGCTGGCTTTTCACTTCTTTGTCCATAGTACAGGTTGCCCAGATACCAGCGTCTCCCGGTTCAATGGTAGAGCGCGAGTGGGAAACGTTGCCACGATTGTCCTTTGGAACACGCCACAGCTTTCGTTTCTTTTTAGAACCATCCTAAACACCACGTTAGCAGGGCAGTCATACATATATTTATCCGCGCATTTGGAGTCCATATTCTCGACGGAAGCTGCAATTGGCCGTCTCCGGCGAACACTAAAACTGAGGCTGAACTGGAAAGGACGTGGATGGCCAACCTCTATGGAATCCTTTTTGCTACTGGCAGCAGAACCATTTTCAGGTCGCTTACGTTTCTCACTCTCGGCGGCCATTGCGTCGGGAACGTTGAGAAATGGGATGATGAATGTAGGTAGCAGTAGTGGAAGTGGGCGTAGGATGAGATTGGGTTTAATAGAAACGTCTCGACGGGTATTTATCGGCCATCCGGATGTCAACGCGGCACTAGAAGTTAGGCGTCCAGGAACTAGAACGGCAGGGCCAGAACTTAAAACTTTCAGTGTGGGTTCCAGAGGTAAGTAAATAGTATATTTCGGTGAGTGCGCCAGGGAAGTTGATGTTGGGGAGCAGGCGCCAGCCGACGGTGGCGGCTTTTTTGGCAAAGGACGATGATCCGATCCCTGTGAAGATCCTTTTAACTTTAACATTCGATACTGCCTGCCAAGTCATCACTAGTAGAGTATATTTGTGTTCACGTTAAATGGAATGGTTATTTGATGGCCAATGACAGTACTTTCGAGCATTTGTCCCAACTTAAATGCTTGGAAGTTAGGCATATTACGACTTCTCAGTTCTTCTTAGTTCTATTTATGGAATGTTTAGGACATCATGATCAAGCCCTGGATCGCAGGGTGCCTAACCGCTTAGACTAATACCAAGACGGATGTCTCAGAGTGTAGGCTTGACAAAAGCATCTATTATGACTCTCTATATCTATGAGGATCCTAGTATGCTGAAAGGTCTCTGCTGGCTATAAAGTCAGACTTAACCAGGGAGGCCGGGAGGATCTCGACGATCGTGATATGCCCGATCGGCCACGAATCGACGTTTGCCGAAGGTGGATTTATTAACGGTCGACATAAATAGCAATGTGTCCCGCCCAAGCACATAGAAACCGAATCGCGCCCGTGATCATCCTAGCAACCTCATAGTCATCTCCACCCTGTTCCTCCGGGTCAGCCAGTGAATGGATACAAGGGGAGAAGGAAGAAATGTCAACGAAATCGTGACAACTTACACTGCAAATGTCCCAGCACTGACAGGCATTGCTCTCACCAGCGTCGGCGTTATGCCTTTCCAAAACCCTCTCCACCCTTCGTGGCGCCAGGTCTGCGCGAAGCAGTCTCTCATGTTCTTGTATCGCTTTGCGTCGCCGAACCCATCCGTTTGCATCTTGCTTTTCACAACATCGAATGGATAACTGCTCAGCCATAAAGCCTCTCCAGCCAGGCCTCCATAGAAGGCGACCTTTGGCGCGGAGATATCCTCCCGTGCAATCCGATTACGTTTCGCGTCCGCGTTCATGAGATACTCGAAAGAGAGAAACCAAAAGCCGTAGGCCTGTGCTTCCCGTAAAATAGTCACCGCTTCGCCCCGATACAGTCCTCCTAGGATGCCTCCATGGGAGGAGAGCTTGCGAACGCAGTCAACAGGACCGGAGTAGAGGCGTGCGGCTCCATGTGGCTGGGTCTGCAGCCGGATACGAACATGCTCAATGGGCCCTGAGATAACGCTGTTTGCAACACCGGCAAATGCGCCTGAAAGAAAGTACTGTGGATAAGAAAGGCTGCCGTCCTTCCTTGACGAGTTTTGGATATTCCGAGACTCGAAGATGCGCCGAGCGTAGTGGAATGCACCGAATTGAATGGACACCTGCGGTTTGTTAGCGCGTCTAGGTCTTGCAGGAGAGAAAGATATCGATCTGGTGCAAGAAAAGAAGAGCCCCGAGGCGTCACATCTTGCATGGGACTCTGTCCATAATACTTACACATGCTCCAATGCCAACCAGAGGGGTCAAGGTTCCCTTGTAAAAGGCCAAGGGGCCTTCATTTTTCCAAACACTGCGGGCGCATTGCAATGCGCCCGTGTATTCCGGTCTTGTCTGTAATCGGACTTTCACAATGTCTGCTGCGGATTAGTCTTGGTCGATGTTCGCAAAAAGTCTGTTGAACATACCCAAAGGTTGTCCTAGCAAAACCTGGGCCATTCCGCCTACAGCTCCAGCAGAGAGATCTTTAACAACTCTTTCCACCCCCTTCCCATCCTCTTCCAGCTCTTTTACGACCTCCATTGTGATGACTGATGCGTTCGATGTGAATTGGGTAATATGTAAGTCCTTGATACACTACAGATGCACTCTGAAATTGCATAGGATATAACGAGAGAGAGCATGTGTTGGGTTTTGACGTCTAATCCCTGTCGATGAAAAGCACGCAATCTGATAGGTGATAATTAATTAATTAAGAGAGGAATTATTCCGTAGCAGAGGGCCAAACCAGACACCACGACTAACGACACTTACAACTTACAACTTACAACAGAGCCTCAACTTACACTACCGATAATATGTAACATTTGTCCGGTTCCAATCTGGGGTTCATCAATTATCATTGAGTCTGCTAGGTGCTGGTCAGAATCCGATGTGGACCCCGTCCATCCTGTCCCCCAAAGTCGATCAATACGAGCCGAAGCACGCAACAAGCCAGACAGTTAACACTTAACAGGGCAAGGCTTGGTACATACAAATATCAAAAGGCACAGCACCACTATTATTCCTTCGTACAGTGGACTACGCATTACCGAACCTGGACGCTCTGATCTCCGAACATCCTCCTCGAGCCACACTTCGCTTCTAGTGACCTCGTGATATGAAGCACCTTAAATGCTTGTAGGTACAAGACTACCAGTCCTGCAATAATGGGCACAGCACCCAGACACAAGAACAGCAGTAGCTGCAGGAAGAGCTTGGATACACGTGGGCTCTCTAAGGGTTTCTATGGTGGTGACATCCAGGCTGCCTCACTCTTCTGGGACAGGATACGAGGTCTAGCGCATGTTAGAATCACAAAGTTGTTCTGAGGATTTCCATAGCGTTAGCATCCAAGCTCCCCCACTCTCCTGCCATCAGGATACGATACCTCGCTTCTGTTATAATCACAAAGTTGATTGAAAGTAAGATTCTGTTGCGAGACTGGATACACGTGGGCTCTCTAAGAATTTCTATGGCGTTGGTATCCAGGCCGCCTCTCTCTCCTGACATAGAATACGAGGTTTGGCGCATGTTAGAATCATAAAGTTGTTCTGAGGATACCCATAGCGTTAGCATCCCAGCTGCCTTACTCTCCTGCCATTGGGATACGAGATCTCGCGTCTGTTAGAATCACAATGTTGCTTGGAAATAAGATTCTTTGCGAGACTGGATACACGTGGGCTCTATGAGAATTTCTATGGCTTTGGTATCCAGGCCGCCTCTCTCTCCTGACATAGGATACGAGATCTAACGCAGGTTAGAATCACAAAGTTGATCGGAACTAAGATGTCACCGCGAAATTCAAGGACTTCCAATGAAGCGATGAGTCCTTTTCTATTATTTGAATGCCGTCACTGTCCAATATGGTTGTCTTGATTCTCTTTTCATCGAATCCCTTGGATCGCTGTCGTGGCGAATATTGCACTCCCAACCATGGCAGTTCTCAATTTGCTTTCCGTTTTTGCGGTTGCTTTTCTCGTTGTCTTTGGCAATGCAGTTGAACTTGAAGAGATCAAACCATGGGACCTTTATCCGCTCGAGACGAGGGACCTCCGCAGGCGTGATATGAATGCCTTTGACTTACGATCAACCGAAACCTTTCTGTGGGGAGCCCAAGGTAAATCTCATACTTTACATCACAACAAGCACATGTCTAATCCGTTCAGATGGCGTTGACGTAATTCTCGGCAACTTCACCGTCATGATGCCCGGGGATTCGGAGAATATTCTGTCGATGGAACGCTTTCATGGCATGCTGAAGTCTGTGAAATGCGAACCCGAGAAGTTGACCATCGCCTTTGAGGATGATCAGACATTTGAGTACGCGAAACGGGTCTGGGACTGGGTCAATGGCGCCGACAACCACACCTTCGTCATGGTCGCCAGCAAGGGCGACTGCGGTGACAACAAGTATCGGGTTCCTTACAAGGTATACTCCCTCCATTACGATGAGCCAGGAAATATCGCCACTCTCAATGTCTCGACTGGGTCGTGGAAGGACCTTGCCCATTCATACGAGATACAGGTAGGTAATATTGGGATCCCGGAGTCCACCTCCCAGGCCGTCTCCAAGCGAGATATCTCCAAGTCCACATCCATTGACCTTGGTGTCGATTTCCGCTTCAAGGGGAAAGCCAAAATAGGGCCTGTTTTCGGAGAGATACAGTGCAACCCTTGTAATACCCGAGGGAAGCTGAATTTCGAGTTCAAGATCAAGCAAAAGTACTTCGTTCCTGTGGGTGCAAAGTTCAAGGCTTCCCCGAAGGGCCTCAAAATCCGAGCGGCCGTGACGCTTATTAGCGGGAATGACCTGAAAACGAAGAAGGAAACGAAGGCCGAGGACAGGATTCGACTGATCAAATCCTCTTTGCCCGGCGGTGTTTCGATTCCAGGGGGTATCTTGTCGCTCGGCCCTCACTTCGTTGCTGAGTTGGGCTGGGAGTTCACGGCAGCAGAACTGAGCATCATGGCCAAGACCGGAGCAACGGCGACGATCTCTGATAAAGCCGTCATCGAAGCCGACTTACTCAACCCCTCTAAGAACAAGTTCTCGGGCTGGGTTCCAAAGGTCGAATTCGACCCACTCGAGTTTCAGGCACGTGCCTCCGTAAAATTCCAAGCTTACGTTGTACCGTCGGTCAACCTCGAAGCATCTGTTCTTGGAAAAGGCGTGGAGACTGGTTTCTTGCTGAAAGCGCCGTACATCGAGGTTCGAGCCGACGCGATCACTGCCCCGGATGGCAACGCCTGCAGAAAGGGAGATAAGAAGGGGTTTGCACTAAAGATCGTTCCATCATGGGGGGTGGAGCTGAAATTCACTGCTGCTGTCATTAAGGGCAAGAAGCTTGACATTTCTCTCGCTCATGGCAACTTTGCCTGGCCAGGTGTTGACCCGAAGTCGTTGTGCTATGCGTTCGACGAGCCGCCAAAGAAGACGCGCCGCTTCGTTCCCGCTCTCCCTGCCACCACATCCGCTCTGAAGGGAAACGCTTGATAAAGATTCAGCTGCATCACCCCCTCCGGCGCCCGGTTGCAATGCTTGTACAATCAAATCGGGCCAGTTGGGCACCTGCATCGATAAAGATGTTTGTATGCGCGGCGGTCAAATTGTGACGGCAGGTTTTGCCCTCGCACTGCGGCCCACATCTAGTGCTGCGCTAAATCGTGGCTCAGGAGAGAGGAATATTTCAGTTCGAAGATATGAGAGGTACGAATATTTGGAGAATTTGTACAATACGTGAGCGGATTCCAGAACACCGACGCGCCGGGAGGTGGCATGCATGCATCCCTAGGGATTTTTATTGAGACATAATACAATTGGAATTTACTGGGAGGCGTTCATACTCGGCTGTTCAAATTTTATCCTGCTGCTCCAATGAATGACAGAAGGAACCTTGCTTGAAATAGGGCATCATAGTAGTATCGCGGTCGTGCTTGTTGCGTTTCCCCGGAGCAACGATCGGGTATGAACAGTTCTTGCAAGAAGGGCTGATGGTATTCTTTGGCCCGGGAGCACAGGCGTCTAGTTATACATGGTTACTACTACTGTACAAGATGTTCCCCATCTGATGATGCGTGGGACGCCGGTGTGGGTGCCGGTGGAAGTGCCGGTGGAAGATCGGCTTCAACATGGAGCTTTTCCTGGGCAAGGTCTGCGAACGTCGGTTTCTTAAGTTGCTGCTTGGGCTGATAGGTTAAATATCCTTCCTTTGCGGCGGCTAGACGACGTTGTTTGCCTGCCTCGCCCGCTCTCCCAAGGACACCCCCGATTACCTGTACACACCGAAGACTGTGACGGAGTTAGCCAGCTTTGCACATGTAGACTGGGATCGCTTACCTGTCATCGTTCGCAGGGATTGGATATGTTACCCAGGCAGGGTTGGCATCGGTATCTATGATACCAATGGTTGGAATATTATCCAGAGCGCATTCGTGAAGCAACACATAGTTTTCCAATGGATTGAGGCAAACCACAAGATCCGGCTTGAGCGCCGCACGCTGGGATAATTGGTTCTGATAGCCAGGCAGCTCCTGTTCGTGTTCATCAACCACCTTCGTTTTGCACTGACCCAATATGTGGGTCCCGTTCGTGATGCCTCCAGGAGTCCATCGCTCGAAGAGATGGCATCCCCCGGAAAGTTCGGCGGCTTTCACCACACATCGATCCTGTCCCGCTCGTGTGCCGACGAAGAGAACAAGCCCGCCAGCTTCGGTGACCGCAGACACCAGCTTTGCGGCTCTGCGGAGGAACGCCGCTGTGACTTCGAGGGAGATGATGTGAATGCCGTCACGTATGCCGAAAATGTATCTCGAGTTTGCTGGGTTCCATAACGAGGTTTTGTGACCAAGATGTGACTGTGAAGCAAGAAGGAGTTCGAGCGTGATATCTTCTGGTTTGGGGGGATTCGTGATCAACTCGCGGGGTTTATAGAAAGGGTCCTGAGCGCTTCCAAACTGAGTGTTAGATTTCTCTAGGCCAGATGAGTTAGCAAAAGCCTAAAGAAGTAGATGGGTTCGCGCATACTTTGGTGTCGAGCAAGGTGATAATAGTTGGCGGTGTCTCCAGTATCCTCGGCGTCCTTGACATCCACCTCGTTTGATTGCGTGGGCGATGCGGATGGTTGACTGGCGGCTAATGCTGCGGACTGGCGTTCAAAGAATTGCTTCACCGCGTCCACTTCATTCTCTCCCTCCAAACCTGCATTATCCCTTGTGCTTGTCTGTACTCGGGTATATGCTCGATACTGGGTGTTGAAGGGTTGGGAGAGTGCTCTGCGGCCTGTGAGGATATAAGTTCTCCTGGTCTTAGATGGAATAGAGCAGAATAGCACGTACCCTGCCGCAAGATCAATCTTCGCGATATCATGAATCAGTCACCATTGGTCAAGTCACTGGGGTAATTAATGGCGGTCGTCGAGGTCAAGCTGGGACACGGTGAACAACATAATTCGGGCAGAAGGTCCTGATGCTGCAAGGTCAATTAGAGATTTGGAGGAGCGCAAAGAAAACATGAAGCCAAGGATAGCCAGCAGAGACAAGGGATCTCCACTCCGTCTCTCCGCCCCGCCCCGCCCCGTTGGTTCCGCTACAAGGATAGACCACTCGCCGCTCGGAGCGCAAGTCACGGAGTGGTGGATTTTCTTGGCAATCCTGGCGTTCTACCGGTAGTCTCCTTTCCCTTGCACTGAGCTTAAACTAGTTAAGTTAAGTCCCAGTTAACTTAGTTAGGTAATACGTAGTTAGTAAAGTTGCACTATGGTGCGGAAGTATGAGAGCCGAGACCTGGGTATGTAACCGCCAGTGGCTGATTCGTGTGGACAAAGTCCCCCAAGTTAGTGCGAATGTGAAAAGTCCATGTTGAAAGCGGGAGAATTGGATCTTTCGTTTTTGCCTTTCCCATCTTGCGTGCCGCCGTCCGCTATCTTCGCCATCGATACTGCTAACTCCGTAACCAATGAAAGCGTCCTTCGTCCATTTTCTCCGTCAAATCACCCTTGGAGTATTATCTATCAACTTCTATTCCCAGGTAGGGCTGGACACGAATATTCGATTACGAATATTCGTACGAATATTCGTAGTCGAATACGAATAAAATTTAGAATTTCCGCTTACTAATATTCGTACGAATAATATTCGCATTATTCGTAATTATTCGTAATTATTCGTAAATCTCTGAAGCTATTTCCATGTATCTCGCAGCATCATAAGACGCCTCATAGTCTCTGCACTCATTGAGCTCCTCCGCACTCCTAAGAGATCTCTTCCCCCACTGAACAGTCTTTCGACTGATACCCCAGATGCTGGTATAGCCAAATAATCTCTGGCAGCTGCAGCCATA